GGTTTTGTATCCTTTTTTTTTTTTTTTTTTTTTTTTTTTTTCCTTTTTACCCACTTTTAAAAAAAAAAAAAAAAAAATAGCTAATTAAATATTAAACGGTTCTACATGTATATTCTTAAGTATGCACATGTATACTAAGCTATTTTCCATTACTATGATCATATAGGTTTGACATCATCTTTTTTTTTTTTTTTTTTTTTTTTTTTTTTTTTTTTTTTTTTTTTTTTTCTCTTATACCCTTTTTCCCTTTTATGTTTTTCCTTTTTTTTTTTTTTTTTTTTCTTTTTTTTTTCTTTTTTTTTTTTTTTTTTTTTTTTTTTTTTTTTTTTTTTTTTTTTTTTTTTTTTTTTTTTTTTTTTTTTTTTTTTTTTTTTTTTTGTCCTTATTCATATGCCTATTTTTATATCGTATTGTCCATTAGACATTGTGCTCTGCTGTATTGTACACCATTTCAACAGAAGTGATAAAATGGAATTAAAATCAGAAAAAGTTATAGCAACATAAAGGATGTTGAAACCTTCCTATGTGCGCCTTATTTTGTAATTGGCAAGTGTATTAATATGAAGGTATGTTTTTCAATACTTTTTATTAAAAATTGCACATAAATATGATTTAATGTACACTTCTTAGTGTATGTAAGAGGTGGCTCAGAGAATGTTCTTATATTTCTATGCCCACAACTCTTTTATATTTTATGATATTCTTTCGTTTGTTATTCATTGATAGATCCTATTCTAAGTCCCTTCTCCCTCACTTCTACAGTATTGAGGAATTGAAAAAGAGAAGAAAGGGCAAATGTGCGTGTTGAATGAAAAAAAAAAAAAAAAAAAAAAAAAAAAATAAAAAGCCTTTTGACTTGACTTAAAATTAGGAAATTTATATTCTTTCTGATATTTATGCATGAAAAAAAAAGTTCTTTATTTTGTATGTCTTCTCTGTAAAGTTCATTTGAGGGTTGTAAAACGCTTCTCACTTGAAGTTGTAGGAACATATATATACCCAATTAAGGTGTGGAGTATGTACTACTGTTCTTTAGATGGAATTTTGTTTTATTAAAGGAGAATGCTACCCCTCTCATCAAATGGATGCGCTCCCAAATACCTAGTCAAGAAAAAAAAAAAAAAAAAAAAAAAAAAAAACTAGAAAAATAATCTATACTTGTTCACACATTTACCACCGTTTGAGCGCACATATGCTTCTACACATATTTTCTTTCAAGTTGCATACAAATTGGGAAAAATAATATATAGTACTATGCACTGTAATGTATTATTTCAAATACACTACAGTGCAAGAAAAAATCCATGCAATAATGCGTTAAGTTCCATTTTTAATTTACTCAGCCTTTAAACTCATGCAAAAGAAATTCATATCACTATGCTTTAGTTTGTAAATGTTGAGACGCGAAGAAAAAAAATATTAAAGTATGTTATGTTTTATGTACCTTAAAAAAAAAAAAAAAAAAAAAAAAAAAAAAAAAGAGTAGCAATAATAACAAAAAAATATATCTTCATTTGTGCTTCATTTTTCAAAAAAATGAATCAAGGAGACTTGTTTTTTTTTTTTTTTTTAGTACGAATGTATATGTAGCACTTATTAATACAAGCTATATAAGTAAATATTCAACAATTTCTCCAACGAATAAAATCACAAAAATAAGGAAATAAAAAAAAAAAAAAACTCTTTCCATTGCATGTTTTCCCCGACTATAAGTATTCCTATACATATATATAAACCTGTTTTGTACAAAGATAAATATATTTGTTTGAATCCTTTTTCTGTTTTATGGGGAATGAAGCAAATGCCCTACGGAAATACATATTCTTTCACGTTTAAAAAAACACAAGAATATTCTTCTTCATAATTAAATCTCCCCGTCTGATTAAATGTTAAATCTCATACCCAAAAGAGTTGTTTCCAACACTTTGCTCTATGGAAAAAGGCCAATTCAGAGAATTCGTGTTGGTAAAAGAGAGAACAAAAAAAAAAAAAAAAAAAAAAAAAAAAAACATACACTTATCAAAAGACATGTATGTGTTCTACTGTACTCTCATGTGTGTGCATAGGTTATTTTCATCGATGTATGTAGAGAGTATAATACCGTTTTTATTCTTTACCATGTAGGGAAAGATAAGAATGTTTTGGAATTAAGCCTAAGTGATGTAAATACAATTTATGACGATATCGATGAAAAGACACATTTACATAATAAAGACTACAACCCTTTGAAGTATCATAGATATGTGAAGTACAAAATAGCTGCCTTAAATCTAATTGAAGCACATAAAAATGAAGAAAACAAAAAAACAGCACTAACAAATATTACATGGTATGCAAAAATTAGGGACTATTTTTTTATACACTTTTGCAAGAATCAAATTGAATTAAAAGAAAAAATTGCTCCAAAATTTTTTTACCCAATGGAAAAGTAGTTCTTCGCCGTCTTCTTCTTCTTCGTGTTCACTTTTTTTGCCTTTTTTTTCCAAAATGCATGAATATTTTATCCTCCTTTAGGGAACATCTCTCTTTCTTAATGTTCATACAATGGGGCCATTTTTTGCATCATATTACTCATATGTGTACTAAAATTATTAACGCACCTGTATATGCCCCATGTGGGTGTATGTATTTTTTTTTTTTTTTTTTTTTTTTTTTTTTTTTTTGCTATTTTTAAGCATAAAAGTTAACTCTGAATTAGCAGCAAATGTAGGGAAGGACAACTACCTTAGTATTTAGTAGCTATTTAAAAACGTTTGAAAAAAAAAAAACAAAACAAAACACTACACGTACAGAGCAAAACACGGCACGAACAGAACAAAACACTACACGAGCAAAGCAAAAATATCGTGCAGGTTTCACCACAGTGCGCATAGAAACAATTCGAATAAAAGAAGGTGCAAGAACATTTTCCCATATAGGAAATTTGTTTCTGTTTTCCCAATTTGCACACGCCCATTTATTCATCATCACTGAAGGAGTAGAAATAGTTGTTCCACTTATTCTTGTCATAGAAGTCAAATGGTATGTCCTTCATGAGCGGTATTTCAGCAATGTTAAACGTGATAACATTTTTTACTCTTTTATTTTTTACTTGGGCGTTTTTATCGTCATCATTTTTTTCATTTGGGTCAGGTATTACATTATCGTCAGCTTTAAATTCCCACTGATTTTGTGAAATCTTTTTATGATAATAATACTTAGAATTTAAAACATCTCGGAAGTTTTCAAACATTTTGAATTTGTTCCATGAATTTATTAAATTTCTTCTTTCTCTGATTAACAGGTAAATTAATCGCCTTTCGGATAATTCTTGAAAAAATTTTATTTTCTTCTTAGGGCTGTGTATATTTATCGATTTCTTCAGAGATTTCTCATTTGACAAAATTGTTAATGCGTTTCTTATAAATTCATCTCTCTCATTATAATTAAAAAAATCATCCTTCAGTACATCAACCTTGTTGTTATTTTGTCTTTTTATTTTTTCGTAAATCTTATCATTTTCATAAATATATGTTTTGACTCGTAAATATCTGAAAAAGTTATTTGTCCATATCCAGTATAATTTTGTGGTGTATTCGTCCATGAAATTTATATCTTCCTGAGAGCATTCGTCAGCTTCGTTTACAAATCTTTTTGTTTTTTCGTACACTAAATCGTCTGAGGAGTTTATTAAAATAACGAATAAATATAGAATGCATAGAATGTACAGTAAGCTGAATTTCATCTTTGTGTCTATGTTTTGCTAAAATGGAAAAAAAAAAAAAAAAAAAAAAAAAAAAGAAGGAACAAAGTTGACAATTCTGTAAAAATAATTTTCTTATTTTACAAAAAAAAAAAAAAAAATGGAATACTCTTTTATTACTAACAAGATTGTGAAGGAATTGTGTTCTGCTACATTTTGTGTAAATCTTTACCATTTAAACTTCTTAAAAACTGAATACATTGTTGTCAACCAGCATAGTGTCAAATATTGGGTTATGACCTTTGCAATGTTTATAACATGAGGGATTTCTTTGTTCCTCTAATGGGTATATGTATGTATATATATATATATGTCCATGTCTACATGTGTATATGTACATATACATATGTACTTATGTGCTAGTTTGTATTTACCGGCCCATTTATGAGCCTACCTACAAGCGCATGTAGTAGCAATTTCCAAATGAACCTCATTTGGGACGCACCCTTGAGCATTCTTCTTTCAAAAAGGCAAATTTCAAAAAAGCAGACGAAATATATTTGTGCTAATTATAACAGGTGAAAACACTTTCCTTCATAGATAACTGAATTAAAAAAAGAGAAATTTTTCAAATTTTTATTTTTTTTTTATTACTTAAAAAAAAAAAGGAGCTGCTTTGATAGCTTGAAAAGAAGAGTGGTTTAGGTTGCCTTTTCATACCCTATATTTTTCTTCTCAATTATTTTTCCCTTGTGCCACGGGGGTTAGGAAAAGAAGATGTATTTTTTAAATCCCTTGTATAACAGATCCATGCAGGAAGAACAAAAGTGAAGTGGCACATATACCTATATACATGAGCCATTAATTATTCCAGGGATAATAATATTATGTAGAACAATTCAGTAAACTTAGCTGAAACAGTCCTTTCTCATCACTTTCGATAAATAATATCTTCATTATGTCTTAAATGGAAAAAAATGAAAAAAAAAAAAAAAAAAAAAAAAAAAGATACAGACCAAATGTACCTCAAAATGTGAATAAAAAAAATGAGCTCAAATGTAAACTATGGTTACATTTTGAAGCCTCATTTTATCAGCAGTTGTTTGAAATGCATAAAAATAAGTTGTGTTACATATAAAAATGAAAAGTCTGCGGGGCACAAATACAACAAGGAAGTACATATACACAAATGTGTATATATGTGTATATCTACATTTGTATATATGTAGATATACACATTCGAAGCCACACTAAAACAAAATTGACCTTTTCGAAAATGGACGCAAAAGATGAATCGAACAGTTTTAAATGTGGAGTTGGCAAAGTTATGAATGGGAAAAGCTGCACTGCAGAACTTTGCACCAGCTCCTTATCTACGAAAAAAACAAAAAAAAAGAAAAAGAAAAAAGGAGAAGAAAAAGAAAAAAAAAAAAAAAAAAAAAGAAGAAAGTGGATAAATGTTTTCAAGACAAGTGCAAAAGTCCAAAGTGCGTTATTCCCACATATTCTCAAAATGTTCACCTTACAGCATACACATCGTTTATCATAAAATGAAAGTTCAAAACGTGCATGTAATTTTTGCTGTTTTGAGTTTTGCTTTTGTCTTTACCGTTAAAAATTATGTCTTCATAATCTTTGCAAATATTACGCTTAAAAGATGCTAATGCATGAATAAATATTTCTTCAGTTTTGCTACTGAAAATATTTTCCATTTGCAATTTTTTAAACAAACCTAGTAACAAATTAAAAAAATAACATGACCTGTTCATAATTTTTATTCTCTTCGAGCGCTCTGCGTTTGCATGCATGGTTGACACATTCCTAGAAAAATAATCTTCCTGAGATGTTATCTTTCTAAAACAAATATATTCCAAAAAATGTGACAAATGCACAATGCATATATTTAAGTGAATTGAAATTTCTTCTTTTCGTCTTTGATTGAAATGATCATTTTTTTTGTAAATTTTTAAAACATTCATAAACGTTCGAAGCAGGTCATACATGTCAATTAAACTTATTGTGGCACAATACTTGTCACTTTTGTTCTGAACAAGCAAGGTCCTTAAGAAGTCGTTAAACTTCCTCAAGTAGAACAAATAAAATATTGAACTGAGTTTATGACCTAACAGAAAATTAGCTATGTTGCAAAATATTACTGTATTTTCTCTTCCAAAGGGAAATGACCAGCTTTTGCTGCTTTCCAAATTTTTTCCTCTCTCATTTCCTCCCCCTCCGTTTAGGCCCCTTTTTTTTTGCAAAACGAGGCGATAGAGAGAAAGAATGTCATCCATAAATAACACGCTGAGTTCTGTCTTCACACGAGAGGTGCTTATGCAAAATATGGCAAGAGTCTTTGTGTTTCCTTGAGCCAAGATTAAGTTTCGAATCTTTGCAAAAAAAGTGTTGTAAATAGTTGACTCCTTTTCCATAACTGTACTATCGAAAATGAACAATTCAAAGATATTGCATATGTCAATTAAATTTATAAAATTTAAATATTTTAATAACAAATAATTTGACAAAACATACGTGAATTTATTCGTCTCTTTCTTTTTTATGCTATTATGAATAATAACACACATACTATGAATATTTTCTCGTATGCCCCTACTTTTTTTTTTTTCCCCATTTTTTTGTTCAGGTGAAAAAAAAAAATGCTTGTAATGCTTCTCTTTTTCAATTAAGTTTTTCGTATATTGCATTATTTCATCTTTCACTGTTATTACTTTGTTATTTTTCGAGTCGTGCGCTCTGGCCCCATCGGCCATGCTTTCCAGTATCTCTTCTTCCTTTCCCATTTTTTCTCCTCCCATTTTTTCTCCTCCCATTTTTTCTCCTCCCATTTTTTCTCCTCCCATTTTTTCTCCTCCCATTTTTTCTCCTCCCATTTTTTCTCCTCCTATTTTTTCTCCTCCTATTTTTTCTCCTCCCATTTTTTCTTCTCCCATTTCTTCCCCCCTCGTGTCTTCCCCGTGTACCCCTAACTCTTCTTTCCTAATGGAATGTGTCCCCAAGGATTTTTCATCTCTCATCGGATCTCTACTTTCACATGTACGCTTCCTTTCAGAAAAGTAAAATTTGGGATTCGTTTCATATCTCAAAAAGTAATGTTCTATATGTTCATGAAAGCGGGTGTTGATATTCCCCCAAAAGTGCAGGGACACATAAACATGTGACAAGAATGTGTACAAAGATAAACAATTCAAATTACATCCCTTGAGTAAATACATAAAACAAGATACGTCATGTAAATTGAAAAAGTTATGCTCATGTCTGGACAATCCATTTTTTAGATAATTCATATGAATATTATCCAAAGTTTTACTATTCGAATTATACACTGCGTTGTAAAAACTGTTCATTTCTGGTTCTTTGCTTATGTTCCCAACATTGAACAAAAAAAAATGTTTTATGCACTCCTTAAAATATGTATGTAAAATAAACAGAAAACGGGAGTAAAAGAAATGGTCGATTTTCCTTTTGTGTAAAATGTCAATACATAAGAAATATATAAATTTATATAGACAGAATTGCACCATTTTATCACAGTTTGCAATTCTCTCCTCTAAGAAACATTTCAATATGATTGTCATTTCTTTCATGGAAAAGAAACTAATGTTACGAAGAAATAGATCCCTAAATTTACTGTACACCTTTATTCTATACTCCTTTGTCAAATTATTTCTCAACTTGTGAAAATTGTGCAAAATACAAGAAAAGTGAATATAATTCTTTTCACACTCTTTATATATGGCTGGTAATAATAAATTGACTTTTCTTTCAGTGTTTTTTTTTTCACTCAAACATGGTGGTTTTCCCTTTACTAATGATTTAAGGATTCTCACCATTTGTTCAAAATTCATGTGTTCTTCTCGTCCTTCCCCAGTAAATTTAGTTATAACCGTGCTGAAGGAGTGCCATTTTGTGGTTCTCCAAAATAAAGGGTAAATCCAAGTGACATCTCTAGTCTCAAGGTGTTTCCTGCAAGTGATCAAATGAGTGATATTGTTCCTTAAGTAGTTGTCGTTACCCGATTTATTTGTGCGTACTACACCTAGGAATAATTCCCTTCTTTTCAAATAAATAAAAAATTTATAATCATTGTGTGTGCATGTGCGTACCAATTGGGTTGAGTTCCCACCCATAACAAGAATATTTGTCATTCTACTTTTCAACATCATATGTTTGCTCTATCATATATGTCCTAGAAGAGGGTAAAATTCCACTCTCCCTCTGACTTTCCCTTAATTGCAAAAATATGAAGAATCCATTTCTTCAATAAAAGATATATATTTTTTTTAAATAAACGCTCACATATGGTATGCCTAGAGCAAAGTGTATTCTTCTACATGCCATGTTTTGAATAATGTGTGCGTAGAAAAAAAAAGAAAAAAATTAAACTAGAAAGAGAAGAAAAAAGTTACGTAGATTTATTAAAAACTGAAAAAAAAAAAAAAAAAAATTAAACTAGAAAGAGAAGAAAAAAGTTACGTAGATTTATTAAAAACTGAAAAAAAAAAAAAAAAAAAAAAACTAAAAAATTACATTAACCAGGAAAAATAAAAAAATTATACAACATCAAGATTGAGATTAAACAAGGACGAGAAAAGTGACTAAAGTTCATGTTCAGTATAGGAAAAAAAAAAATTAATTTTGCTCACAAATAATGCTTTTAATTTAATTTTCACATATATTATCTCCCTTTGACATGTTATGAGATCCCGTATATGCTATGAAAATATACAATTTTGAGAACAGAAGAAGATGGGATAAAACTCCTATTTTTTTTTTTTTTTTGCACAGCTTTTATTGTCCACATATTTTGCATATCACTTTTGCTTCTCTTTAGAAAAAAAGTTATTTGACCGATTTTGCATATATTCCTCTTACTGAGTCAAAAAAAGAAAAACATATGAAGCAAGCAAATGAGGAGTATGAGAAGGAAATACAATGATTGCTTAGCCTGAGAACCTATAACACAAAAAATACCATCCCCAATGTAATTAAAATTACATTGACATTTTATATTGTTGTTACTGTCAATTGAGCATTCTGCATTTATGTCACAATTGCCATTATCCTTTGAACAGTCCTTTACTGTCTTAGGTATACACTTAAAATAATTGACACTATCATCTGGAAAGTAATTAGCTCTACATCGACATTCTTCTTTATCTTTTTCAATTATGTAACATCGAGCATTGGATCCACATTTAGAATACTCACAAATGTGATTAACTTTGAAATGCACAAAATTTTTAATGGCTGTGGTGTAAAATTTTGTTTGCAAAATTAAATTTTCAATATTATATACAGCATTATCTATCATGCTAGTTGTCTCTTTAATATCTCTCCGTTCCTTCAGTAGGGTGTTCTTGATTTTATCTGCATGATCTATAGATTCTGAAGGAAGTTCTTGCGACTCTGCATCAGCATCTTTTAAGTTTTCACTGCTTGATGGATCTGTATCACTGGATGGCTGTTCAGAAGTGCCATCCTTATTCTGATCGTCCAATTTGGCAGATGTACTCGGTTGTAAACCGTTTTGGGGTGAGTCTTTTGGGGATGATGAATCATTTTGTTCATTGTTTGTATGTCCTTTCTGCTCCACTGATTGTTCATCATTTCTAGAATCGGAATTACTTGATCCACCCTCATTTTTATCTGAGTGCCTTTTTTGTGATTCAGAATTTTCACCGTTTTTACTTCCTCCACCTGATGTGGAGCTACCTGCACCATCACCCGTGGAATTTCCTGGGACAGCCTCATCCTGAGCTGTGACATCTCGGTTAGCAATTCCAACATCAGACAATAAAGAATCGAGATTTTCCTTACCATAATTATGTGTCTGCAGTATTTCTCCCTGTACATTTTTGTATTCTTCATTGTTCATACTGTGCACGTTTGCGATGGTATTTTTTTCCACATGTTCATGCGAACTCGATTTTTCATCCACCGTGTGGACATCAGTATGGTTTGCATTATCTTGTCTTTTTCTTATGAAATATTTTTCCATATTGTTTGCTACATTTTGTGAATTCAATAAATCGTTATACTCCTGCGTATGTTTATCTACCTTTAACTGTTCTGTGCTGTTACCACTCATAGGAATGTTATTCATAGTAGTTTCGTTCATAACAGTGTGATTCACAGCATTGTGATTATTATTATTCTCACTTTGCTCCTCGTTCGAATTTATTTCATAATTACTTTTCTTCTCATTTGTAAAGTCCTGTTGATCGGGAGTATTAACTTCATTCACATATTTGATGCCATTTATATCTGCTTGAACTACATTATTTAAATATAAAAGCAGAAAAATTATTATCGTAAATGATTTGTGCCACTTTGCGCATATCATCTCTTTTACACCTTGCCTGTTCATGTAAAAGTTTAAATAAGTTTTGTCACAGGAAGGACAGGCAAAAAAAAAAAAAAAACTAGATAGACATATTCGTGCAAACACATTTACAGGGATAGGTTTTACATGTAAAAATAACACGCATGCGTGTATGAAAAAAATTTTATGTTCTAATTTGTATATGATGAGAAGAGGGGTAATGCAGATCATTGAAACCAAGTCGTGTTGACGTAGTTGCTGTGGTTTTTGAAAGTATTTGTAAAAATGAAAAACAGAAAAATGAGGGATTCTGCACACAGTTAAACAGCGCAAAGGGATAGAAAAAAAAAAAAAAATGCGGCAGAAAAATTCTAAAATTTTGAATTCACTGTGCACTACCTATGGCAACTAACGAACGCCCTATTTTATTTTTTTTTATCATTATTATTGTTATTGTTACTGTTATTTTTTTTATTTTTTTTTTTTTTTTAACTTCTTCCAGCGTAAATAATCGAACATATGAGTTTTAAAAATTGGAACACTTTTATTCATAGACATTTTTGTATGCATGCACTTGAAATATATACAAAACAAAAACACTCCTAATTGATTAAAAACGAAATATTCCTAGTTCAGTATACACCTTTTAATTATTCTAAAAACTTTTTTCCCTCCTTGTAAATGTCTGGGCCACAAGGAATCACACAACCTAGTCAGTCTCAAAAATATCATGTGTAGAATAATAAAAGTATTTAACTAAGGAGGAGAAAAACAAATAACGATTGTTCCATGCACATATGAAATCGATTGAGTGAAAAGCGAAGTGCTGGAATTGTTCCGTTTACGTTTTTCTCGTCCTTTCTGTTTTTGTTCTGTTTTTTGTTCTGGTTTCTGTTCTGTTTTTTGTTCTGATTTTTGATTTGGTTTTCATTTCCCACTCTTCCCCCTTTCGCTTATGTCCAACGAGGAGAACAGAAGCTGAAGAAATTTTCAAATCGGTGTCGGAAAAGTCTAATAGCAAAAACATGGAGAGGTATTAAAAAAAAAAAAACAATAAAAATAATAAAATACACTTCCTTGTTTTCTCGAAAAGTGCGATTCATAAATAAAATAAAAAGTGTTAACTTTTGCATTTGTGATGATTTCGACAAACGCGTTTTTAAAGTGTATTTAAATCTTCACTTTTTACGTTATTATTCTCTTTGTAATTAATGAGTTAAAAAAAAGTAATAAAACTTTTCCCTTTTTATTTTTACCTCAGCTTTTGCATCACTTTCCGTATCATTTTCTGCATTCATTTTTTTTTTTTTTTTTTTTTTTTTCCAGGAATGTAGTGAGAGACATATCAGTACTTAAAAGTCATACCCATTTTAGATGACACATCCTCAGTTCAGTAATTTCTCAACACTAAAAGTTGATGACCGCAATCATTCACTGTGTTTGTATGTGCCTGTATCTGTCTTTGTACATTTCTGCACTCCTGCTCTGAACACAGCATTTTACGAGAAAAAGAAAGTGGCTCTTTAAACCTACATGGTGAACTTTACCATAAATGCAGAAGAAAAGAGGAAGCGAAGACCTTCGATGCATGGTTTTTTCATTTGATGAACGCGTTTTCATTTTAACCTAAAATTATCCAAACCCATTTGGCAGGAGCGAAATAACAAGACAGTTATCATTTGTTCGTGAATACACACAACTGTATAGAGAGATAGATCAATAATTATAATATTTGTCGTCTATGTAATCCAAATTGGAAAAAAAAAAAAAAAAAAAAAAGTCACAGAGTAGCATACTTTGTATGTGATAGTACTATGGTGACTGATAACTCTTCCTATAACATAACCATGTGATTAACAATCTGTGAAGTATGAATTTTTTTTTTTTTTTTTGCGAAGATTTTTTCCCTTAAGTTGTAAAATTTACATATACACACTATATTTATCTTTATCTATTGATTTAATTCTCTAAATTAATTTTGCACATAAATTGAAGAATAACAAATATGAGTAATAATGTGGAAGTATTTCCTTCATTTTAAACATATAAAAACACGTGCACATTAGTATAAATATAAAATTCTTACATGTGCACAACTAGGAAAAAAGTACCCATCTGGGCTTAAAAGAAACATTACCTACATGGTGCCACAGACTAATGAGCAGAAAAACGTTTTGTCATTCCTTATGTCACTAGAGATATACCACTAAATATGCTACTCTAAATTTTGGGATACAAAGCAAAAATTTCCTATACTTACCATTTAACCATTTCCCCAAGTGTCATTTTTTTCCAATGCTTGATTAGAAAGAGAAGGAAAACAAATGAAAATTTGTTCACAAAAAAAAAAAAAACAAAAGTGTGCATATAGTATATGTATATATATATATATATGTATATAAATGTACATATATGTATATGTATGAATAAATATATTTACTTAATTATGTTCCCCAGGGGATTCATCTCTACGTGCCTTTTCAAAAAGGGAAGAAAAACCGAGGGATCTTCATTTTAAACATAGAGAAATAGCAGGGGGTAAGGTTCATAGTGGGTTTTAAATTGCACAATTTCGCACACTTATGCATATATATGTATATATATATATATATATGCAAATGAGATGTAAAGAAGTTAAACTTCGTTGCATCACATGTTTATTTTTTTTTTTTTTTTGGATTATTGATGGTGATTAGCATTTTACAGAAAGGAGACTTTTTTATATCTACTCAACAAGAATCTTCAAAAAAAAAAATTTTTTTTTTTTTTTTTTTCGTTTTACAACATTTTGAAGGTAGTAAAAATGTAGCCTTTGGCAACTACTTATTTTTGTACAAATATATATATATATATATACAATTTAATTAAATAGGGAAAGAAAGTAGATATAGGAGGGTCCCTTCTCCCTCGCTTATATCAGAGGTGAAGTTTATGTATACCTTTAGTTCACAGCCGAGATGTGCTAAGGAACGCAGATCGTAAAGTAACTCATTAATGAAAGGATTAAGTGTTAGTAGTTTTTTCTCCCAAAAGCATGGGGGTGACGAGAGGAGCCATCAAATCGGGGAGAGTAACCAAGATGAGAAAAATGGCCAATGTGAGCAGAACATCCAAGATGAGAAAAATATCCATTGTGAGAAAAACAAGCGAGATGAAGAATGTCATAAAAAGGACGCATTTGTAAACCAAACACCAAATACATGTGTGGAGAATCAAAAGAATTGTACAAATGGATTGGACAATCCAAGTAATGACAGAAGAAAAGAAAAACGAACAAAACAGTTCAGGGATATCAACAAAATAGCATTTTATGAGGCGGTTCTGAAGCAACTTCGTGATGACAACTTAACGGATTCGTTTGATGCACTGAGAAGAGAAATAAATTTGGAAGAAAGCAAAACGGCTAGTGAAAATTATCTGTTTAAGTTATACACAAAGGGTATATACAAAGCAGGGGAAGACAGAGAAGATGGAGAAGATGGAAAAGATAGAGAAGATGGAGAAGATGGAGAAGATGGAGAAAATGGAGGGGGGAGAGACAAAGAGGCGAGTGAAAAAATAAAAAAGTTAAGATCATATCATGTGTTCAACAGAAATTTACAATCACACAGCAACAGCATGAACGTTTTAAATTTTGATAATTTAAAAAAGGAAAGATATGAGAGAAAAGTATACTCCTACGACATTAGTGATCGAGTTGAATTAATTCATCAAAATAAATGCACAAGTTGTGCAACGAATAGCACGAGAAATGTGCTATGCTCAGGTGGGTCTGATAATATTATAAAAATATGTAAAATTTATGATAATATTAAGAAGAGAAAAGTTCACATCATTGATAATAAACATATGGGGAAAATTAATTGCTTGAAATTTCATCCGATGAAAAATGTTTTATTTTCAGCTAGCGATGATTGCACGGTTCAAATTACAGATGTAAGCAAAATGTTAAAAAAAAAGAAACAACCTTTTAATTATAGAAGAAGTATGAGGGAAAAATTGAATGAACAACATGAATTAAATAGAAATATTCTCATACAAGACAAAAATGCATTCATATATTTGTATGTTCATCCGTGTGGAGATTTTTTATATGCTTGTAATAAAAATGAAAATATAGTTAAACTATTCGATTTAGAGACTCTAAAATGTTTCACGTCTTATGAGAAAAATGATTTTCATCACAGTTCATCCATAAATTGCATCAGTGGGACATTAGATGGGAGTTTATATGCATCTGTATCTCTAGATGGACATATAAAATTTTGGGATGGTCATGATTCCAAATTAATACACACCGAATTTAATGCGCATAATGGCTACTCCGTAGAATCCATTAAATTTAACAAAAATAATTACTATATTCTTACATCTGGTTTAGATGGACAAACAAAAATATGGGATACACGCAATTTTAAATCTTTATTTACATTTGGAAATGGGTTCTTATCATGCACATCAAATAAAAGCATATTCATGAATGATGAACATTTCATTGCAAATGTCATTCAAACCAATGATCACTTTACGTCCAAATTTTATATTTACAATTCTTATTTTGGAAATCTCGAATATAACATACAAAATATACACAACGATCAAATATCGGATATTGTCAACGCTAGAGATGGATTGAATGTCCACACGGCTAGTTATGATTACATCTGCAAAACGGTTAAAATTGAGCAAAAACCTTTGCAGAATGATGGAGGGTGAACGGTGCATCGAAAGTGATAAAAATGGTAAATGGTAAAGCGGATGAGGGAAACATACCGAAGGAATCTGCTTGAAATAGTTAGTAACTGGGAATAGGAAATATTTCGGGGGGAATTTTTTTTTTTTTTTTTTTTTTTTTTTTTTTTTTTGTAAAATTGTATATCCATAGAAAAATAGTCCTCTTTTATATATATGTAGAGAAAATGTCTTATCGTATCTTTAAAATTTAAGGTAACCCGATTGGAAGTGTTATCCACTATTTAAATTCTCCGTTTTGGCTTGATACTGAATTAAAGTCCGTGAAATTATCATTCCATAATGGTAGTTAAAAAATGCCGCTATATATATTTTTTTTTTTTTTTTTTTTTTTTTTTTGATATATTTAAACTTTTTGAAAAATGTTGGTCGCAGGGAGCATATATTTGCCTACTCTTTATTTTCAAGTCGAAAAAATTTTCACACGGCATTCCTGATGATGTTTAGATTTTTTCATCTAAATTATGTTATCACGAAAATATTTCTTCTCCATTTTGGCACAGTGAAAATGTTATTCGCTTTTCAAAATATGCTTCCACTTTGCCATCCTAATCTTTGTCTTCTTCGTCTTGAACAAAATTGTGCACAAAAAAAAAAAAAAAAAAAAAAAAAAAAATCGCATTATTTTTCCCCTATTTGTGAGGAGAAAAAAATATACATTATAAAATTTGCATAAGATGTGATGAATACACGACTTTATTTTTATTTTATATTTACTTTATTTTACTTTATTTTTTGCTTTATTTTTTTTTTTGTTCCTTGTCACACAACTAAGCGCAGTAATGTTTACATAAAAAATAGTATACACAAATTCCATTTTATTTTGAACCTCCCGAAATTTTTTAAAAATATCCAATAGAAAAGACAAAAACTCTAATTGCTTGGATGTCAATAATTTCCTCATAAAAGTTGTATAACTTTCTCAAATAGGGAATGTTATGCGCATACGCACATGTATTATACAGCAGTGATGAAACATTTGTTCCTAAACAAAAAAAAAAAAAAAAAAAAAAAAAAAGACATCACATCACATCGGTAGTGAAAAAATTGATTCTGATTTCTAGTGCTGGTCATTACACTATTAAGAAGGCATAAGGAAAGGAAACTCAAAAATAAGTGCATTTAGACACGTATACAAAATCAGGAAAAAAAAATAAAAAAAAATCACTTAAACGGGGCTGCATAACCAGGATGCATTATGAAACAAGAGGAGAATAATCTGCTTGTAAACTGGGGAATTTTCCCTACTTTTAGCGAGACTAGCAGTAGTGATAGTGGAAGCAGTTGTAGAAGTGACTCTAGCGAGTGCAACCACTGTACAGACTATAGGAGTAACAACTATGATTGCCAAAACATCTGTCGTAGGAATAGTTATACCGGTTCAGGGAGGGAAGTGTGGGATCAAGAATATTGTGATGGTGTGGAGAGAATCGACAACCTTATGGAGAAAAAAAATACACAAGTGTCTCATGACGAAACTTCCCAATCAGATGGAAGGAGAGAAAAGAACAGCAACCGTGTGATGAAGCAGACTCAGACACGGAAGCAGTGTTATGAAAATGAACAAAGGGAATTCTCATACTCGGATGCTGAGTACACTATTGTGAGGAAATACCTTAAAGGAGTATTGAAAAATAAAGAAAGAAATAAATTATACGAGTTTAGAAAGTACCTAGTTGAACACAATGTCTTTTACATGTTTGTATACTTGTTTGTAAATCTAATAAGGAACAAGAACAATATACGGAATCCTTACAATTATGTGATGAACTACTTTGGAAGAAGAGACTACAACTCAGATGATAACGCTTGCATGCAGGATTTAATTAGAGAAAATAAAATGTACAGAATGAAAAACCAGCGGTTAACTAACAAAATAAACATGCTACTAGTTCAGATTGAGGATATGCAAAAAAGGGATTCCTGTGATTTCATTGCAAATTTTTTTTTTAAAAATGACAAGGAATCAGATGAACCACTTAAATCGCTTAACCCGGTTAAACGGCGTGAAACCTACAGCTCCTTAGAATCATATTCCTTGTGTTACATCATTAAGTCGGTTATTTGTGGTGATCCCAGTGTGTACACTATCCAAAATTACCCGAAAATGTCACATGATCATTGTGATAATATGGAAATTCCCTATTTCCTATTTACACGGGAAACATTTTTCCTTTTTTTAAGCTCATTAAGTCATTCAGTTAGAACTGAATTTCGTAAAGTACTAGAAGGGAAAAAAATTCATTTGGAAAAATCTGAACTTTTCAACATACTACTCAAAGAGTTATCGCTCTTCCTAAATAATTATTTGTCTTTCGATCAATGCAGGGAAAAAAAAATCCATTGATGGTAAGAGCACAACTTATGCACATCATTTCAGGACTAGATGAAAAAAAAAAAAAAAAAAAAATAAACCATTTATTCACTTCCTACAGATTGACCCATTAATTCACTTCCTACAGATTGACCCATTAATTCACTTCCTACAGATTGACCCATTAATTCACTTCCCACAGATTGACCTAATTATTCACTTTTTATCCCCTCCAAGCCTTAATTCCACAGAAAAAAAAAAAAAAATTTAACTGATAATATAAAAATGGACACTTTCACACATACAATGTGTGTCTAATAAGTATAAAGTAGGAAAGCCTCAATTTGAAACGGAACGGTGTGTAAATATAATGAAAAAAAAGCATATTAGTATAAACTCCTTCTTGCTTGCCAAACGATAGTGTAGTTGAAAACTTCTCGTAAAATTCCTTTTTTTTTTTTTTTTTTTTAAAAGAATTTCCCCCCCTCCTCTACCCATGTCATATCACACATATATATATATATATATACATATCGTCTCATCCCTGTACTTGTTCTTTAGATAGACATCATATCCACATCTTGAAGTTTCATAAAATTCAACGACTTTTCATTGATTGGGCACACAAAATAATAGTGGTCAACAAGGTAATATAAAACTTATTTTTGGAAAAAAAGTGAAAAATTGTATCTAAGACAGAATTAGACATGTGTTTCATTTTTATTACATTGACAGGTGAAAAGGGTCCAGATATCCGATTTCCAAAAATCCGATGGGATCTTTGCGGAAGAGTATAACTTGATCTGTCAACAACGATTAATTCATGATCCACATTTAAAAATTTGTATTTTATATAGAGATACATTTCTGTGTTTTCTAAAATTTGAGGATAAGACATTTTTCCATTGGCTGATATTTTTATTAATGGTTTTGGTATATCACAAAAATGTGCAAAAGAAAAATCTTCATTAAATAATAAAGAGCTATTTTCTATTCGAGATTGTAAAATAATGGTAAAATCAAGAAAAGGACCTTGTATATAATTTTCTGTTATTGCACCCATGTTTAAACAATTGTTTATATATTCTTCTTTTAATGTTAGATTTCCAAATAGAGCTTTTTCTATTATTAGTCCATTTTTTTCTTCTTCTTCCTTTATTTTTTTAACATATACATTTTTTAATTCATTTATTTTATTTTGATAAATCAAATCTGCCTCTTCTTCAAGCTCTTTTCTACACGTTTCAATTGTTGATTGATCAATATAATAACCATTTAACACATCATAATAAAATTTCTCAAATTTATCATTTAAAATTCTATAAGCCTTTTGAATCAAATAGTAGCATTCTTCATGTTCACTTGATAATTTCTTATGAACACTAAACAATTTGGACAGTAGTAAATAACTTTTTCTTATCATTTTCCCATCTGAATTTGTGCTTACATTTAGTATGTCGTAATATCTTGGATTCACGTAACTTTCGTTCATTTCTTTGATTTTTGCTACATAACTTTTTAGAAAGTATGATTTATTTTCACTATTCATGGATGTTATATTCCAAATACTTCTCTCCTCCATTTGTGCTGCATCTTGTAGTTCATAGTCTTCTCCTTCAACAGTTTCCACCATTTTGTCATTTTTTCCTTCTTCCATTTTTCGCTTCCCGTCTTTGATCCTCTGGAACCCAGAGTTGGCAACAAATTCAGATTTCCACTTCAGTCGCTCCATGTAAACGTTGGAGGAGGGAAAAATATTAAAACGTGTTCAAAAAAGGGGAAAAAAAAAAAAAGCAAATTATTTGGGTAATCAAAAAAAAAAAAAAAAAAAAAAAGGGGGGAAAAAAAAAGAAGCAAATTATGTGGATACTCAAAAAAAAAAAAAAAAAAAAGGGGAAAAAGAAAAAAAAAATTTTCATTTCTTTTTCTCCCTTTAATTTCCACTTCTCGTTTCCCCTCCCTTGCACTATCTCTGTTTACACAACCTTCTCGAACAATTCAAACCATATTGATCGCAGTGCAAATTGCCACACGTGTGAAACTGAAGCGCTACGATCCCTTAAAATTGTTTTTCCTGATCATGTGTGTTACTTCTAAAAAAGGGTAACAAGTGGGAAAAATGTCTCCTTTTCTCGTATGGCCAATTTTATAATACACACATTCAATGCAACTTCAGGGTATCATATGGTTATATATATATATATATATATATACATATATAAAGGATAAATGAAATCCATTATGTCATGTCATCCCATGTGGCAACTGCAATATTTTACATGTTTCTTTTTTTAACAAGTCTTGATTCGAGAAATGGTTTGTGCAATTTTTTTCCAATTTCCACTGAACGAGATACATTGCATGTAATTTATGAGTAAAAGTTTACACCTTTTGGTGATGTCCAATTTAAATTGTGAAAAAATTCTAACATAATTGTTATATGCACCCCTTTTTGATCTGCATCAATGATAGTTGTTCTTTTTACACACTGTTTCTGCCTTATCAGAGGTGAGAAAAAGTGTACATAAATAAAATAAATATAAATAAAATAGTAGGGGTAAAAACGAACACTGACTAAAGTGGTGAAATTGCCCTTACGTATTTACCTATTTGAAAATTCATAAAAAAAACAAAAATAAATATACCATCATAAAAGAAAAAAAAATTTCTTCAAAAATAAAACAATTGTAAGTTATGAAACATTCACAAAAAGGTACATCTATTTAATCATAGGTGTAGAAATGTTCCTATTTTTTAGTAAAAAAAAAAAAAAAAAAAAAAAAAATATATCTTCTTATATATAATTTGCAGGAAAAAAAAATTCTTGGGCTAGTGGTGTAGTGGTATCACGTTCGCTTCGCATGCGAAAGCTCCCGGGTTCGATTCCCGGCTGGTCCAAAATTATTCCAGGATTTAAAATTGCAAAAGAGATCGTGAAAATACACACCCGATATATATATTAAATATATATATATATGTATTTAATATATATATATGTATTGTTATTATTAGTTATGGTCGAAAAAATTGTGTTATCTTTTGTGATGTGTTTTCTGATAACTAATATGTATATTATATTAAATCTTAAATCAGCTTGTTTGGGGTACATATATATATATATATCTTATATTATTGACTATTAAAAATTGTGTTTCGTTTTTTTTTTTTTTTTTTTTTTTTCCTATAAAGTTAATGACAATGTTCCTATTAATTTTTTGAATGACTGAAATGGAGGAGAAGAAGAAAGGATCTAGAATTTTATGCCTTTGTCTGTTGCATTGCTTTTGCATAAAGTTAATGTTATTAAATAAGGTAGAACTAAAACTTTTTATTTTAATAATAAAAATTGTTAAAGTTTTTACGTAATAAATGAATGCCGAGAAAGGAACGGATGTAAATACAGAGAATAAGAATTGTATATTCTCATAATATCACAAAAGAGTAAAAGGGGAAGGGGGGGAGAGCTTACTTTATATTTGCTGCACTATAAATTACATTTTTGTAGAAAAAATAAATAATACCACTTTTATTTCTTACTTTATCTGATTAACAAAAAAAAAAAAAGATATGAGGAATGAAATATAATCTCTGCTCAATATTTGAGTTCACTAATTCATATGAGCACAGAGCACTTTATGATACCTTTCACTTTTACATGATAATAAAAATCTCGCTGGAAAAAGTTGCACTATCATTTTCCATAAAAACTTATCAATAAAGAAAATGAACAAACCAACGAACTCAGCTAAAACATGCCATTCATTTTTACGTTCAAAAAGAATGTAGCAAAGTGAAAACTCATGAAATTGTACAAGTCTCTGTTAAATGCAAAACATTATAGATACATTTCTCTTTAAAAAAAAAAAAAAATATAGATACTGAAAGTATTCTCAAAAGGGAGGGAGAAAAAAAATGCCTCCTTTACACACACGTGGTTACAAAAATGTGATAAAATATATATTATTAAAGAAAGAAAAATAAAATGGTACCTCTTATAATTTTGAACGCAAACAAATTACATAAAAACATTTGCTGTCAGTTCCCCTTCACTCACTTTCTTATGTCCTAATTTCTTTGTTCAGTTTTCCAAATTGTAAAGAAAAATTTATCTACAGTAATTTTTTATGTATGAAATTACTTCCTCTTTTTTCTTTCTTTTTAAACAGCGCCAAACAAATTTCCAACATATTTTATACATATGTGTACATATATATACATAACACAACAATGGTGGTCATAGGGATGATCTCTCTATACTGGGTTATAAATCCGTTCTTCTTTTGCCAAAAGTGTGAAATAAATAGTTTTAATGCAGCATGGGCTTCATAACACTGTTCATTACAATTATGTTTATAACTCAGTGCATGTTTTTTCTTTTTTTCTTTTTTTGTGTCTACAAAAAAATGTATACATTAAAAATTAAACTAATTTCTTTCTTTTATACCTTGTTTATTATTTATATAATGCGTTACAATTTTTAATGTAATGTGGTATATATAGTTATTTATTATGTTATTTTACATTCATATTTAACTGTTCTGTAACTCTAAAACAAAAAAAAAAAAAAAAAAAAAAAAAAAAAAACAAAAAAAAAAAAAAAAACAAAAAACTGATGTAAAATTTTGCTCTGTTCAAACATAATAAAAATATATATATTCTACAAAAATCCTCTCCTATTTTATATTCTTTTTTAAATTTTTTTTTTTTTTTTTCAAATTCTCAAAATTAACTCTAATTCATGATTAATGTGGGGTGTGTGTGTTTCTTTCTGTTTGTTGTACCATATAAAAGTTTATAAATTTTTTTTTCTTTGACAGAAGCGGGATTCGAACCCACGCCTTATACAGACTACCATCTGAAAGTAGCGCCTTAGACCGCTCGGCCATTCTGTCGATTGTTATTATTTCTTCGTAAAGTTTAATAAAAATATATATTATCTTTACGATCCAATTCTTACGTGCTCATTAAGAACAAGTTAATGAATATGCATTATCATAATGTTATGCCGTAAAGTTATGGTAGTGTTTCTTTTCTTTTTTTTTTTTTCTTTTTTTACAAATTCCCCAACATTTTTTTAATTATGTTTGATATTAAATATGTATGCACAAGAATATCATTTAAATCATTGCTTCGTTTTATGAACAAAAAAAAAAGAGAGAGGGAAAAAAACGGAGAAAAAATAGCTATGTTCTTCACACCAAAGGGGATGAACATCTTTTCTGCAGGTCCACAGCGGATAATGAGCAGATTCTTATGATACCCAAATGACGAAAAAAAGTTATGCCACATAAAAAAAATATGCTATGGTCAATGTTGTTTATAACTTAAAAAGCAGTTGATATGTTTAACGGGACGCAATTCCTGCTCAAAAAAAAGTGTATCCATGTATCTACGCATGCATAGGATATATATATATATATATATATATATATATATATATATATACGTATGTATATATATATACGTATGTATAGATTGATGCTCTCGCGTGCGTACCCACCTGTATGCATATTTTTTTATTTTTCGATTCTTACTTGACCATCTTGACTTGAACATTTGAGGACACACTATTCGAACTAGAAGAAACCCCAACAAGTGTTAACAAAATGAGTCTTTAAAAGTAGTGTTTTTATAACCCTTTTATGCTTGAAAGCAAAATCTTACATAAACACACTAAAATATATGAACAACAACTTGTGTATACTCCTATGGGTTGCACACATATTTTGTTTCTCCATATCTCTTTTTATGTGCTAGTTTTTTTTTTTTTTTTTTTTTTTTTAAAGGCATAAAAAGATAGAGGACTCCCGTTTTAACTGCTATAAACTTGTTAAGCCTATTTTTTTTATTTTATTTTTTATTCTATTTTATTTTTTTTAAATAGAAAATTAATCTTCTATGTGCCAAAAAAAAATACTTTACTAATGGAAGAATTACACAAACGGGTTTTTACTGTCAGATATATAAAAATAAAAAAACAAGTTTCATGTAACAAAGGAGATCATTTCTCCAACTTTGATATTTTTTTTTTTTTTAAAAATAAAAACTATTTAAAATAGCAAGGAAAAAGGTGAGAATAGGTGTTCCCCTCTAGAATTATAAATTTACTTGATTGTCATCACCACACCAAAACGAAATAAATTTTTATGCTCGATATTGAATCATCTCTACGAACCTCGTCCATCGTGTCTGTACAAAGAGGTCAAACACGCAAAGAAGAAAATATATACATATATATGTACACACATATATATGTACATATGCATATATATATATATGTACACACATATATACTTGCCCCCCCCCCCTGAATCGTTTTGGTGGTACGGCATGAAAATGTCCAACAGGAATGACTAACATCGGATGCAGCTCCTCTCATTACTTATAGTAGCGATAAATATATTCAACTTCAAGACTAGAAGTATAGCTAGAAAAGGACGTATTCTTCAATATTACTGTGTCTATGTACACTATCTAATACTGTTATGTAAAAATGCCAAAAACGTAGAGGGTTATCAAGTAACGAGTGTGAGATTTCCATGTGGAACAGGTGAATTGAACAATCTTCGAGATTTCAGAAGGAAGAAACATAAAAGAGTCTTCTTCAAATATGACAATTATAGAAATGTTAAATGGGGTGAAACCACAAGCTGCAGGAGAAACAGATGCAGAAGCAGATTCTATGCGACAAATGTTAAATCTAATCAGCCATGGGAAGAAAGTATCAACCCAGAAAAAGAAGTAAATGATGGAAGTACTACAAAAAAAAAAGTGTATAATTATTTTAACGCCCTATCCAAAAGTAGTGTAATAAATAAGATGGTTGATGAAAATGTAAATTTTGAAGATGGAGTAGTTAGCTTTTTCACACTCAATGCTAATCCTAATATTGGATTCTTAATTAATAATATGAAAAAAGGGAAAAAAAGGGAGCAGCATCTGATTAATGCAGAAAAAGAAAATATCAATGGCAAAAGCTTTGATCAGAAGAAGAAAATGAAGTTAATGGATGAAAAAAGACGACATAACGAACGAAACAAAAATGAAACATCACTCATCATGGAAGAGAAGAAGAAGAAGAAGATTCGTCTAAAACTTAAGAGAGGATATATGAACGAAATATACGACAGGGAAAAAAGAAAACTTAACGACATTTTACTATCCTTTAAGGATAAAAATATATTTAATATAAAAAAGAAAAAAAGACTCAAAGAAAATATATTATTGCTAAATGGAAAAACTGTTAACATAGAAGTGATAAAACAATATTTATTTCATAAGTTAAGATTAGAATATTATGAAAGTATAAGAGATCAAAAAAAAATTCTCACCCTAGATTTATGGTCAAAGGAAATTAATGTATCAGTTGAAAATTTAAAAAAATTAATTGTTTATATTTACAAAATGAAAACATTAGTACAAAAAGAAGATGAAGAATTATTAATTAAAACTTACTTTTATAACAAGAAAAACATGTTCCTATTGTTTAGAAATTCTACTTCACCTGGACAAAAGGTAGATATGTTAGACTTCCCCCTTCCGGATGTAATTTCTCAGTCGGACTCTCCTGATGATCCAGCTCGTGTGAATATGCAAACTGGATGTCAAATGAACAACAATGGTTTAACTTCAAAAGGTGAAGAATTCAAAGGTGCCATAGAAGAGTCTCCATTAGATAAAAGCGTGAAGGGAGGAGGGAAAGACACCGAATGTTATGTGAGAAATGGAAGAAGAAGAGAAAAAAAAGTTGGAAATGTCGGAGAAACAGCCCATGTAGGGGAGGACGCAGGGGTGAGTGGAAGAACGGAATTCCTAGCTGATACAAAAACCTATTTAAAAAACAATGTGGTAAAAAATACCGGGATGAATGCCTCATATGAACACGACATTTTTGCAGATTACTTTGAGGGGAAAGAAAGCGTAGAGTACAAAGATTGTGAGAATTTAATAAACGCAGAAGTTCAAAAATTCATGGAATGTATCAAAGATGTGGTATTTTTTGAGAATTCAATTTATATGCTTGAAAAATTACAAAATAGACCCCCGTTATTAGAAGAAATAATTTTTGCTTATAATTATGAAAAGGAAATTTTTATAAAAAAATTAGAACAGAAAATAAAGTTATCACAACAACTACTCATATATTTTATCCCACTAATTAATAATATAATAAAAAAAGCTGAATCTAATTTTACGAGTAATTTAACCGAAGATGATTTTTTGTTAGTTAGCTTAGATGCTGTCAAAAATGGGTTCAAAAAATATGACGTAGAAAAATTAGGAATAAAAAATTTAACAAAATATGTATACATGTGGGCCAAAAATAGTACGTATAATTACTATCAGAAACACAAGACATTTGTATCCGTCTCCCCACATACGTATAATGATTATAGCAAAATAAAAACTTTTGAAGAAAATTTTGCAGAAAAAAATGAAAGAAAACCAAGCATAGAAGAAATAAGTCACGGGTTAAATATGAGTATAGAACGGGTTCAAAAAGCTTTATCCTCTGCTGTTAATATCATAGATGCAGAAAAACCAATCACATATCAAAATAGCAATTCTGCACACCCTGAAAAAAATACCTACAAAGATTTAATCGTTAATTCGGATGATATTCATAGCATCAATGAAATTATGTATAACGATATTGTGATTAAAGGGTTAAGAAAATTTATATGTAATTCTTTAAAAAAAAAAATTAATAAATTAATCATTTTCATGAAGTTTGGCCTCTTTTTAAAGAAAAAAATTTACACAGATGAAGAAATTTGTCAAACACTCCAAATCACCAAAAACAAATTCCAAAAACATTTTCAAATCTCCCTAAATCAGATCAAAAATTATATTAACAAGATAAAGAAGATGAAGACGATGAAGAAGATGAACACGCTGAAGAATAAAATGTCTGAGAACGATTTGAACTTTGACATAACATCCTATATGAACTTTTCTGAATACGATTTTTTGGGAAATGAGTTTTCTCAAATTATGTTATGATCCCAAGTGGTAACTTATCTATAGAAGTTAACTCAAATTGGAATCCATATTCTATGTATCCCTTAGGAATGCAATATTTTTTCGACACAAATGATTCAAGTAAAAAAAAAAAAAAAAAAGGGATATAAAACGTTTTGGTGACAACAACACCACACTTTTTTTTTTTGCAAATGTATGGTCCTATAAAAATATGGCCTCACGAATGTATGGTTTTGCGTTTAATATTTGTTGTCAATTTTTTCCTTTTTTTCCTTTTTTTCCTTTTTTTTGTTTTCTTCCCTTTCAACCGTTTCTAATCGTTTGAACGTTTTCAATTTTTCATTTTTTTAACGTCGCATGAAACCCGCTAATCGGAGCAACCTCTTCTTTTGCCCCGATTCGAGGATCCGGCAAAAAGTACAAGGCTTCAAAAAAAAAATTGACTATCAAATAAATAGAAAGTGTCGGTAGCGAGCCAAAGTTGCTCCGAATAGGAATTCCATGTCGGTGTGTACACAGTTTGCATGCGAAGGTGACATTTGCACTACTGGTAAAAGTAATTCAGTTTCCAGCATTACACAAAGTTTTTTTCACTGTCCCGAATTATACCTAAAATTAACCATGATTCCTCCTTTTTTATGTGACATTTGTATCCCTTCAACAATTCTGGAATAAAAGCAATTATTATTAACTGTGACGTCAATATATGATTCATCTATGTTTATGTTTTCATACACTTCCTTCCCAATAGAGTAAAATCTTTTACCAGAGATATTTTTCAGATATTCCAAATTTTTGTCAACAAATATGTTATCACAGTTTGGATTCATAGCCAATGCTGCATCTGGGTTCGTGGGAGGCTCATGCAGATCGCAGTACTTTTCCTTCATATCCATTCCTTGATCAATCGTTGCATCAGAGGCTGCATCTACCTGACCAGATGCAACTTTTGCATACGACCCATTTTTATTTGTATTATTCCATTCTTCGTCTGAAGATATCTCCAATATATCGATGTCCGAATCAATGGATTCATTGGAACCGTTTCCTGAACCCTTCAAGTCATACTCATAAAAATGCTTCACCCCGTTGCACTTTCCATCTGTTTTTATCAAATACTGACTAATGAACACATCATTGGAATTTTGGCTAGCTGCAATTCTTCCCGACTTTTCGATAACCTTTTCATTGTCAGAGTTAAAAACCTGAACTGACCAATTGGATAATGTTTTTTTTAAACATAATGAACCATGAACTCCAACAAAGTTAATTTTTGTAAGAAATTCCTCATTCCTGTTATTCATCAAAAGGTAATTTCCATGTACATCCATTTCCTCTGATGCATTTTTCTGCTGCTGGAAGATTAGTATACCTGAGAGGGACACATAGTGCTCATCTTCTAGATTTACAGTTTTTTTCTCTTCTTCTTGTGTTACCTCTGGGGGAGAAGTCCCTGTCATCCCAGTTGCGTCGTCCAGTTTGTCTTGGAGCTGCTCGTCCAGTTTGTCTTGGGGCTGCTTGTCCAGTTTGTCTTGGGGCTGCTCGTCAATCCTGTCTTGCGGATTCCCTTCTGAGCTAACCCCCTGCACGGCGTGAGCACCACTGAACCCACTTTGCTTCTTCAAAAAATTTGCAGTCAATCCAGTAACATTCAGATGCAAGACAATTTGCAATATATTCAAAATCGTGCACAGGTCCTCAGTTAAAATGTCAGCACTAGGAATGGAATCATTCTGATTGTTATACAAATTCATACTGTAGTGAGTTACCGTAACTGAGATGATATTCTTGATGTACTTTAATGCATCTTTTGCTTCGTATAAACATTCATCATGGATATAATTGTTGTTTACCCAACTAATTTGTTTAGAATTCTTTTTATATTTCGAAATCACTTCTAAACAGCGTTTAGAGCTGTCAGATAAAGTACCATAAGTGAAGATATGCTTTGAGTTCTCCAGCATCAATTCTGCAATATCGGCCTTAATAACCCAAGGGACATCGATTACACAAAATTGAAATTTGTACATGGTTAAACAGTCAACTAAATTCTTTTTCAAATTTGTTATATTTTTGTATGACTGTTTTTTTTCTCCTTTATTCACTCCTTTCAATTGTTTTGAATCAATATTTTTGTTAATACCATCCGATGTGTTGTTCCAATTACTCATAGATACTACCTCATTATTATTGTAAATTTTAACAACTTTAATTTCTGATAGATCCATATTTCTAGTACTTTTCTCATATGCAGAATTTTTATACTTGATGTTCATAAAGGTTAACACAGATTCTTCTTCTCTTGAAAGTAAAAAAATATATTTGAGTTTTATTCTATTTTCAAAGGACAAATAGTATAAGCCATCATTTTGTACGAAATAGTTGATACCCACAATAGCATAAGTAATTGGGTTAAGGCAAAACTGAATATTGTATAATAAATCATATGAATGGTTTATATTATTTTGCGAAAATTTTGTGTAACTATTGAGTCCATTTTTATTAATTTTTTCAGCTTTTTTATTTTCCTTATTAGACATTTTGATAGCACATTTGATGAATCTAATAGACTTGTGATAGTTTCTTAAGACTTTATAACAAGATGCAATGTTAATATATGTTGAAGAATGGCGTGTATTCTTAAAGTTACGCAAACTTTGTTTCATGTAATATATGGACTTTTCAAATTCTCCAAATTTCATACACACATGACCACATACATCTGCAATGTCTTCATCATTTTTTAAAGAATAATAATTTTCATAACATTCTTTTATATCTAACAAAATATCTTTTTCTGTTCTTCCATTAATATTTGGGTAACTAGCCAAATTAGTGAACAAATTTCGTATATTGAAAAATACATCTGAATCATGATTTGAATATCTTAATAAAGATATTAACTCTTTTATGCTTACATTTGTAGGGTTATTATTAATATTATGAATAATTGCTTTTTGCCAGCTAATTAAAATATCAGGTGGAAACTGTTCCATGTTATCAAAAAAGGATGAAATGGTTCCACCAAATTTTATCGACATATTATTTAAATTTTTCAAATTTATCTTTTTCATTTTTTTGTACACATTCTCATCACCTGAGGATCGTTTGCTCCAATTTGATCTGTTCATTCCTGTATTTTCTTTTAATTTCCAACTGGACGATGATGTACTTACACTCACTTGTTTTTGATATCTCTTCTTTAGATGCATTTCTTGAGAATTCTTTTTAAAATAATCCAAAATGCAAAAATGTTTTCTCTCCCTTATTTTATCTTTTCCTTTCCAATCAGATGCACAAGCAGAATGCAAATTTGTAGAATCATCCAAGGAATTACAACCCCCACCAATTCCATTCATCTCTTCTATCATTTTCAATTCACAATCTTTTTCCCTACATTTGTTGTGCATCAAGAGAGTTACTATCTGAAAGCTATCAGAATATGGTGTGTGTATATAATATCCTCCCAAAGAAAGAAAGTAAAGACAGATAGCATGTAAATTAACCATGAAGGAAAGACTACCATGGACTACTATATGTGGTTCTCTATATCCTCTAAATTCTTCATATGACTGATAACCTTTATCCCCAATTAAGCATAAGAGTTTATTGTTACTAAGTTTTAAAATTCTATTAAATAATATGAATGCACCTACTGGCAAGACAAAAGATAAAGTCTGATTAAAATATGAATATAATTTGAGTACTTTATAAATATCTGGATACTTTTTTAAGTAATCAGATGGTTTTTCTGCCCTTTCTTCTGTTTTTTCTGCGTTTTCTACCTTCTCTCCCTTTTCTGCCTTTTCTACCTTCTCTCCTTTTTCTGCCTTTTCTTTCTTAATTTCCTCATCTATATTTACCTTTTCCCAATCCCATGTTACAGACATACGTAGCATAATGTCTGCACTGGTTTTGTCTTCTTCTACATTTGGAGAGTAAACAGAAAGAAGTGCCCTTCTAAAATCATTTTCCCCATTGACAATCCATGCATCAGTTAGTAATGAATCCAAGACGTAGTTACAAATCAGAACAATTGGTGTATTTGAAGGAATATAATTTTTAGAAATCTGTAAATAAATTTTATCATTTGTTTCATTTCCATCAAAGTATGCAAAATCAAGCATTGAAAAATTGTAATAATTTCGATTTTTTTCTTCTGAATAATTTGTCTCATTATTAGATGAAGAATAACCAGAACTGTTTGTACATGAATCATAATTGATAGTTTCTTCTTTTTCAAACTCAGAATCATAACAAAAATTATTTTTACTTGTGTAAGTGCCATCACAACTATCCCTTGTATTAATAAACCTTTTTAACCTTGCATTGTTCATACAATATGTAATGTTATCTTTTGCAATGTCGGTGAAAACATATACAAATGGTCTCTCAGGCAAGTTCATGCTCTTAAAATATTTTTGATATTTTGTTAATGCTCTTAAAATTAGGTATGTAAATTTCCCATGTCCAGCACCAATCTCTAATATGTATATAGGAACATTTCTATCACATTCTGTACTATTAAACCAGTCTCTCATGTAATTAATTATCACTCTAGCGTAATCTTTAGCTATCTTACTATTGCTAGTTACAAATGATGGAACTACATTTTCTTTCCATGCATTTATTGCTGCCTTTCGATAATAGTTCTGTAACAAATCCCAAATGACACTATCACATAGAGGTTCCTTCCTCGCAACACAAAACTTTTTCTCAGGGTTCTTCTCAATGATAACTTCTCCACCCATCATGGTTCTCTTTTTTTTTTTTAAGATGAATTATTGTAAATTTTATAAACACAGTGCTAAGACTTTTCGATAATATATATATACATATATATATATATATATATAGAGGCTACAAAAATAAGGTGTACAACTCAATGTCTGATGTTACACATTCCACGGAAAAAACAACCTTAACACAATTCGAAGTATCTTATGTGTCCGTCCAATTAATATACATGAATTATGAACTCAATCTTTTTTTTTCACTCAATTTCTACAAGTTGAAAAAAAAAAAATAAAATAAAATAAAAAAATAAAAAAGATTGAGGTGAGCGAAAATTATTCATACAAATGTGATTCCCGTTTGCATCCTTATGTTGTACATAACTGTAGCTTTACAATACTTTGCTAAAAGGTACTCAATTGTGTGTAACCCAAAGGAAGGAGGGAAATGTGGAAAAAAAAAAGTGCTAAACAGTGCGAGGTGTGGAAAAAATATGAAATAGAATGGCCAAAAAGTGGCAGATAAAAATCGCAAAAACAAAATAAGACTTGCACAATTGAGGTTCACACTAAATCAGTTGTACAATTACGAGGGATTATATTTGCGTGCAATTACTCCCAAGGGATGCAAAAAAAGAAAAAAAAAAAAAAAATAGGACGAAAACAGGTGCACATATGAACAGATTTTTTTAATGCAAGCATACAGACATATGGATATATACAAAATATTGGCATATATGCATATATGTATCATATGCAAACACACAAATGTGTATGACTCGTAAAGCAAGCAGTCTTCTTCATTACACGTGTGAATGTGATGTAAATGTGATTTACATATGTATGTATATGTTTTTTTTTTTTTTTTTTTTTTTTTATTTGTGCCCCTGCGTGCAAATGCTTATGACATACATGTTTGGCAAATTTTCCATTTTCGTGTACATACAACATGAAAAGAAAAAGTTGAAAAGTGAGGGAAGGGTGGGGGTATGTCTGTCTTCCCCTATTGCGTTTTCCCTTCAAAATTTAATCCAAATGTTGCTGTATACATGGTATATTTCACTGACGACACGAATATTTAGCCTTTTTCAAGTTAAAAAAAATAAAAGAAAAAAAATAAATGAAAATAAAATAAAATAAAATAAAAGATATGAAAAGATATGAAAAGATATGAAAAGAAAAGACAACTTTCTCCCAGGGGGAGAAGATACTCACCTTTCCGCATATTATGCCATCAGAGGAAATGCGAACACCCATGATATATACATGTGTTGCTTTATGCACATGCATGGTTCATAACTTTTCTTGGGGAGTGTATCATGCAGTTACTCTCCCGGCACATTAAGTCATTCACATTATTAATCAAGTTTCATCAAAAGGGTGGTGTTGTTTTTCATAAAAAAAATTGTTATATACATTCCATAAGACATATGTCAGAAAGGTGTTCAAAAAATGTTACACCACAAAATTGGTGCAAACATTTGTAAAGTAACAGTGTGTGTGTGTGTGTCTGACGTTAACAGTTACAAAAAACAGAAAAATGGTGAACCATTGCGAATGGTTTCTGTGGTGAAATGCAAATAACACTCAAAACAAAACGAAACAAAACAACGCAAAAAAAAAAAAAAAAAAAGAAAAGAAAAAGCGAGGAAAAAATGGAAAAAAAAGTGGAAAAAAAAAAGGGAAAAAAAAAAGGAAAAAAGCTCATAGCAAAAATAATGGGTTAAACTACTAAAGGCCTAAAGAAACATCGAATATTTCCGTGTGGCTAATTCAGCAAGCGGAAAAAGTTTAAGCAAAGAATGGAGACGGTAACTCATTTTGGAGTAAGCGTCTTTCCTTTATTTTGTTTTTTTATATTATTTTTATGTTATTTTTATGCCATTTTTGTTTTATTTTATTTTTATGCCATTTTTGTTTTATTTTATTTTTATGCCATTTTTGTTTTATTTAATTTTTATGCCATTTTTGTTTTATTTTTATTTTTATTCTATTTTGCCGTTCTTGAATACCCTCATAAAACACACGCTTGTAATATGATATATACGTGCGCAATTCCATTAGCGCAAGTGGATTCAAGAAAAAAAAGTTCACACAACAAAAGCATTACAAGAAACAGCGTGGGTGCATCACATCTCTTCTCTCACAATAAATCCATAAGAATCGGTTTCGATTATATCTAGACGACTAGGCATGAACCTCTACACATCAATCGTTCTGCAACTTCCTCTTCACCTGCTTTTCACCCTAGTACTGTTCCTCATTTTTATTCTTCCACTTCTCACATATGGTCGTGCTTCCACACATAGCCTTTCCCAAATTGAGACTTACATTTAAAAGGATCTTTGGGTTGTTGAAATTGCTAACTGCAGCAACAATAGATGTAGCCATTTTCCTTGGATTTTCACTTTCGAAAATTCCTGAACCAACAAAAACACCATCCATACCTAACTGCATGCACATAGCAGCATCTGCTGGAGTTGCAACTCCACCAGCAGCAAAATTTACTACAGGTAATTTTTTTAATTTTCTTGTAAGTAACAAAAGATCAATGGGTGCACTAATTCTTTTGGCATAATTATAAACTTCGCTTTCACTTAATCCACATAAGTAATTAATTTCATTACGTACTGTCCTTATGTGTTTAATTGCTTGAATTATATTTCCTGTTCCTGCTTCTCCTTTGGTTCTTATCATAGATGCACCTTCAGAAATTCTTCGTAAAGCCTCTCCTAAATTTGTACATCCACATACAAATGGGGTTTTAAATTTGTGTTTATCAATATGATTAATTTCATCAGCCATGGTTAAAACTTCACTTTCATCAATCATATCAATTTTCAACTCTTCCAAAATCTGTGCTTCTACAAAATGACCAATTCGAACTTTCGCTAATACATTAATAGATACGTTCTTCTTTATTTCATCAACTTTGCTTGGATCAACACTTCTAGCAACACTTCCTTTATTTCGAAGTTCAGATGGAATATTTTCTAAAACCATTACACCAATAGCTCCTGCCTCTTCTGCTATTTTCGCTTGTTCTACATTTTTCACATCCATTATCACTCCTCCCTTCAGCATTTCACACCATCCATGTTTTAGTAAAATAGAATCATTATCTCTTTGCTCTTCCATTCTTTTCAGGTTCTCCAAATGGTTCTGCATGAGCTAACAACTGTGTAGATCGGCACCAAGACTGCAGATAAGCTGCACTGGTATGTATATACCCGGTTATGTATGTACGTGTTCAGGTAAACACGCGTGGATGTTTTTTCCCCTCACCGATATTTCTTGTAGAGATCTTTTACAACCTCGCAAAAGCTGTAGGTGATGATTTTGCTCTTATGCTGCACTTACGTAGAATGTAATATGCTTTGTACAATTATTTTTAAAAATAAAATAAAAAAAACAGTTTTTAATTTTTATCTTTTCTTTTATTAAAAAGGACTAATAATTAAAGAGTATAAAACGGTATGTAGATGAATTATGTGTATGTAGTGCTTGATCAGATGGTCATGTCATGTTATGTCATGCCATGTCATATTTTTTTTTTTTTTTTTTTTTTTTTTTTATGCACAATTTTTTCCCTACATTGCTTTTATATAAATCCCTTTTTCATTATAATTTTAAATATATTATTTTTTTTTATATTGTTATATTGTAGCTGAAATTTTTCGTTTTTTTAAGAACATCCTATATGCTGCGACTATATAAAATTTCTCATTTTTTTACGTCGATGTTGCTAAAGGATACATAACAGTGGTTGAATATGAAGAAACATTGCTTAAATGGTAATGTTCTTTGTGCGAGTGAAATAAAAGGTCTTGAAAAATATGTTAAAAAAAAAAGTAATAAAATTATAGATGATAGAATTAAAAGCGATAAAATTAAAAGCGATAAAATTAAAAGCGATAAAATTAAAAGCGATAAAATTAAAAACGATAAAATTAAAAACGATAAAATTAAAGGCGATAAAATTAAAGGCGATAAAATTAAAGGCGATAAAATTAAAGGCGATAAAATTAAAGGCGATAAAATTAAAGGCGATAAAATTAAGGTGATAGAATGAAAAAAAAATAAAAATGACCGATCCAATGGGGGGGGGTATATATCTCAAGGTGGAGAAAAATAAAAAAAATTTACTGCATAATGCTATATTTAATATGCAAATTGTAGATTCGATCGTTGAGCGCAAGCTCAAAAAAAAAAAAAAAAAAAAAAAAAAAAAAAAAAAAAATCCCTTTGCCTAATCTCCCCCCAATATTAGTCAGATATCAAAATTATTCAAGTGGCAGCATTAAGCATAAGCCCATATGCACTAATATGTGTTCATTAATTCAGTGAATATGTATATGTGAATATATGCATGGATGAATAGATTTACTAGTATGTTGCTCAAGGATGGAGAGGAAAAGGAAATGCATCATTTTTTGCTCCCGTAAATGTATACCCGAATGATGTAGAAGAAAAAAGTTGTTCGCAGTTTTCTAAATCTTAAAAAAAAAGGGCAGGGGGGGATTTACTCTTCTCTCACTCTTTTACATATTTACAAACATAAAATTATATATATACATATTATTATATGTACAATTACATTCTCGGTGCATATATATATATATATATATACATATACCTATATGAGGCATCATATATATATATATATGAGTCCTTTTCAACACCAGGATGAGAGAGAAAAAACGTCACAACATGACGTTGCTCTTACCCCCAAGCACAACTACGCGCAGACCGTCATTTAAACTATATAATTACATGTATGAAAAAATATACATATATATATATATATATATATCTATGTTCAAACTTCTGCACTTTATTGGAATAAAGGAATTACATTATTTGTTTCACATCTGGTTCTGGTTCAGCTTTTGAAACATGTACTAATCTTTTGCAGAATGCATTCATTCCTCTCCCTCATCGCTGCAGATTTTTACCACAAATAGGTTGTGCTTTTTCTTTTTTTTCTTCCAAAGAAGGGGCGGGGAAATTCATGGTGAACTAAAAAAAAAAAAAAAAAAAAATTTTTTTTTATAGTTTAAAAGAACGTTTATTGCAGGTATACGAAAAAATACACGAAACGGTTGAAATTCGAGAAAAAAATAATAAAATATAAATAAAAAAAAAAAAAAAAGTTTAAATAATCCAAAAGGTAAAAAAAAATTACTTTCCATATTTTTATGCATGAAAAAGGAAAATTGCTACAAAAATTTCTCAAATGAATAAAATTTGAAGAGGCTTAAATTATCATTCTTAAATGGAAGAAGTGAGGTGGTGGAAAAAAAAAAAAAAAGGGGAGAATAGAAAAAAAATAGAAGAAAAAAAAAAAAGATTGGTTGTAATATCGAACGTCCTATAAATTTAGATAAATACCCCAAACATCAGATTCCCACCTGCATCATTGAGAAGTGGTGAACACAATTTACGACTCTGAACATTCCAAAACACAAAGTTTGAAGGAGGAAGAAAAAATGACAAAAAGTTTTGCAAAACAGAAAAACAAACTGAAGAAGCTAAATAATTCTGGGGGCGGGAAAAATGGAGTAATTTTACTAAAGGGTAAGAAGAAAAAAACACAACGAGGAAATGGAATAATTAGAAAGAGGAACAACAACGGGTTCGGTAATTCAAACGATTCAAAGGAGAAATGTGTTCAGAAAAAAAATAATACAGCAGAAAAGAAGAATGTGAAAAAATTGCTACACAAAGAAAATATGGGAAAAAAAAAAACGCTTAAGACACAAAAACAAATAAGCGATAAAAATAAAAAAATAAAAAAAAAACGAGAGGGGGAAAAAAAGAACGAAGTTTTAAACGAAAAATGCAAAAAAATTATGAACGATGAAAATCTGTCAAAATCCAAAAAAAAAAAATTAATAAAAGAATACAAAAAAAAAGTTGTAGTAGAAAATTATGACTACTACAAAAAATTGAGAATACAATTAAATGATTTGCTACAGACAAAGGATAAAATGGAAAAAAAAAGACAAATAAACATTATCTATAATGACTTAAAAAAAGTCCAACTTGTAAAATTTTCTCGTACTAATTTAGGTTATCACATTATATCTTCTCTAATAATAAATGGAGATGAGGAAATCCAAAAAAAGTTATGGAAAAATCTGTGTGAACATTTTGCCGATATTAGCACTTTTAATTTTGTGTCTCTCATATTCCAGTGTTTTTATAAACACGCAAAGTGTGAAGATATAAAAAGAGATATATATCAATGGTTATTAAAAAACACGAAAACTTTTTTTACCAAATTTGCTTCCAGATTATGGCATGCCGTTTTTAAAAAACTCAAAATGGATATGAGAATGAGTATGACAAATCACCTGATTATGCCTAATAGTAACAACAACAATAATAAAATCATATGTGATTTAAAAACTATGTCAGTAGATATTTTGAAAAAAAGTACTAAAGAAATGTTCACCACATTTAGCGATGAAAATAAAACACTAATAAGTAAATACATTATTGAATTGATTGAAAATATTGTTGAAAAGGAATTGCTTTACAACATCGTTTCACATAATATACTCCTAACATCATGTGAAATTTTAAACGATCAAGATTTAGAAAATATAATGGAAATTATTCACCAAGGTTGTGAATATCTCATATCTTCCAATTTGGGAAATCAAGCATTAATTTATTTACTAGGCTATGCTACAAATAAACATAAAAAAAATTTAATAAAAATTTTAAAAAATGATATCCCTGAATTGTGTAAAAATAGTGTTAATTTTTTGTTAATAATTAGGTTACTAAAAATTACGGATGATACAAAATTGTTGAACGATTTTATTGTTAAAAAAATTGTAAATGATTTTGAAAATATATTCAATGATTACTATGGTTTTTATGTCATTCTAGAATTCTTCTATCACATAAATCAATTTAATGATGATAAATATTTTTACGTAGATTGGAAAAATATGATATACTCCAAGGCAATCAAAAGTATTAAGGACCCAGACAAACGAAAAAATGAAATCATACAACCTATTATTGATAACTTACAAATTCTTTTTCAAAATGAAAATAAACTAGCTTATTATGTAAAAGATAAGAGATATATTATACTTATATATGAATTCTTATCACACGCACAAAATGAGCAAGTCCTCAAAAACTTACTCTCTCTTATTGAACAAATTATTCTTGTATATAAAAATAAAGAAGACGTAAATATTAACTACAATTGTAAAAATATAAATGATTTGTTTTTAAAAATATTTAACAATTCTGCAAGTAATAAACTCCCAAGTAGACTAATAAATGATCTACCCTTTTATCAACACCTTTCAAATACCCTTCTCCCAGAATTGGAAATTATTTTGAAATCAGAATTAATCAAAACCTTTAACAATTTCTTCCTTTTCCTCAAACACAATGATACAAGTGAATATGAAAGAGTCCTTGCGAGGGCCAAGCAGATAGATAATAAGCAAATTTATGAAGAATTAAAAGCGATTCTCCCCAATTTAACTCATTTTGATAAGTATCTAGAGCTCGTCACCAGTAATGTACGGTCCTGAGAAAATTCACGCGCTCCTACTGTGTCGTCTTAGGAGTTGCGAATTCTACCCGTGTCTCAAGAATAACCCCCCACACACAAACCAAGCCAACGAGAAAGGGAAAGAGAAAAGTTTTTTAAGATTGAAAAGGTATTTAAAATTAGCAAGTAAACTTTGAGTACGTGGAATTAAAAAGCGGAAAAAAATTAAATTAAGTCGAGTCAAATTATGTCACGTCGAGTCAAGTCAAATTAAAGTTTGCATTTTTTTGTGGTTTCCATTTTTTCCCAATGTATGTGTACATGCATGTCTGCTCACGTGCGTATATACATATACATTTCTGTAAATTTAAAACAGAACTGTGTAATTTCTGTTCAGTTAAGCAATTCTCAAAACAAACATCAAACCGTTTTGCATGTTGTGATTATGGAAGCTGTTTACATCACCTTCTATGTGCGTTGCAGCTTTTACCATAAATATGACTCCCTTTTTTTTTTTTTTTTTTTTTTTTTCAATTTTAATCCCATTTATACAAACAAACGAATCATCAGTATCCATTTGGTAGCTGTTATTGTCTCCATTTATAGATTCTTACATACGTTACATATATTACAAAATATGTTGTAAAACATTTGCTTTAACAAAAATAATTACAACTATTGGTACTGAATTCTATAAAATAAATGTTATTCCAATGTGGTATAAGAAAATTCAATTCTTATCACTTACGCGTTAGGGTAGGTTAAATTAATTTCCTTCATCTCTTCCTTGTAACATAGGCATTCGCTCAACAACACTGTTACGGTAGCGAAAACAAAAAAACAAACATACCATGAACCTGCAAAATGGCACATTTTTTGTAAACATGTATAACAAAAATAGTAAGTTAACAAAAGTACACACAATAAAAGTCAGCTAGCTAAAATGAGATCTAGCAAAAAAAAAAAAAAAGTCTAAGGCGTAATGCCCAGTAGTAGTTTTACATGACACAGGAACCCCATAAGTGATGGAAGACAAAAACAAATGAATAATGTTATACGATACTACATAGTCCAAGCATTTTTTCGATCTTTTCACAATAACTTTTATGAAGTAAGACCTAAATGTTTGAAAAGGGAATTGTAAATATATCTTGCACAATGTTTACATTAACAAATATATGTTCATATACCTGAACGTGCAAGGCGAATTTACTTAGTGCTGAAAACACATACATATTTTTGCACACAAAGCATATATGATAAATTTTCATGTACATATCTGGCACATGTACTTATGCCTAGACACTTATATGTACACGGACATGTTGAACTCCTCATCGTCCACACACCCCACCTCCCCGAGAGGAGAAAAAAAAAAAAAAAATGTATGTTCTTTATCCTTACATTAAAAGGGAATTCAATATATTTATAAAAAATATACAAAACAGTGCATCGTCCCCACTAAAATACGATTCAGTATTAAAAATATAAAACAAGTTTCTAGAAAAACCAGCCAAAGTAAAAATGAAAAAAGTTGTTATACTAGAAACTGAATAGTACAACGATTGCAAGCATAACATTTGCCATAGGATAAAATGGACATTATTTTTTGGAGAATTCAAAATAAATGTTCCATTTTTTGGTCCAAAATATGATAACACTCCCATTTTTCAATCAAACACGAGTGTAAAAATGTGAAGAAAAGGTGTTACAATACATACACCGTGCGATGTATACAAAAGTTTTGTTTTTGCATGCTGAACAGTTTCAATGAACATACATAATTAGGAATAAAAATGAGTTAATGAAAAGTTTTACATGAAAAAATGAAAAAAAAAAAAAAAAAAAAATTAATATGCTTTATCTCACTACCTTTTTCCATGCACATTTCAATCTGATTTTCCACGCTCTTTGGTGAAACGATTTTCAATTTTTTATAACATAAGAAAACTTTTACATGACATTCGCAACACATGCAGAGAACGTGCATTGTCAAATTGGGTGATGCCCCAATGGGAGGGGGGGTATCTTTTTGGTTCCTACACAACTATATATTTTCTCTTCGTCTTTTTTTTTGTGCAATGCTCTATGTATATTACTCGTCTTATGATATTTCCCCCCTTTGCTATTACTATTTTATATATATTTTTTTTTTCATCCCTTTAGTCCATTTTTTTCTTGTCACACGTTTCGCACATTTCGTACGTTTCGTCTTTTTTTTTTTTTTTTTTTTTTTTTTTTTCCTTTCAAGCATATGTTTCTCCTCTTTTGCTTTCTTCATAAAATGAACGAATAATTCTACAGGCAAAATATCAAGCAAGGAATGTTCATAAAAAATAAATGCATTAAGTAGCATGTCGAGGTACAACAACATACCGTTAAAGTTTCACATTTCTCATTACTCATGTATCACACCTAAGTAGTGACCATACTTTGCTTTAGAGAAATCCCTCTCGTGATGTTTCAAAAATATGCAAAATGCGAATATTTTAAAAACTGTAATGTACGTGAGCCATGTGCACACATTTGTAGAATCGGTTATAGTGAGAGCAAAAAGGGAAGCACACATTTAAACACAAATGCAAACGCAGGCGTAGGTGGAGAGAGGAAAGTAATCTACATTAATTTATTCGATTAAATAAATTTATAACAAAATAATTCTTTTTTTTCAAACCAAAATTTTTGTAATCTTTCATGTTATGATGCACACGCAAATATGTGATCTTATAATGTGGTAAAAAAAAAAAAAAAAAAAAAGAAAAAAAGACCTGTTCATTCACAAACAACGTTTTGTACATCCCAGCTGTAACATACCAAGAGTAACCCTATATTAAAAAAAAAAAAAAAAAAAAAAAAAAAAAAAAAAGTATGTACCCTTTTTTTTTGTCACACATTTAAGGAACACTTATATTATTCTTCTCTGAGGCATGAAAAAATATTTTTATTCCAATACGTTTCCCTTAACAACGCATAAATGAGGTGAAAAGTTTTCTTAATTCCAAATCTTTTAATTTATTTATTCATTCATTCACCTATTGTCCATTTTATATATATATATTTTTTCGGCTTGGGGGAGGGGAATTATTTTCAATTTAGAGATATACAAAACTAGTTATTAAAACCATTGAAATATATTTCGCACACACTATAGTCCTATACAGATAATTTATCAACGTTCACCATTTATTGTGCATGAGAGCGCATATCTCGTGGTGATAAGTTCACAGGCAGTCCTAACAATTTCAGCTCATTGCGTGTAGAATATATTGTAAGACATTACAATATTATGTTTTTTTTTTTTTTTTTTTTTTTTTCCTGTTTCATACAAAGTATTATCTATTGTACCTTTTTTACTGTAATATTTTGTTAGTCTGTTTTATCAAGTAGACGAATTGGAAATATGTTAGAATTGATAGGGATAAGCAAAGATATAGGGGTATAACATGTTTTATAGAAAGAACACGTAAAGAAATGAAACGATTGTGTAATGATTATTTTGTAGAATTAATATAAAGAACTAAAAATGATATACCTTCTTTGTTCGATATTGTATACATGTATTTATATTTCTTAAAAAATCATAAACAAAAATTAAGCTGAATCTGGATTTTTTTTCCTTTTTTTTTTTTTTTTTTTTTTTTTTTGTAATGAAAAAGATTTGTGTTGTAAGTACACGACACATTGGTCCCTTTATTAGACTTATTCCTCTAGTCCTCTATTTCTTCAACCATTTAAGTGGTTAACAAGTTGTTTATTTTTGCTCACCTTTTTCTTACCATTTTTACCTTGTCTTTTTTCCCTAGCTTTGTTTTCCCAACATTTTTTATCTTGTCTTTTTTCCCTAGCTTTTTTTTCCCAACAATTTTTACCTTGCCCTTTTTTCCCTATCATTTTTTTCTGGGGGGAACAAATTTCAGCGCTTTTACATGTGCATATTTACCTGCACAACTTTTTATGCACAGAAAAAAAAAAAAAAAAAAAAAAAAAAAACTCTAAAGCAGACAAAAAAACAAAGCAAAACGAAATAAGCTAACGAAGGAATCCTCTTAAAAAATAATAAACAAAAAAAGGAAGATACATAAAAGTTCATCATGTTTCGCATCTCCATTTATACGAACTAAAAAACTTTAAACTCTCATTGTTAGCATTTCTACACTTAAGTTGTCATTTTTTTGTTTTTTTTTTGTTTTTTTTTTTTTTTTTTTTTTTTTTTTTTTTTTTTTTTTGGGATTTACTCTGTTACGATTTTTGTCTTTAATTTTTAAGTAAACATCAACATTGTTTTCTTCACAATCTAGTAACACACCATTTTATTGTACACATTTAGAATAAACGCACAACATTTCAATAAAAAAAATTGGTGTAACACATTTGTAAGTTTTGTTAAGTATATCCCTTTTTTTTGTATGAATATCATACAGCTGAAAGAAAGCATCAAGTGGAAGAAACAACTCTTGGATGGTAGAAAGGGAGTTCACATCAGGAATCTCCAGAGAGAATACTAACAGGTGATCATACCTATACGAATGTGCTCACAAATAAGTGGATGTCTAGAAACAGCTTTACAATGTACCTACATTCAGTTGACATAGATTAACGGATAAAAAAAAAAAAAAAAAAAAAAAAAAAAATATTTATAAAGTGCTATGTTTTATGCAACATATAGGTATACGTATATATATGTATATATATATATATATGTATTTTTTATTTCCGTTTTTTCTCAGATTATACATGCAACAAATCCTCCCCATCCACCCTCAATATCCCATGAAACATATGTCTTTCTCGAAAAAAAACATCACGTACACACACATGATTTATTGCAAATACTAGGAACACAGTGTGTAAGAAATCTGGATGCACCAAATTTTCTTCCCCTCACACACGAATACGGCTAAAGATAACACACTCTTCATAATTGTAAAAAAATACAAAAACAACGCACAGCTAATTTACTGAACAAGCGCTCACTTAACAGAAGTTTTAATTAGAGAAAAAGAAGAAGGAAAAAAAAAAAAAAAAAAAAATACGATGGAACGAAAGCAGTGCAAACTTTTTTTTAGAAACTGCTGTAAAGAGGAAAATGTCACTTCCATAGAAAATAACCATCAGACAAACGAGCACAATGAAGTATACTACATAAGTGAGAACAAAGAAATGCATGAACAAGTTGAAGAAAGGCCAATAATAAATGTAAAGGGTGACCAACCAGTATTTAACATTCCTGTTTATCAAGATAAATATATTAGAGACAGAATAATTGAAACACCGAAATATGAAATTCAAGATGTTATACAACCAAAACAGTACACACAAGAAACGAAGCATGATTTACCAACAGTTGAATTATTATATAAAGAAAGAAAAGTGAATGTATCTCAAGAAAAAATAAAAGAAACACCAGTAGAAGTGGATATGCCTATAGGATATACTCCAATATTTTCACCCATATGGGATGTAAGAGAAATCCCTAGGGTCATACCAAAATATGAAGGACAACAAAAGGTAATAGAAGTTGAAATTCCTCAAATAAAATATATTGACAAATTTGTAGAAAAAGAAATTATTGTTGATGTAAAGGAAAAAATTATTCCGAAAATTACACAAGTTGAAAAACAAGTGGATATAGTCAAATATGAATGGAAAGAAAAGTATCAGGATGTTCCTGTCTGTAAATATGTTCCAAAGATAGATGTTGAGTTGGATTGTCCTCCCCCTCTTATAGTTCCTTATCCAGAAGTTCATTTTCAAAATATGTCTCAGGTTATGAACCCTAACCAAAGAGCTGCGGATATCCCACCTGAGCTGCTTCTAAGAAATAGTTCCCTGTTCAACAATGCATTTACGGCAGATGCTGAACCCACTGGCATTGCTCATAACAGCTGGAATAACTACGTAGGTGATAACTGCGAGGGTAATAACTACGAAGGTGATAACTACCACAGGAATGACTTCCACAGGAATAACTACGACCGGAATAACTATGACAGTGGCAAGTATGACAAAAACAACTATCACCACGAACGTGGTTATAAGTATGGAAATTCCCCATGCACTTCAAACATGCACGTAGGAACCTCTGTTAAGAAGTCCTTACTAGACGCTGTGAGACTGAATTCAAAAAACAGCAGAAAGGATAAGCAACAGAGAGAATCACAAACAATGACATATACGGAATTAAAGAAGAAAAGAAATAATAACAATTGGCCTTTTTGCACTTTTAAAAATTGTAATGATTTAGAAAAACAAAAACATTTGGAAGATATCGATCCTCAAACTGGCTATCCCTTGTCAATGCCTAAAGACTTTGCTGCATTTTTTAAAGATGATTTAAATACAGTTAAGAAACAATTGGGAGAAAAAAATGATACAAAATCAACTATATCTAGTAACCTTATTGAAAAAAGTCCTGTCAATCCTACAATTGAATATTTAGGGAAAATTGACAAGCCACCAATTGATGGAGGGAAATTAGATTCTATATCATTCAAATTACATGCTATTGAAGTGCATCAATTCATTCCTGTACCAAGTCTACCCAAGCCCAAATTCTTAGATATAGTACCACCTGAACATGTTCAGAACAATGATATTTCATCTCTTCAAAATGTATTCGGACAAGTGCCAGAAGGGTGGGTCGACCCAAATATTACCGGATTCATTGCTCCTATGATGTACGACATATTACAAGGTAATGTCCAGCCTCAAAGTCCATTATTTAACAAACTCAGCATTGCAAAAGAAAATATTACTGGCTCCTATCCCTCCATGCACGTCCTTCGTAAAGAGGAAAGTAACAGCGGTAGCCGTGGAAGTGCAGATATAGGACAAAGCTCTGGAAATATACAGCATAGAGGAAGCAGTAACGGTAACTACATGCAGACGAATAATGAACCAGAAAATGAATCCACAAATAATATCATCAACTATAACACCAATTCTTCTCTCAATTATGTCAACGAAAATAACGAATCCTATGACACGCTAGTGAACTGACTGGTTGATGGATGGTTGGTTGACTGGTTGACTGGTTGACTGGTTGACTGTGTAACTGACTGAAAGGCCGACTGGCTGCTGTTTTTTTTTTTTTTTTTTTTTTTTTTTTTCTTTTCTTTATATTTCCTTTTGTTAAAAATGAAAAATTGTATAACAAAAATTTTATAAGACGATGCAGATAACTCACCATAATTTTCCCATTGTTCTTCATATGCCAAAAAAAAAAAAAAAAAAAAAAAAAAAGAAGGAAACAATAAACTCCTTATAATGACCCCAGTGATTTTATAATTATTTTTTCTACATATTGTGAAAATGTACATTCTCTGAATAATGAAGAATAATATGTGCGTTTATGTCCTTAATCAGGTTGGTGTATTATATTAGGACAATATTTTCTTATTTTATTTTTTTTTTTTTGTTCTACTTATAACATTTTTTTTTTTTTTTTTTTTTTTTTGTTAAATTATTTTGGCTAGACATGTTTTTCCAAGTAGTATATATTCTACAAAATATATAAAATATATAAAATACATAAAATACATAAAATACATAAAATACATAAAATATATAAAATACATAAAATACATAAAATACATAAAATACATAAAATACATAAAATAATAAATTATGAAATCCCTTTCGTTGAAATGGTACAAATAGGAAGTATAGTAGTAACCTGTTTTTTTTTTTTTTTCTTTCTACTTCTCATTTCATTTATTTATTTTCTTTTTAATACATCCTTCCTTTCCCAAGGACAAGGAAGAACGGACATAAAAATTTGTTAACCATTTGTGGTAGAGTTCCCCAAATTCCATTTTTAATTTTAATTTGAATTTTTGGAAAAGCCGGAACGAACAAACAAAACTTTTACTTAATGTTATGTTCCATAATAAGAGTCCTAGCTAACTTTCAAAGTCCCTTTTTTTTTTTTTTTTTTTTTCTTATTTTTACAAATATAAAACAACAACGAAAACTGTGTTCCCATTTTGGTTGAAAAAAAAAAAAAAGGTGTACATTCAGCGTGATCTAATTTTTTTTTTTTTTTTTTTTTGTTATATCACTGAGATAACAGGATTATATTTTACTCTCTCACTAAATACCCAACGCGTTCGCAGAAATGAAAAGAATCACAAGTTACCAAAAGCTAAAAAACAAAAATAAAAAAGGACTAACCAAAAAGTAGTAGCAAAAAAAAAAAAAAAAAGGACTAACCAAATAGTAGGAGTAAAAAAAAAAAAGAGAGAGAGCACACACTTCAAACATGTATAAGTATAGGACTCTACACATATAGTAGATAACAAAATCATTAAGAAATAATGTATGTAGACCTACACTTAAAATATTCTTCAAAGAAAAATGTCAAAGCATTGATATCGAAGGCACTTAATGTGGGCTTCAGCATAACTGCAATTGGTGTACAATACGAGGCAGATAATAGGAAAGTTTATTGTGAAAGTTTTAAGTTAGTGAATTGCTTAACATACAATAAGGATGTAGGTGTTGACCAGAAAATTAAAAGTTCTTCAGGAAATTATTTTATTGACCAACTTAATAATGAAGAAGAAATACGTGAACAGTTAGTGCAAATAAGTAGCAACCTTGAAGGAAATTACATCTTAGTAAATAGGTGTAATACACTAAGTCTTAAATATATGTGTGATGATTTCATATTACGTGACAAAAACCAAGTTAGTACAAAAGAAGAACTAAATAAATTAAATGAATACCTTATGAATGCCATCACAATTAGGAATTCCAATTTAAGCATGTTTCTATCGGAAAATACAAATAATTATGTACTCAAGAGATTAAATATAAAATATGAAGATGCAGTAAGGATTGATAATTATAACAAATTCATAAAAAATAATGACTTTGATTTAGTAGCAATTGAAATTAACACAGTAGAAGAAATTAATTATATCGCTACTAAATTAGATTGTGATATCATTTTTTTTAATATGAAAAAATCCTTTGTACAATTAAAAAAATCCGATATACAAACTGCATTAGATAGGGGAATATTTTTTGAAATATCTTCCATAACTTCAACAAATGAAGATTTTCAATATTATCCTACTGCTCTGAATATAAATAGCATATTTTCTACCATTCCTTTTAATAAAATCATTGTATCTTCAGGTGCTTTTAAAGAAAGTGAAGTAATAGAACCATTAAATTTGTTAAGACTTTTTTTTAACTTTAACAAATTTTCTTATAAAGATTTAATTGGTTCTATCACCACTGTCCCACTTACCTGTATACAAAGAGCATCTGTTCGGAAGTCATCTAATACTGCAGTATTTCACAAGTAGAAAAAAGGACGTTTACCATATTTCAAATGAGAAAAAAAAAAAAAATGGAAGAAAATTGTGACAAATAATATTGATTTTATTGGCCATACAGTTTGGGCCTGACCCGAACGACAGCCTTTTTTTTTTCATTCATTTCATTCATGTTATTCATTTTATTCATTTCACTCAATTTATTCATTTTATTCATTTCACTCAATTTATTCAGTTTTTTCTGTGCCAAGCAAGGGGAAAATTTTGTGCATATAGCAAAATTTTTACAACGCACACCCTTATGGGAAATCTCTAATTCTTTGTCTTCCCCTTTGAACTTGCTACTTATTTTTTTTTTTTTTTTTGCAAATTTTGTTCACGCACTGATCAAGTGAGGAAATATATTTTTATTTATTTTTACTCAAAAAAAATTTGTTCCTTAAAAAAGGTATGTATAACTTCTGCGTACAAAACTGCATTCCCCGTTTTTATCTGGCATGAGAGTGTGTATAATATATATATATATATATATATATGATCTGCATGTTGGTAAGAGACTTAAGATATATGCAAAGTTGTAAAAACAATAAACAACAGTGTGGAGGTTGTGGTATAGCACATACAAAACAGATTTTATGGAGATACGAAAAAGTGTCAATATTGATGAAAAAAAAAAAAAAAAAAAAAAAACTCCATAACAAGTTATCAAAATTGGAAATATTCTTCAAAGCAATATTTTGCAAATTCAAAGCAATATTTTGCAAATTCGAAACAATGTTTTGCAAATTAGAACGTATTTGACAAAAGGGGTTAGTAATTTTATCATGTACGATATGTTCTAAGTGACCCAGATTGCAAGGGTGGAGGAAAACTCGTTCTTATTCTTAAATTAGAATTATAAGCAAAACGATCACATTGTTCCAACCTCTTTTTTTTTAGTAGTAACATGAAAATGAAGAATATATATTTTTCTCAATTTTAAAAAAATCCTCATATATGATTATGTAGGTAGAGGGTATATTTGTGAATTTGCAAAAAATACGGGGAAAAAATGAAAAGGAAAGTTGAACAGAAAAAAATTACATAAATAAATATTGATTTTTTTTTTTTTTTTTTTTTTTTTTCATAAAACATTTTTTTTATATTTTTTCAGTATTTCTATTTTATAATGATTTTTTATTTTTTTCTGCAAATTTTCTTTTCGCTAAAAAGTCGACAGCTGCAGGATTCGAACCTGCGCAAGCAAAGCTCATTGGATTTCAAGTCCAACCCCTTAACCACTCGGGCAAACTGTCATTAAGAAAAAATTTTATTCACTACAACATATATGCAAATTTTTTAGCCAAAAAACTCATTTCTATAAACTATGTAATTAATGCTTCTTAGTTACTTTTGCTATTGTTTCCTTTTTTTTTTTTTTTTTTTTCCAAACTCTGTTTTCGCATTCTTTTCTCACATTTTTCAGAATTTTACGTATTGAAAATATCGCAATCGATAAGTTGTATCCTTTTTATTAACCCATTAAAATGTGCATAATGTATATGTGCATACATACTCATAGATGTACATTTTTATATACGCACGGTTCTTATCACATTATTCTAATCACATTATGCTTATCACACTTCATAGCCTGCGCACGCATATGTTCATATCGGGAATACGCATGTCCTGCTCCTCCTCTATTGACAAATGATTTTTCTTCAAATTTATTGTAATCTAAAGTTATCATGTAACATGTACTTAAACTTTTCTATTATATATTATTACCTATGGTGGCAAATTAATTCTCTCCTATGTACCATTGTAAAAAAACAACTGAGAGGGAAGTACTGTTTATATATAAACGAATCAAATCGAAGGAGATAACAAAAACAGAGTTGTGTGTGGTTTTTTTTTTTTTTTCTCTTTTTTGCACCTTGATATGTAGGTGTAATTGCAGTAATAACAAAATAAACGTGCTAAGTATATCTATACAAAGTGGAAAAACTTGTAAAAAATAATAACAACATCTGTTTGATCCATGAACCAAATATAAAATCATAGATCTATTGAGATATATATATATATATATATATATATATATATACGAATAAGAGCAAAGCGACACGAGCGAACGAAGGGACAAACTTCTAAAGTGCAATGGAATCCACAGCGAATAAAACGAAAAGGTAAAAAAAAAAATAAAGAGGAAATGCTGATCACATAACATTTTCAGCAAATTGCACGAGATGTTTTAAAAAAAAAAAAATAATGTCAAACGTAGGGATAGGAAAGTACACATATATATATATATATATATATAACTACCCATACATAGAAATACATAGAGGGATGTATTTTTTTTTTTTTTTCTTCCATCCCTTTTGTCCAACCCTTAGCAGAGACAACATTTTGTTTAAATATTTTTGCACAACACGCAGAATCATTTATTATTGATCTTTTTAAAAGTGGAAATATGAAATGTTTCGTGTATGGTAATGTTAATAGGTGTAGATTGTATGGAATTAAGAGAGGAAGAGGTATAGTGCAAGTAAGTAGTGTTTATGCTCGAAGTAGAGGGAAAATATTTCATCATGGATTTACATCTATTAGTAAAGAATCTAAGCATGAAGAGAAGGTAATATACAAAGAAAAGAGTAGGAAAAATGAGTCCAACGTGAATGGTAACTTCAGCATATGGAATAATCTGAATAGAGAAAATGAGAAGATCAACATACATGACAACACTGTTGAAGATTCTATACATGTGCAAAGACAAAAAGAGTTTTTACATAAATTTGATGAAGAAAACTGTGAACACGAGGAGAACAGTTCTGTCAAAATATTAAACAAAAATCATGTATCAGAAAATTCAGATTTTTTACTATGCAATGAGAAATATGTAAATTTTATTGAAAATTATAACGAGAAAAAAAATAAGGAAAAAAATATGGAAAAAACGAAGAAAAGCAACAGATTCAGTCAAACCCTTCCCTTTTCTTTAGAGGAAAATGAAAAAAGTCTTTGGGAAATTTTAAAGGAAAAAGAAGATTATATTAAAAATAAAAAAAAAGCAATAAATTATCAGAAGAAGTTAGATCACAAAGTCGATAGAGAATATGAAAAAATACAAAAAGAGGAAAAGTATGTTAAATCATCTAAAATGAAAGCAGCCCAAAAGAAAGCAGATCCTCTAAAGGCAAATAACCAGAGTCAACATAGCCAAAGATATAAACAAAAACAAAATGCCCATCGTCAGGAAGCATACGATGACATAGACAGATTCTTAACAGATGATAAAACTTATGTCAACCATATCAAGTCTTACGATGAGATATATACAGAATCAAGTGCCCATAATTATAAACACAGGGGGAAGGAAAAGCTAATTGATAATGAGGCCAAATCGGAACAATCTAGTCATATAAACCAAGATGAAATAAACAATTCGGATATGAACGACTTGAATATAAATAATATAATTTGTGAAGAACTAGAGAGAACTACTCTCTCATGTGATCTTAACCCGCGTTACACTGAAATGAGGAATAAAAAACTCTCAAGTGAATTTTTGATTAATGATTTGGAGGTTACTGGGGATTTCAATTCAGCAGCATGTCCGGGTAAAGACTCTCTTTTTGTGGATGAGGTGGACGACATCACTGCGAAGAAGTGCATCTCGAGGTTGCAGAGTTCGCGACAGTCTGATTCTGCACATGCGAGAAGCAGCAAAAAGGAGGATCAATTGGGAATTCGCAAACTTGCTTCATCTGCCGAACCCGCTGCATCTACTGAACCTGCCACATCTACTGAACCTGCCACATCTGCCGAACCTGCCACATCTGCCGAACCTGCCACATCTGCCGAACCTGCCACATCTGCCGAACCTGCCACATCTGCCGAACCTGCCACATCTGCCGAACCTGCCACATCTGCCGAACCCGCTGCATCTACTGAACGTGCCACATCTGCCGAACCTGCAACATCTGCCGAACCTGCAACATCTGCTGAGCGCGCGCTCATCGAGGTAACCCCAGCAGATGTCGTGGAGCAGCTGGGGGGCGAAAGCCTGAGCGCGATTATCGACGGAAATATAGACAACCTAATAATCCAAAGAGAAATAAAAAAGGAAAAAACAGGAATGGGGATATTAAGCGTGCTGTATAATAACATAGACAATTGTGATAACATAAACCTGAGCAGCGCTATGATTAAAATGTCGAAGGTATTGGATTCATACCAAAAGGGTTGTGTAACGAAAAACTACATGTATGTAAATATTTTAAAAAGAATAGAAGAAAAATTACCATCTTTTGAAATATCTAACCTTGTACAAATATTTTATGCATTTGTCAAAATTGAGCATTTTCCATATTTCTTTAACGATATAATATATTATATGAACATCAAATTAAAGCATGCAGAACCGAAACACATATGTAGCATTTTGTACACACTCAGTAACATCCTAATTGAAACGAATGAAAGTAGAAACTTTAAAATGAAGGTTATCGATATGGTAAAGACGGAGATAATAATATCCCCAAATCTGCAACTGAACGATGTAATTTCTTTACTTACATCTTTGTCAAAATTAAAGTATAAAGAAGTAAACATATATTATGAATTATCCAAAAAAATCGAACAGAATCTAGACCAACTGAACATTAGAAACGTGAGTAATATTTTATGGGCATTTAGTCACATTAATTATACTACTAATTTGATAAAAAGAGTAAAAAAAATTATTGAAAAAGATATACATAAAGCAAATTATGTAGATATAGTAAATATTATTTATTCTCTAACCAAGTTAAACGAATATGATGATTATTTATACACAGATATATTTTACAATGCAGTTAACGTATATTTACATCATATGAATGTAAAAAATCTATGTATCATTTTATGGTCTTACACATTTGCAGATGTACATAAGCCAGATTTGTACATAAATATATTAACAAAACTTAATGATAATATGAAACAAATTAGCACAAAAGATATTGTTTCCATTTTAACTTGTCTTAGTAGAATACAGTTTAATTATAAATACAAACACCTTTTTCTTTTCTTAAAAAATAAAGTGATAAAAAATTTATATGCATTTACTCCTCTACAACTTACAAACGTTATCTATCATTCTTCATTTCTAGAAATAAATGATCATAAGTTTTATTATTTAATAGTACAACAATTATTCCAAATCAGACATCTGTTGTATCTTGAAAATTTAACTCTCATTTTATATGCACTAAAAAATGTATGCTATTTAAATGTTCATAATTTAGATGTTTTTAAATTAATCTCTCATATTCTGCAAAATGTAAAGAAAAAGTATAAATTATTATGTGGAGAAGATTGTGTAAACATTATGCTTATTATCAATGATTTGATGAAATACACTCATCATGGATACCTTACAACTCCCACTCCTCACACCAATGCAATCAACACAAATCATGAAATCTCGTTAAAAAATCGTGAAGTAATATCTACCAATCCGATCCTTCACACCGATACAAATTTTTCGTCAGAGAAATATATTGACATATTTGATGATAATGTTAAACTTAACCAATTGCAGCATCCCTTCATGAGCAATAATGAAGAAGAAGTGTACCTACCACAAATTAACGATCTATTATATGAACAAATAAAACTACGTTTACATAACTTCTGGCAGTTAAACATAAAGGATGTAAACAATTTGTTAATCATTATGAGAGATCAAACTATGCATGATGATGTCATATTAAATATGATTATGAGACAAATTATTCCTATATTGCTAAAAAGTAGTAATATGGAATTTTTAATTTTCTTAAGTAATATTACAGCTAATAAATACATGAAATTTATAACTTTAACACATATGTCTCGAAGACCAAAGTTGATTAGTCTCTTTAAAAAAAAAATAAACTCTATAACTAGCTCAATATTAAATAATTATGAACAACAAGAAGATTATTACTCTTCAATTCCTTACATCAACAGTGCAAATTGTAGTGCTGAAGATACAACACATGGTTCCACAGGTATCACGTCATTTGAATCCGAAACTGAACCTACCAGAAAAAACGAGACAGACTTAACAGATATTCAAAATTTCCAAACAAAAATGAACACACAGAATAATGAGCGAAAAAATAGGAACTCCTTAAAAGACGAACAACTTAACCCAGATGTAGTGGAAAAAATCGAAATTGTAAAAAAAACATCAACTCATTTAATTTATGATATTCCAAAAAGGGTAACCAACACAACAGTAGATCTCAACAGCTGTGTTGCATTATGCTATGCATGTTTTAACATACACTATGAGGATGATAACATCCTTAAAATGTATGATATATTGGAACACATGATCGTAGAAGAGAAAAAACCTATCAATTCCTTCATGTTAATAAATTTCATATACATTTTGGCATTAACAAATAATAAAATGGAACTTGTTTCGAAGATCTCGCAAGAATACATGCACCACAGATATGCAAATGATATAGAGAAAAATTATTCACAAAAATCTGAATTGGAAAAAATGTCAATACCCACATCTAGCGAAGAGGAAAATGCATTTTTATCAAATTCTAGCCAGAAGAACCCAAGCACGAAAGATGAATTTTCAAGAAATCTCATTAAAAAAAAAAAAAAAAATTTAAACATATCTTTTAATTTGTTTTATGAGGAAAATGATAAATTACGGTTCTATGTTCAAAAGGGAGATGAAGAGACTTGTTTGATTCTGCTAAAATTGGTATACGTTAATATTTTACTGAATCAGTATAAATTTCTGTACAATATATTAAGCGAAATTTGTACTTATTCTGAACAGGTATATACGCACGAGTTTACTATGCTATCGAAACAAGTCTGTTATCATATTTACAATTTCGTGAATTTTTTTTCCAAAAATAAAGAACAGAAGTATCTTTGGAATAAGGTAGCACACAATGTGTACATCAATGATGAACATATTTATTTGGATTTGGATTTTGAACCTACAAACGTAAATATAGATATTATCACAGATGTAGATACGAGTCCGCAAGGTCATCATGACAATTTCAAGGAGAAAAATTCTGCCGAATTTACATATATGCAGATGAAAGAGGAAAGGTCCAGTACATCACCACAAAATGAAAAAATATCCAGATCGTTTGATAATAATCTGAAAATAGCCAAGTTCTTTTACTACATCCTAAACTATAACATGGAACACATGAATAACCGAAATGCCAATTCCTTTACTTCAAGAGAGGAGCGGAAAAAGATCAAGATGTTTCATTTTGATCATGTCATAAGTGATATCCTAAATTTTGTAAGTGTTATCAGTCTATCTTCCTCTCAGAACATGGTGTGTGTGTGTGTGTGTGTTAGCTAATGCTCTACCTCACACTCCTGTCTTTGACACATTTTTCATACATTTCATATAATACATGCAAATATGCCCATTCTCGTCACATCCACATGAACACATTTATTTTGCACCTCTCCACACCCCCTATCACAGCTGAACATACAATACAAGGGATCCTATACACATGAAAATATTTACAAAGTTTGCTGTGCCTTTCCCTACGAGAGACATTTGATAGACTTAATATCATATGAGGTAAAATCGAACCTGAAAAGCAAAAATTCTTTGGATGTGTTGTACATTATGATCGAACTTATTATTTTATTTTTTTTTTTTTTATCTCCTTAGGATGTTTTGTACCCCTCACACAGGCCGCTACTGTCAGCGGAATTGCGTCAGAAACAACTGGCCTTAAAGGGTAAAAAAGATCTGCTATCACTGTTTTACAGTTGACACATAAATAAAATACACACACATTTTCATCATTATATTAATGAGAAAAGGGGGGGGGGGGATATGTTGGATTACACATAAATTTTATCAATCATGATGAATTTGTGCAACTGAAAAAACTGAACACTTTTTTCTCTTTTCTCTTTTCTCTTTTCTCTTTTCTCGTTTTATCAATTTTTTTTTTTTTTTTAATGACGCAGGATGGACTGTACACACAATCAATTTTCGAGATTTATACAACAGCGTAAAAGACAAAAATGTTATTTGTTACATTTTCAATATTGTAAAGAAGATAAAAAGAGATTTACAAGAATTACCAGACAATGAGAAAAAAATGGAAGAAAAAAAATTCTGGGAAAACCTACAATATGCAAACATTTAGAGCTACTCGCAAAGAAGAAAAGAAGGAAAAAAACTTCCTTTCCCAAAAGTTATTCTTATATGTAAAAACGAATATTATAAGGGGGAAGCTCATAAAGCAAGTTTTTTCCTTATCACATATACGTACACATTTCTACTTTCGAGAACACGGCACCTCTACACACTACATATTTGTGGCATCTTCTAAATGAGACCATAATTAATGTAAATTATATAATTACATTTTTTTTTTTTTTCTAACGTTTTTTTTCGTAAAATTACAAAAATTTGTTTTCTTTTTTAAGACTTAAAAAATATTATTTTGAAAAAGAAAAAAAGGAAAATGTCCTTTCAATAAAAATTGCAACGACGAATATATTAACATCAATTAGTAACGTAATACATAGCAAAAAAAAAAAAAAAAAAAAGAAGGAAAAAGACAAAATGTCACATTCACGTGAGTGTTACATTTTTAATAATTACAATCCAATGTGTAATCTTGTTTAATGAAAAGATGAAATAATGGCTTATATAAAATGTGAAACAGAATAACGTGGATGAAATTCGATCTTGGTGGTGTACCAAACGACTAGCTAAAAAGAGATTTTTTTTTTTTTTTTTTTTTTTTAATTTTTTTAATTTATTTCCTGTTCATATTAAAAAGCGAATGTGCAAAATCTACTTAACATTATGTATCAATATGAACATGTAATATATTTTCAATGATTTTAAAAAATGTGTATGTAAAGCTTAAAACAGGGACATCAAAAATAAAATGGGACAATGTTTTTATTTTCCCCCGTTTCTATGTCATTTATATGTGCTGCGGCAAAGGAACAATGATGATGTAATGATTACATAGAAATTTCATGTAATCAAAAACAAAAAAAAACTGAGGGGGAGAATTGGTTATACCTAGGGTTACTAAACGTGTAGCACTTTGTGAAATAAACAGGTGTAGTATAAAAATAAGCAGGAAGTGCCTGTACTTGTTCATATAAAATTGGTGTTTATTTATAAAAAAAGAAAAAAAATTAAAAATAAAATTACGGTGGTTAATAATACAGAGAATTGAGGAATTTCACAAGTTTACATTAATGTATATATGTTTATATCATCACATATATAATACATGGTACACACGTGATTATGTAAATAAATTTCAACGTAAAAAACCAGACCCAAAACATCGCAACTTTGTCACTTTTAGAAATTCTGAGAAATATACTTTTTCTTCTTTCTTCCAGCATGGTTTTACACTTGTTTTAAATGGCTAAAATTTTAGTTTTCATTATTTTATTTTTTCCCTCGTTTACGTATTATAAAGTTGGTAAATCAGAGGCAGAGCCTCATGAATTTTTTGTTTTTTTTTTAGTATACAGTTTTTGGAGAAAAAAAAAAAAAAAGCCACTATATATAGCAAATTTGTAACGACCTGTGTTTTCATAAAGGTACTACCCGATATTATCATGTGTATACATATATTTTGTTCCATATATAATATATAAATATGGGATATTTTATGCATTTTACGTTTCTTAAGAATAATATAGTATATATATAACATATATAAAGTAACCTTTTATGAGCTATAAAAAAAAAAAAAAAAAAAAAAAAATTAGTTCAACTCAACCACAAGTTAATGTGAGACGAATAACCGATATGCTTTAATAAGGATTAATACATCAAATTTGTTCATTGCATCCTCAATATTTGTAAAAATGTCAATGTTTTATTTTGTTTTATTTTTTTTCCCTGTAACCTTTACGTCAATGGCTATGTAATTACGCTTCCAACAGGAGGAGTGCCAATTTTATATATACTTATACATTATGCATATATATTTTTAATTTCAATACCACTTTTTCTTATAACATTTTTGCAGGGGTGTATTTTTACTCTACTCATTTGTAGCACACTTGTAATACCATTTTCAACATAGGGCATTTGTGATGCATTTCATCTTCGCCCGCAGCACCAACTCATGAATAACCATAACGTTTGAAATAGAAGTAAATTCATAGGGAAATTTTTAATTTTTTTAAATAGGGCGATTTAATATAAAGCCAAAAAAAAAAAAAAAAAAAGTAGCATATATATATATACATACATACATATACATCGATATACATAACATTATACACTATATTATATTGTGAAGATATATATCATAAGTACACGTGTATATATATATATACTAAATAAGTACGCAGTAGGTGGAGATGTATCACACCCCATACCATCATTCGTGCATTCAGTGAGTTCTCACATGTATATGCACTTTTCGACTCAATTGAAAACCACAGTTTTATTTTTTTGAATACAATTGACATCCCGACTTCATGTTGCTTACGTTTCTACATTTTGTAAAAAATATTATCCTTTGAAAAAATATTTATTTTTAACACAGCAAAAAATATCATATAATTACATTTTATTATTTCCTATATTTATGTAGCACGCATGTATGTATACATATATGTACATATACATGTATTTATATTTGCATATCTGTTTGTTCCTCGCCGATCATTTTTAAAAAAAATTAACCACTTTCTGCATGACGCTTGAAAAAACAAATGAACCTGAAATAAATATAGAATTAATAAATATAAAACGTAGCAATATTTTTGTATATATCTTTTTGTCAATTCACGCATAACCGATTGCCAAGATTGACATTAAAACTGAATCATAATAAGCCACTTAAGGTTATATAATACGCCTAAAGTTAGGCCAATCCCTGTACACTCTCGCAGCCTGTGAGGCAGTTAAATAAAGGGCCATATATAAGAAGCAAAATGCAAGACGACAAAATAAACTCAAAAGATGAAATTTCATCAAGCTCCTCTTGTGAAGAAAATGACGAAAATAAAAATATTTTAAACCCTCCAAATAGGACAAAAATGAGCAAAGGGGAAAGAAGAGCCAGGAAAATGCTTGTGAAACTTGGTTTAAAGCCAGTATCCAATGTGCATAAAGTTATTATAAAAAAATCAGAAAAAATGATTTTTGCCGTATCCAATGTGGAAGTATATCAAGTCGAGGGGACTGAATCGTACGTCATATTTGGAGATGCTAAAACGGATGACATAACAAACTCGATTAACAGTAATATTTGAGCGTATGCATGTGTACATATATACGTGTGAACACAGACATGTGCATGTATATATACATATATATACATATATACATATGCATTTATTAGTTTTTTTTTTTTTTTTTTCCCCTTGTTTGGTGCTCATTTCGCACACATTTTTTACGTACACCTCGTTTCTTACACACAGTAGAGTTATCGTTATTTTTCCTCTCCTTTCTATTCATTGTCACACTATATTAACATGAGAAAATGCATAAATTCTTTTTCTCTGTTACATTACCATTGTCATGATTGCAGCCATGTTATTCTATAAGTGTTTTATATATATATATATATATATATATATATGTGCCTGTTTTTCAAATTCCTAACGCCCCTAGGTGGCTTATGTGTGTATCGGGAGTTTAGCAGAGTGAAATTTGATCATTCTCCTCTCTCCCCCAATATTTTACACAAAAAAAAGTATCCACAAAAATTTGCACAAATATATCGCTTTTCCCTTTTTTTTACCTTTTTCAACACAGGTCTTCTCCCGGATAGTTTACAGAAAGATTCTGATATGTTAGATGAACAGGAAGTAAATTTTGAAGAACCGGAAAAAATGGAACAAAAAGTTGAAGACTTAGATGAAGGTAAGTAATTTTTTTTTTTTTTTTTTTTTTTTTTATCCATTCATTATGATTACATATATATATCTTCCCTACCTGTACAATATATGTAGTTCAAACTGTACACTTACAGATTTACACTTTGATAAAAAAAAAAAAAAAAAAAATCGTTATGCAAGCTGTGCAAAGACACACGCCACACGGAACATATCCCGTTTTGCATATATAACTCAGCATGTGCAAAAATATATATAATGATTATGTGTTACGTTCAAATTGTTTTTACTTTTTCGTTTATAGGAAAAATAGGAGATGTTTCTACAGATGACATTGAGTTGATTATGTCGCAAACAAAATGTACTCGAGAAAGAGCAATTGAAGTGTTAAAGAAAAATAACAATGATTTAGTGGAGTCAATTATGGAGTTGAGTGGATAAACAATTTATTCAAAATCAGTCGTATGTACATAAATACACATGAACATGTTCATATACTATGAACATATGTTATGCACGCAGTATATGTATACATACGAATATATATGTATACATACGAATATATATGTATACATACTAATATATATGTATACATACTAATATATATGTACACATACTAATATATATGTATATATACTAATATATATGTACACATACTAATATATATGTATATATACTAATATATATGTATATATATGCATATATGTTTGTATATATTGTGTATACACCCCATCACCCGCGAATTTTTTTTTTTTTTCCTTTTTAATTTTGCTTCTTTTTTTACGAACCCAGTAAACTTTGGCATATTAGCACCCGTCCAAGTTTATATATATATATGTATACACACATATGTATAGCCATTAGCATATTACACCTCGTGCGTGCATGTTTTATGTCTGTTTAAATTCTCTTCTCCTTATCATCCCTGCCTTCATTTATATGCCATATGTATTGATCATGCTTATATAACTACATTTATGAATTACATTTTAATTTTCCCCAATTTTCCCTCGCTTGCGCTCTCTCTCTCTCTCTCTCCATTTTTTTTTTTTTTTTTTTTTAAATACTAAATTATGAAAACTTTTTCATCCAATAAACTTGCATATGTATATATGTATATATATAACCCCACCTAGCACATAAAATTGTGTAAATATTATGAAGTCCGACGAAAGTGAATAGATGAAATAGAGTCAATAAAATTCGTGTATCTTTTCTTGCACATTGGAAAATAAAAAAAAAAAAAAAAAAAAAAAAAAAGTTTCATGCTCAATTATTTCACATCTCTTTTTATAAGCACATAATTTTAACACTTTTTTCAAGATAATTTTTTTTTTCTTTTTTTTTTTTTACAACATCAACTGGGATAAATAATTGTCTAAATAAGGGGCAGGGACAGGAAAGTGTAATATATATTATCCCTATCAAGCACAGCTGTTCCGGCTTAAGTTTTCATTTTCAAAAAAAAATATGGGGGTGGGGAAAAATCACTATAAAATGAAAGGCGCACAAATGAAAGGGGCACAAATCAAAGATATGCATACTGTGAAGAGACACGAATTGGAATGAGGGCTAATAATCTCACACGAGAAAATGCGTGGTGAAAAGAAATTTCTGAATAAGTCTCACATGTGCACAGAAATGGTGGGATATCCCCTTAGGAGAAACAGCACACAGGGTAACAACTATATATATATATATATATATATATCTACCGGTTTTTACTACTTCCAGAATGATCGAAGAAGGCCTCGTATTCCAGATGACTTTTCCTCCTCTTTGCGTGTATCCTCCGGATTGAGTAAAATGGAATCTCTACACAATTGCATCATGTCGATACGCAATGGGTTCATACACATTTGACTCATTTTATGTTGAAAAAAAGAATTATCAACGGCAAATAAATTCTGATTGGTAGGTATACATTTGGTCTTTACCTGCAGTGCATATATGGACAAATGTCGAAAGTAGTATATTCCATTAACCATAGAAATAAGATCCTGAAGTTTGTTGGATAATATTGCAACTCGTAATAAATCTTCATTATGTATCGTTTGAATGCTGTTCAATTTGATATATACATAATTTCTAGTTTTAACTAAATCGAATAGAACATGTGCTTCTGCATTTTTTCCAGCCCTTGCATAATGACATGCTAAACAAAAGGATTTTACATTTTTTGTTATTTGCAATATGTTAATAAAAATTTCATCATTATTTTTCAATTTGTTTAATTCGTCAATATTTTGTTTTAATATATCAGCATATCTAATTCCTATGTGCAGTAATGGCATTTCTTCAATAATTTCCCCCAAAAATTTTACATTTCGGAATGGAAAATTTTTCGAATTCCTAGTTGTATATAAAGAAAATAGAAATTTCATCAATACTAGTAACGTCCGTTCTGTATCTACATATAACTTTTCAATCGATAAATAATTTTCAATGTGATTCCAAATTTTTTCCATTATTTTGTGATCCTCATCAGGAATTCCTTCTCCATCATTATGAGGCTCTTTTTTATTTCCTTTTGTTGATTTAATTAATTCTTCATGAATTGTTGTTAAACATTCATAATATTTTGCTAATATTTGTCCATAATTCTGTATCATAGAATTAGTTTCAAATGAATTCAGAAATTTAAAAAGTGGAAAATGTTCTTCTTCACCAACACATGATGTCATTACATCTTTTAAATTTATGTTCTCATTTAATTTTTCTATCTCTTCCATAGGAATTACACTTTTAACATCTCTCAATATATTTCTTATTTTTACTAAACTCGACATGTCATAATAATAGTTTGATGATCCATTATTATTTCCTTTCAATTCGTATGTACTATGCTCAACTTTTATCAATGTTGTGTTTTCTGTCGTATGAATTTCTAGCTTCCTATAGGAAGACATGTTTTTAACGCTGTCTGTAAATTCCCTTATGGAAGACTTTTTAATTCCATTTTCTAATTGTAGTTCATCGTCCTGTAATTTTTCATCAAATCTGCTTAGTTTATTTTTTTTTGCGTTGTATATACAAATTCGTTCAATTGAGTGAGTGATAGACAAAAAATAATCAAAAATATCATCTATTCGTTTTTCTTCTTCTACGAGTAAATTCCCTTTACTGTTTATCAGTGTATTCTCTGCATGGCCAAAATGCTTTTCTTTCTTTAAAGATGATTTCACGTTGTCTACATTTGTTATGTCATCATAACCCATAGGGCTACTTCTGACATCATTATGTTGATTAGATCCATTCGTTTGAGTCAATTCATTTATGGCACGTCCTTTTCCTTTTTTCATTTTCTTCCTCTGATTGTTGCTTTCGTTACTGGTCTGTGTTTTTTTTTCTTCCTTTTCTTCCCTATCTCCTCCCACTTCATCAGTATCATGGTCTACTTCGATCGGGTTCTCCTCCTTGTGGTTGACCCCTTGGTTATTCAACCGTCCTAGTTCCATAGCATCGATAAATGTTTTCATCATAACTCTCTTCACCAGTTTTACAAGCTTCGAAAATTCTGCCACTTTTGATATGCACTCATCATATTTCTTTTTTTCCAAAAGATATGATATTTGTATATACGTTGTGTAACATTTTATTTGCAAATCTGTGTTCTTATTAACTACATTGTGAACTGATTGATTCATAAATTTCACTTTATCTAGAGCTCTTTTTATTCTTCGCATATAACAATAGGTTGATCTGTATGGACTCTTCAAATTGTTTACATCGGTTTTTATTTTTACATATCTGCATCGACACATTTCCACATCAAGAAGTAACAATTCTATATATTTCTCATCCACTATATCTGGTTCGTAAATTTTTGTTACGTATTTGTTTCCCACTTTTTTTATTTTAAATAAAACTTTACTTTTTAATTTCTCTCTCCTTCTTTTTACATATAACAAAAACCTTGCAATGTCTTCATCATACAACCCATGTTTTGCATATACCATGTTTAGGTATGAAAATATGTTGAACGATGCATTATCTCCCTTGCTCATCACTCCTCCACGGTTTGCTTGGTCTATTTCACTCGTCTGCTTCATTTCACTCGTTTGTTTCCTCCTACTGTCATGTTCTTCACCATTTCCTGTGTCAGCAGAACACTCCTCTTTTTCACGATTTTTGCCGAGCACATCATTTTCTTCACATCCCATATTTTTTTCTCTTTCCTCCAAATCTATAAGAATATTCCCCCTCGTCAGTTACACACACTCGTGCGTAAAAAGTAGCACCAAAGTAAGGTAAAAAAAAATATGTATATGCATGCACGGATGTATATGCATGCACGGATGTATAAGCACGCACGGATGTGTATGCATACACTTTGTTTATTTTTTATTGGCTAGTCGTTCAGGACCTGTGTTGTGCATACTTTCTGTGTATGCGACAAATGGAACGGTAGCCAGAATCTGGGATCTGTTGCAAACTGGAAAGTGTAATCAATGGGCGGGGATATACATGTACATACATACATATGTACATATACATATATATATATATATATATACTCTCTTCAGCTAGTCGTGAAGTTTCCTATTATTTTATTTTTTTAATTTTTTTTTTACATGCTCTTATTGCGCCAATTTGGGGAGCTCAAATGGGTTTTCCCTCTTCTTGCTATATTTCTTCAACCACTGTTCATGTTTCATTTTTTATCTTTTTTTTTCATATTTTTTGTACGTATCTTTTTTTCCCTCGTGTATGTTACGTTGGAATGGCATGTCGGGGACAAACAAATATGAAATAAAAAATTCGAAGAAATTGAAACGAGGTAAGGGAGAGATTCAGGTAATGGAAATAGGCTTATAATTGTTTAGGGCAAGGGACACACACGAAAAAAAAAAAAAAAAAAAAAAAAAAGAAAAATAATAAAGATAAAGCAATAAGATAATATCGCAATAAAATAATAAAGATAAAGCAATAAGATAATATCGCAATAAAATACGCTAAATTATATGTCAACTGGAGGAAATGTGAGAGAGCGGGCAAAATGTACAATTCACATTTGTAGCAACCTTAAACTTTTCTTTTTATAGTACTCTGGCTTAAAATTCTATAAAACAAGCGCACACAAAAAAACATATATATGCAATACATCTTACTTTTAAGCATGAACGTGAAGTGTAGGCTCCATAATAAGAATATTTTACCTACGTGCCTTGTAGTTCTAGGGAAAAATGCTCCCCCTTACCTTCCCCACAAAAAGAACAGTGCATCGAAAAAAAAAAATATATATATACAAATATATATATATATTTGTATATATTTGTATATTCCACAAAATATGGCAGTCAAAACGGCTTTGAAATACCGCAATTCGACCAGACAAGGATGAATATACTTTCTCACTTCTTCTAGATTACTCATTTTTCTACTTCCTATTTTGTGTTCATAGAAAAAAAGAAAAAAAAAAAAAAACCTCCATTTTTTTTTTTTTTTTTTTTCCCTTCTCTCTTTGAACTGACCACCTTTCACTTTTTTACTGCTCTTCGTTTTATACGTAAAAAAAAAAAAAAGAAAAAAAAAATTTATTTTCCTTTATTTTCCTTTTTTTTACACAAAAATTTACTCCAAGTCTTCTACACCTTGTGCAATAGCAGAAAATGGAACTTTCTTCATTATGAACCCAACGGAATTATATAGAAAATAATTTGTAGCTCTCAATTTTGATAAATGTGTATATGCGAAAAGACGTCCGAAATTTTGCTTCCCCCTTCAGTTCAATATTTTTATATTTTTAATCCATTTTACCCCATTTGCGACAGCGATCTATGTGTACACATCTTTAAGAGATCTTCTTAACTGATTAATTGTCAGAAGAAAAAAAAAAAATAAATAAAAAAAAAAAACATGAACCATGTTTTGCTTCTCCACGGAATAATCTTCTTCTGCCTTTTTATAAGGTCGACTTGTTACCAAATGGTATATTTAGATTCATTCGATAAGAATAATGATCCGAATGAATTCAACAATCTTTCTTGCTCTTGGCGTTACTATTGCAAAGAAGAATTCCACTTTTGTGAACATGGATGTAGTTCTAAGAAGAAGTTAAAAGGAGGATATAACTTGTTAAAGAGTAAGAAGCGAGATATTAAAAAGTTAAAGAGAGTTAGCTGGAAAAAAAAAAAAAAAAAAAAAAAGGGGAAAGATAAAACATTGATCCCATGGTTCATAGGTTTATTAGCTGGGATAAAGGAACAATGAAAGATTGGGTCTTCCTTTCTGTGTGATCAATAAATAGTTAACGTGTAGTGAGGGAGAGATCATGCTGTTGTAGTAGTGACAGTTCTGTTGTAGTAGTTATACTGTTGCTGCAATGTGTTCTAACACCACAAAGAGTGCACGTTTTGATACAACTCAAATGGACTCTTATATTTCTCCCCTTCGAAATCCTCACAGCAAATAATTTAAGGGAAAATTGCTTCATTAATATAGAATGTGCACATTACCATATTTTCTTTGATTCAGAAGATCCAGTTTATTTCATCTTTTTTTCAAAACCTTTTTTTCGAATTAACCGCAATTTTACTCTCTACGTGCATTTGGCAAAACGGTAAAAGGCGGAGAAAAAAAAAAAAAATTCAGAAAATGAATACACACATATATAATGCACCCACTTGTGTATATATATTTCGAACTGCTGGTAAAAATGTAAATAGCCCTCACCACAACCACATTTCCATCACAACCACATTTCCATCACAACCACATTTCCATCACAACCACATTTCCATCACAACCATATTTCCATCACAACCACCTTACCATCACAACCACATTTCCATCACAACCACCTTACCACCACACACACACACACCTTGTCCATATATACTCATTATTAAGGAACAGACTCATGCAGGGCGAAGCAAGCGGAGAGGTTATTCATGAGAAGAACCGAAAAGGGTATACAAACTGGAGTATACTAACTATGATTTGGGAAAAGGCAAAACAATACAGAAATTTTATATCAGTCAGATACAAAAAAAGTTTAATAAAGTTGTTAATTTTTCTAATTTTGATTCATATGATTTTCTTTTATCTTTATATCTATACTTATTTACATCTGAAGAATCATGAGAGCTTATAAAACTATAAATCTCATCACACTAGGATGATGTGGGAGAAAAAAAAAAAAAAAAACGCACGAAGACCAACAAATTTTTTACTTCTGTCCATTACTACCACTACACACGCACCATCTTATCGTGTAGCAAAAATTGGTATATCCGTAACTAACATAAGGAAAAAATAAGGAGAAACGTAAAAATATTGTGTGGAAAAAACAATAAAGTCCAAATAAACAATCCAATTTGGAAAAAGAGAAAAAAAAACTGAGATGGGAAATGGGAAACCACGCTTTTATATGCATGTAACTCGGGGAAGTTATGTTAACAGAAAATGAAAGGAAAAAAGGAGAAAAATTCATAGAAAATGTTCACAAAAGATAAGCATTTTTAATCTTCATATGTAAGACCATTTCCCCACCACACTTAATAAGACGAATGATCATAACATTACACTTTTACGTATGTACTTATGCAGTGGTATTTACAAAAACAGAGCCTTCGTTGAACTAAGCATGTACTGGTTGAGCGTTAGAATACACATCATACAAAGTGGTGTATTTATTGAAATTTCTCAAATTCATGCATTTTTTTTTTTTTTTAATGCCTAACCCGTTCTTCACCTACATTTTCTATTTTCAATCCCTAAAAGCATGCTAATTCAGTATATTTTCTTATTATTCTACTGTTATTTTATTGCCATTTTGTTGCTACGTTATTGCTTCTTATGCTTCTTCTGCTTCTTCTGCTTCTTTTTTTTTTTTTCGCTCTCGACTACCTATTCTCCTGACTTTATGAGCCCAATAGTGCATGTATGTATATCCAACTTACCTGCACTACCAAAGCACCATGATCCCATGAATACATCTGGAGGGGAAAAACTCCTTTTTTGTGCTATATTTCATTCATATTTCGCCTAAGCAGCTTGCAGTGCTTAGATGTATTATGGTCCTTATTAACTGTCCCTATTTTTGATACATTAAATTTTTTGGGGGAGAGACAAAATCTACGTTTCTCACCACATTCTGATTTGGATCACCTCGAGGAAGATTCAACAAATCGGTGTAGCTTCCACTGTACCTTTCTGTGTAATTTGTATGAGAATTTTCAACATTTTTAACATTAACAATAGACTTGGTTTGATCTTCCATATATGGGGTTTCCTGAAATGAATCCTCGTTAGGATTATCTGTTGAAGTGTTAATACATATACCGTTATTCAAATTTGTTGTGTCAATTCTGTGTTCAATTACAGCATGATGAGCACTAGTTTTATGCATTATTACATCATTTCCTGAAGCATGATTGTAATAATTTTTATGTACAAGATACTTTGACGAATCCATACAATCTGCATTTATATCACAGTTAACATTATCTTGACAGAAAGGAATATCATTTTTATGTATGTTATAATAGTCCAAATAAGCATCATGCTGACGAGATGATTCCATAATTTTTTTGTTTTTTTTTTTTTCTTTTTCATGTGTGTACCATTTATCTGTGTTATTCTCTTCATAATTATCCCTACCTTGAGATAACACTCGACCATCCGGTAGGTTGTTATTATTGGAACTTTTTCTCCCCTCATTAGTTTGGCAATTAATCTGTTTTAATATACATTCCCCTTGATCCATGTCTACAAATGAGTTGCTATTTTTAGTATTTACATGACCCACTTCATTATGATAAAAATGATAATTTTTATATTCTCTCAAATTAGAAAATGATTTTTGTTCATTCCTGCATTTACGATGAGAATAACTTTCCGCGTTATTTGATAAATTAGCATCCTCCTCGGCAGATGTATTTCTAATAAAACTGTTTCTTTTTTCTCCCATTTTTGCCTGACCCGTTAAGGTGGCATTTGTTCTATAAACATTTTCTCCCATTTTTGCCTGCCCTGTTAAGGTGGCATTTGTTCTATAAAAATTTTCTCCCATTTTTGCCTGACCCGTTAAGGTGGCATTTGGTCTATAAAAAATTTCTCCCATTTTTGCCTGACCCGTTAAGGTGGCATTTGTTCTATAAAAATTTTCTCCCATTTTTGCCTGACCCGTTAAAGTTACATTTCTTCCATATGAATTTTCTCGTCTTACTACTTCTCTATCTTTTTCTTCTCCTTTTTCATCTATATTACAGATTTTTTCCCTCGACTTAGCTACCTCGAATTTGTTACGAGTTTGTTCTCTTCGGTCATTCCTTTCCTCTGTGCTCTCAACATGTGCATTGTTATCATTTCTGTTATTGTCATTTGTATCCCATTCATTCCTACAATTATTTACACTCTCAATATTATCCTTGTTAGCGCCTCCTTGCCACATTGGTGGCATGTTATTGTTAAATGGATAGCTCGAATCCATGTAAGGCAAACTAGTTTGATGTTTTCCTATGTAATAATCATTATCATCTATTGATTTCTCGTTATCTCTCGACAATTCTACCTCGTCAACCCATTGGAAATGTTGCCTACTCTCCATTGCCTCAGATTTTAGTGCAACTAAATTTTCCTTGCTTATGCAAGAATGTATTTCCTTATAATTTCTTTGGCTAAGTATTTTATTATACCTTTGCAAAATGTTCATATAATAATTCTGGAATTGTTTCTTCCTACTATCTGTGGTTAAAAATATGCAATTCTTTTTATCATAACATTTAGATATATTCTTTATATCAGCATAGCTCTTTATGACATTATATAAAAATATTGATTGTTTTCTTGCATAATCTAATATAAAAAGGTCGTTGTCATCCCATTCAGCTGCTATTTTTTCTTCTGCAATGTGTTCATTTTTACATGCCAAATGTTTATATATTTTCTTATTATCTGATTGCTTGTCACCTTGGGTATATACTTTTAACAATTGTTCTCGTAAGAGGATATTTTTTGAATCATTTTTTTTCCCCTGAAAGCGAAAGACAAATGGTTTTGTGTAGTTAAGAAAGTAACTACCACATTCTGCATCTTCCTCGTAAGATGTATAAAGAAAGGTGAAAGCATTTTCATTTCCATTTTTGTCGCTAATTTGGACAGCATTCAAATGATTTCGAAAAAGAGGTTGCATATCCATGTTAATATCAAAGAGAGAACATAAATGAATGCATATAATCTCAGTAATGGCCATGAAATGTAGTGCAAATTTTAATTTTAAAATTTCGTTTCTTTCGATAAAATCAAAATATGTAACATGTTCTATTGGTGGGAATATATGAGTAGGAAATAGATCCACACAACTATGGACATGTATAAATTGATTACATATACGAGTGAAAAAATTTATTGCTAATTCTGTGTTATCATAATTTTTATCCATTTTTTTATTATTATCTTGATGATTACAAAGAAGAACATTTGAATGATCAAAAAAGAATTGGAAATGATAATTGTTAATGATATAATGCCCTTTACCAGATTTTTTTTTGTCTATTTTTATTTTATTCGCTAGCCCATTTTCATTTATTATTCTTCCAATCTCTTTATCTATTTCATCGTTATACAAAGATACATAAATGGGTTCAAATGTAATTGTACTGAGATTCACAGTGGATTCATAATCAACAGTAAAATTATCTACCTTATTTCCATGGATGGAGGGATAAAAATGAATTCCATTTTTACAAATTTTTATAGAAATGTACATATGTTTTTCCTTTGTCGAATTTAGATTATTCGATTCTATTAGGTATAATGTGTCTGGTAATAACTTTTCCTTCTCATAAACTTCTTTACATTTGGAATTTATTAAAATAAGTCTCTTATTTATAATTTCTTCTTTAATATTGTTTAGTGGGATGACAACAAAGTAACATTTTATTATTTCATTTCCTTCTCTTCTCTCTCTTCCCACTAAATCATTTCTCATTTTATTCTTATATCCGTTAGTACACGTAGAATGCTTCTTATAATTTGTGCCCTTCTCTGTCTTTATTTCATTGCCGCTATCACTTTCATCACCCAACGTTTTTATCTCTATTGTTAGGAGATCGTTAGAATGTTTATATGGAAGTATGACATTCTCGATTCTCATACCTGGTATTTTCAGCTGAACATCGGTAATGCTCAAATTAATTTCAATCACTTTTTCCACATTTCTTATTTTATTAATTGTAAGGATGACATTCGAACAATATTTGTATTTATGCGTCATGCAAGAAATGTCAAACACATTTCTATCGTTCACTTGGGTGTCTATGCAATTCTCAATCTTTTCCTCACTAGGGAGATAGTACTCACTCGAAGGGGAAGAAGAGTTACCCTTCACGAGAGTACACCCCCTCAGGGCTCCTTTCCCCGCTCCTTTTCTCGCTACTTTTCCCGCTACTTTCACCACATCTTTCACCACATCTTTCACCACTTCTTTCCCATTCTGAGGACACATGCTAATACCCATTTTTCGATCTCCAACTTCTCCCCTCCCATTATACAAATAATCAGAAATGATACTTAAGTATTCAATTGTTCCTCCTTGTGGATAGTATGTATTGTATGCTTCTTCGATCTGTTTATATTTGTCTACACGGGTATGTACAAGATTTGCTTTACATTTCGCTAATTGATCCTTAGTTAAGTTCCATTTTGAGAATCCAGTATCATCATCATTACCAGCAATGGCATCAGCTGTGCGGCAGCTTCTACTTCGAACAATTTTGTTCTCACAAAATGTGTCGTTTTCAACCGATTCTATATTGAGATAATCCCTATTTTTACATGAAATATTTTCCTTACATTTGAGGAAACTATTTTTGTCTCCATGTTGGTTCATATAGGTCATCCCGTTTACGTTTTCTACTCTCTTGGGACTATATATGTTATAACATGTGTCCTTGTTACCATTTTCCCTTCCTCTTTGGAAAATATCATTGTCTATCTGATACATTTTGTTGAAAATATTTTTTTCAGTTACGATGCCTTTTCCCCCTTTTCGAAAAGGATCCAAATTATGAACTCTTTTGTTCTCACTCGTCATAACCATTTTGCTATTACTATTTGTATTCTCTTTAGTCTCATCTTGAAAATACACGTCTATGAAATCGTTAATGGTGCCTCTAAAAGCGTTATATATATTTTCAACAAGGAAAGAATTTTGACTTCTTAACTTGTGTTCGGTACTCTTCTCTAAACTGAGTTTGTCATTATTTCTGTGTCGTAAATTTTCCCACACACTATTTGCAATTTTGCTATTCTTTCCATTCTCATTGAAAGGGTTATTGAAACCGCTGGATAAGAATAACTTTTCAAGGTTCAAGTGATTATATGCCTCTTTTGTTTTGTTCAAAAACTTAGATATTTTTCTTTCTTCTTCTTCTTCTTCTTCATAGGGAGTGCATAATTTTATATCTTTCCCTACAGACATATTCTCGGACATGTATAACTGTTCATTAGAAACTACCGATTTATCACCCCTGAAGGGAGATTTATCCCTATCACTTTGTCTACTATAACTCTCAACCTTGTCTTTTATTTCCTCCTTTTGAAAAATTTCAAAATTCTGAAAATTTTTTAGATCCTTAACATATTCGCTATTTTCCTCATTTTCACTTGAAACACTTTTTACTGACAGTGCTGACTCAAGACAAGGTGTTGCCACATAATTACTCCTCCTTTCAGCAATTCCTTTCATTTCATTACATTTTTGATTCAACATTATCCTAACATTTTCTGCATTTTTTAGTTTTAAATCCTCTTCTAAATAGGAACTTTTTATCCCACTGAAGTTTATTGCAGAAATTGCTTCAACAATGCCATTTTTATCACCTAGGTCCATCTTCCTCATTGATGCTTTTTTTTTTTTTTTTTTTTTTTTTTTCCCCTTTTTTTACAATCCCTTTTAAAATAATAAAATATGAATATACAAATTTGATGAATTTCCAATTTTTAATAAGTTATTTGTAAAATAGACAAAATGGAAAAGTGTAGTGGTACAAAGAAAAAAAAAAAAAAAAAAAAAAAAAAAAAAAAAAATATAAATATAAAATAAAAATAAAAAATAGTGGAGTCTTATTTATTTATTTTAGTTTAGTTTATTTTTTTTTTTTTTTCCCCCCCTGCTTTCTGCATATCTGTATATACCCACACAAGGGTGCTCACATCAATAGCATTTCATTTAACTCCTCAACTGATTTTATAAAATATGGAAAAAAAAAATGTATGCACGAGGGAACACACTTTGTAGAACGAAAAAGTTAAACAAAATAAAAAACAAGTTGTTACACACAACACACAAAAATGTGTAGTAGTAAAACAAAGCTTGAATTGTATGTAAAAAAATTAAATAAAACAAAAGAAAATAAATAAGGGACGTCCTCTCAACAATGAGACCTACATATGTACACATTCATTGTTAGCTTTTATATGCGTTCCAGTGTGCATGCATGTAATCCTCCATTTCTTCATAACAATACCAAAAGGGCAAATGTGTGCATTTGTTGCATTATTCTCTTGTATTTCCTTTTTCTTATGCTGCTCACACGAGGACCAAGTTATGTGCAGCAAAGTTTTGGTAAATGTTTGGTTTTCACTCAAGGTGAGAGATAATGCAAAAAAATAAAAAAATAAAATAAAAAATAAAAAAAATAATAATACAACGCAAAACATGGCAAAACATGGCAAAACATGGCAAAACATGGCAAAACATGGCAAAACATGGCAAAACAGAGCAAAATCAGAAAAAGACAGTGCATCAAAGTGATGCACATTTTTGCAATTTCCTCATATCCCTGTTGGAAATATAAAATAAAATAACAAGTGGCTTATTTATTTTTCTCGGAAAAATACAACATTGTTAATAAATGTGCGAAGAAAGAAAAACATTCTCAAGGACAAAGCCTTTCCGCATATATGATCACCATATAATAAAAAAAAAAAAAAAAAAAAACATGTGTATATAATAGAATGCGTTGTTCTTAGAACAGGTGTGTGTAAATTTGTATTAACAAAGGTTAGTGGTTGTGGGTATGTTACCTTTTCAACATCCTCTCTTCGTGTGTGTACGCGTACAAAGGGGTATCCACAGACGAACATCCTTAGCATGTTCCACGTATCCCACTAAAAAAAATGCAACATTGCAATTAATGTCCGAATGATACCAAGCTCCTTTTTGTCCCTCAAAGATTTTTCTCTAACATGCTTATATCACACTGTGAAAATGCAATACGGACCTAGAAGCTAATAAATTGCGAGGGGGGCAAATAAAAGTTACCTCTTCCATTTTGTTCTTTTATTTTCTTTCACTGTTAGGTGTTCGATTCAGGAGGTTTAACAAAAACTACATTTTAATTTTTTTTTATTTCTTATCTCATATTAGGGTAACAAATACAAAATAGGTAAAAAGAGTATATTCTATATTTGGGGTTCTCAAAAAATAAAAATAAACATGTGTATAAAAATCCGTTTGCATATTCTCATACAACTTAACGAAAAAATGGTGAAGCAAAAAAAAAAAAAAAAAAAAAAAAGAAAAAAAAAAATTTAAAAAAAAAAAATAACAAACCTTTTTTTTATTAAAAAAAAAGAAAAAAAAAAGGGAAAGGGGGAAATAAACAAAAATAGAAAAAAAAAAAAAAAAAAAAAAAAAAAAAAAAAAAATATAACAAAAAAAACTAGCTGACATTTTTAATAAAAAAAAAAAAGGAAAAAAAAACGGGAAGGGATGATCTAACCAAAATAAAAAAAAAAAAAAAAAAAAAAAAAAAAAAAAAAAAAAGGAACATAAAAAATTTAACAAATAAAACTAGCTGACCTTTTTTTTATTAACAAGCAAGGTAAAAAAAAGGGGAAGGGGGGAGCTAGCCAAAATGTGAGAAAAAAAAAAAAAAAAAAAAAAAAAACAATGAACACAGTATGTAGTGAGGAAGGAAAATTTCTCTATTACAACTGATTATATACAAAAATGGGAAACATCTCCTTAAACAAATGTAAGGGAACACCTATACAAATAGTGATGTTGAAAATAGTGTTCTGAAAAAATACGGATAATATCTCAGTATTCTTTAAACCAATTCTGCAACTACGTGCCATTTATGTGAAGAAACAATTTTGCAGTTAGCGAAATGACTCAGTAGATGAATATTTTCGTTGTTCCTGTTTTGTAGTAACACTTTAACATATTGCTTTGTGTGGCCAATAATATCTTCACTTTTTGTAGACACCTCTGTGAATAACACTTTCTGTGTCGTTCCTTCCAAAAATTTATAATTATTTGAGTAAGATAGAAATGCGTCCGTTACCTCTCTCGACCTCTTTTTCACAATTTTGGTATTAATTTTTTTCATATTATAAGCTACAGTGCCCCTTCTAGGATAGAACTGCGAAATATTTAATATAGGAAATTGATATTTTTTTATTAAATTAACTGTTTCTAAGTGATCATTTTCCATTTCATATGGAAATCCACATATAATATCCGTTGAAATGGTAATATATGGGACATATTTCCTCAGATTTTCTACTACATATATGAAATCTTCAATTTCATATTCCCTGTTCATGTTTTTTAATACTCTATTACTACCACTTTGTACAGGGATATGAATAAATTCATACATATTTTTGTGTTTCAATAAATTGCATATATCTTCGACGTGTTTCAAGATATAAGGTGGATTGGTCATACCTAATCGTATCATAACGTCGCTATTTTGGACACATTTTAATATTTCCTTCAAAAGTTTAACAATATTTGTGTTTAAATCTATACCATATGCACCTGTATCTTCGGATGTTAACCATATTTCTTTTATATTCTCTTCATTACACACATATTTTACTCTGCTAATAATATCAGAAATGTTATAACTAGATAAATCTCCTCTTGCAAATTTTGTTTTACAATACGTACAGTTTCCTAAACATCCGTTATTAATATTAATAATTTCTATATATTTATTTTTTCGTATTTTTGGAAGATTTAAAGAGGTCATTCTCTTCGACTGTTTCAGATATCTCACATTGTATCCGTTAATTACATTTTCAACAACATCTACAATTTTATCTATGTTAGTTACACCCACTAGTGAAACATTCTCAAATATTTCCATATCTTTTTCTGCTTGAGGCACACATCCACATACAATGATTTTGATGTCTTTTCCATGCTTTTTCTTTTCCTCCCTTGATTTAGTTTTAAAAATTTTCTTCACTTCTTCCTTTCCGTTTCTATATATGCCTTCAGTTTTGTAGCTATCCATTTGAACTGAATCTTCCCCCTGATTTTCCACTTTTTTTTTTTTTTCACTCGTGTCAGGATATTCATTTTGAGTATGTATATCAATTCCAATTTGACAATTTTCTTTTTTAATTATACAAGATTCATCCTTTTGAGACGTACATCCGCATATTGATTCCGTTTCTCTCACGACATCTGTGCAGGGGTTTATATTCCCCTTTTCACAACAGTTGTTCGTTTCGAAATTATCACAATTTTCAAAATCCGAGAGTCCTGAAGATGATGTTGTTAGATAATCTACATGTGGTGAGTGATCCTGATTCGTTTTCTTGTCTTTTCCACTTTTCTTGTCATCTCCAAGTTTATTATTTTTCCCTTTGTCCCTCGTTTTTCCCATTCGAGATACTCCACCTCTGGTCTCATTAGCCTTATTTAACTTCTTTACATAATTGATAATGGTCTTCATACTTTCTTCACTTGGATTTTTCACAGTACAACTGTTAATTATACAAATGTCGCACTCTTCTACATTTTTAACAAACTGAAATCCGTAGTTGCCAAGAAGACCCATCATAAATTCAGAATCAGAACTGTTGTGAGCGCATCCAAAGGATTTGAAATATATTTTATAATTTTCTGGTAGTATAACTCTACTTTCGTTGAATTTTTCGGCTAAATTTTTTTCATCCTCTTTTTCATCCTCTTTTTCATCCTCTTTTTCATCCTCTTTTTCATCCACTTTTTCATCATCTTTTTCTGCATGTGATCCCTTTTTTGAGATTCCATTATTGTACTTGTTTACGTATTTCCCATAGTTTTTCTGTTTTGCTTTCATTTGCACAAATTTATAATTGGTTCTCCCATTGAGGTTGTTAATATCCTCCACGTCGGTTAATGTGCTTTCCCTGTCACTGGAGGAATTTTTCTCTTTCCTCGTACTTCCGTTATTTTCGTGGCCCTTCATTTGACAAGTAGACTTATCAAAAGACTTGCCATTAAACTTATCATTACTTGTGTGCAGGCTTTGTTTTCCATTTATTCTCCCCAGGGTCTCTTCTCCACATGTGTCAACAAAATATGATTCATTTTCAGAACTTATAACAGATGTATCATCATTTACTAGAATAACTTCGCTTGCACTGGATTCGCCTTCTGTCTCTATTCTGCTTAAGGGTAAATTCTTATGCCCATTTGGTGTGTTCCTCCGGACACGGTTCTTTCTTTTGTGTTTATTCTTTTTGTTTTTTAAAAATAAGGAATTAAGCAATTTCTTTATTTCCTTCTTTTTATGTACACAAATGTAATACGTTCCCGTGGTGGCGAAGCAAAGGAAAGTTAAAATTTTTATTTTGCTATCCATTCTGTTTTATATCAAAAAATGTGTTCACATATGCAAATGCATATGCAAATATATATATATATATATATATATATATATAATGTATGAAATAATTTTGTCATAAGGTGCAGTGATAGGGGAAGGCATATAAAGAAGAAGCCGTTAATGCCTTAAGGTTATTCATATTTTTGGATGCCCTTCTTTTTACATATTTCTTTACGAGGGTATATTTCTTAGTGTACAGCTGTGGTGGAGTCCAATGTTTGTACATATATGTGGCAGCTTTGTAAAAGTATGCAATCCTTTCTTTCCCTGCTTCCTTGCTTCGTTGCTTCCTTTCTTATTTTTTATTTTATTTATTTTATTTATTTTATTTATTTTATTTATTTTCTTTCCCTCCCCCCCTTTTTTTATGATATTCACCAGAGTACACTATATGTCTGCTCTCGTCTCTTCATGTATGCATTTTTCTCCTCCTTCGTGAATTTATTTTTCTCACTTTGCTTCTTTCCTAATGTGTTATGCTACATTTATGCATACGAGTTGTTTCAACTTTTGCATATGGCTACATATATGTACATGTATATGTATATATATGTATGTATGGCGAATTTTTTTTTTTTTTTTTACTTCTTTTGAAGAAATAGGATTGATAATTCGTCTTCAATTGTCATTTAAAAGATGATAAAAAAAAAAAAAAAAAAAAAGAGAAAAAGAAGTTGTGATAAAATCACAAAACGGTTAGGGGGAGTGGGTCCATGCTGAGCTTTTCTACTTTGCTGAAATGGGGATGAACTTTTTTTTTTTTTCTGTAAAATTGGGGTGAACGAAGGAATAAATTTTCAATTACGTGATAGAAAAGGAGAAGGATTAAATAAGTACAGAGAAATAGCCAAAAAAAAGGAAATAAAATAAAAAAATAGAATAAACAACCAATTAATCAATAAAAATAATTTTGTAAAAATATTTACTTGTATTTTATAAAAAAAAAAAAAAAATGCTGGATTTATTTCAGCCACCACGCCGAAACTGTCACATGTTGGCTCGTGACAAACCCCTCCCAATGCACTCTCTTTTGTTTCTTTTTCTTACACTTCTTTTTCTTATCCTTTTTTTACAGCACTCTTTTGCCCTCATCCTCCTAAAAATTGTAGTCTAGTCTTGTATTCATACGAAATAGTGTTATATATATATATATATATATATATATGTATATACATATAAACACATACATAACATGGGGAACATTTCTCTCATGTGCTTAAATGCTTAAAGGAGCCAAATAAATTATGCTTTTTTATCTTCACCCTACAAATGTTTGCGCGGACACCAAATTGTCACGGTCATTTGCATGTAGTGTTATTTGTCTCTGTTAGCAAAAGGGAAAAAAAGAAAAAAAAAAAAAAATGTAGGGACAACCGATAGGGAAAGATGTGAAAATGTTAACAAGTAATTTTTCTGTATTGAATAAAAAAAAAATTAAATAAAGTAAAAGAAAGTAAAATATAGTAAAATAAGATCAAATCAAATAAAAGCTTATAATTTTTTTTTTCAAGTCTTATATGAAGCACCTCAAAATTTTGTCATATCTCAAGGTTTTTTTTATAAAAAAAAAAAAAAAAAAGGGGGCAGACGAGATGGTCAACTAGGAACAAGCACCTTAAAATATGGAATTGTTAGAGACCATATATATATATATATGTAACAGCTGAACCATTTTTTTTTTTTTTTTTTTCACATACGAATTATCTACACCATAAAAGAGAAAAAAACAAAATAAAATAAAAAAAGGACCACAACATTTATACACACACTTTTAGACTGAAGAAGAGAAAACCTAAGGGAAGAGTACATACACACACACATCTGTGAGCTTGGAAAAAGGACTAAAATAACATATGCTAGACTAACCTTCAGAAGAAGAAAATTTTTATATTAATGATGTAAGCTTATGCAACTCATTGTAGGCCTTATAAAAGTAAATTTTTCTTTACGCCTTTTGAAAATTCCCCTTATATAATGTTGTATATATAGTGTTTTTTTTTTTTTTTTTTTTTTTTCTTCCATTCCTTCTCTTCTAATGAATCAGAGTAGCATACACTCATAGGTACACACATATACAAGCATATACATTCGTTCAAGTTTAAATTTTTCTTTTACAGCAAAGATAAGTTGCATCGAAAGTAGACTTTCAAGGATAGACACACCTTGATATAAAACAGGAACTGAAAGTTTAAAAAAAAAAAAAAAAACCACAGAATGCATGACATACCAAGCCATTATAAAAAGTACTATGTCTCTTATAAGAAAATCAAAAGAATCATACTCAGGATGGGACGTAAATACAAACAGAAGGTATGTAAATGAGAGTTACAGCATGCTAATACTTTCCTCCATTTCAGAAAATTCAAGTCACCTTATTAGATATTTTTTTTTTTTTTTTTTTCTTAGTGCACCTGCATATATACATAATTATTATATATGTGTAAATGTTGTGCACTGTTCTACATGGGTGTGTATTACATAAATAAATGTGTGTAGATATATACAAATACATTGTCACTTATTAATATACAACATGACCTTACGATTTTTTCCCTCCCATCTGTTTACTTGAAGCTTGAAAAGGATCTAATACAAACTGCAGTAAAAAGGGTTGATAAACGAGGTTAAATTGAAAGAGCCATGCAGTGCATATAATTTTTGACGATATTGTTGGGATGGATGAAAATATGTTTCTCCATGTTGTGCATACAATCTCATACGTGTGTAATTTCATCGCTCGTAAACTACTGACGTATTATCATTCTTATTCTAATTTTCTTTCTAATTTTCATCCTTATTCTCATTTTCATTTTCATCCCTATTCTCATTTTCATTTTCTTTTTTTTTTCCTCCTCCCATTGACCTCCACTGCATGAAGGTATGAAAATGCTGCCTCCCTTTCTATTCAGCGATATTATAACAAAGGAAATTAAAAAAATAAACAAATTTGCAGAAAAGAAATATATAGAAATAATTGATAACCTGATGAATACATATAAGAAACTAAAATCTATGGATAACTACAAGCACAAAACAACAAAAGAAGATATGGAAAAAAACTTAGATTTAATCGGTTGTGACATAATTCATTTCGATTATTATACGCATAAGAATTGTAGGATATTAATGAAGTTAGGATTTTTTTTCGATCACATCATGAACATCTCCATCAATCAGTGGCTTCTTCTAAGTTTAATAAAAGAAAAATTCTGCAACATAAACATAGATGAGTTGATTGTGTACTTGTCTCTTTTGTATTCTCTACATCGATCCTTATGCCAAGGACATCAGCAGGCAGATGCAGATTGTCAGAATACGACACACATGATCAATTTTGTCACTTCAGCGAACCCCCAGAAGGGAGAGGGGAGTAATAGAAAGTGGATCCCACCAGAGACATTTGAACGGACATCTACTAAATTTTTAATGAAATATGAAGATATTGTATACACAAAAGTAAAAATCATAAAACATCTGCCATATTTAATATTCGGAATGAGTAACAAAGATTTAGAAGAAAGTTTTGAAAATTTCGTGGAAATGAAAAAAAATAAAATTTGTAGCGAGACTATTCAAGATATGAAAAGAAAGCAGAAAAAATTCAAACCCCTTGATGAATCACAACAAATAACATCAGTCTACTTGGATAATGAAGAAGCCACGTGCTACAGCAAGAGAATACTCAGATATGAAAATGCACAACTTATACGATTTAGGTGGTATAATGAAAATGATGGAAATCCGGATAAAATTATTTTTGTTGAAAGAAAAATTCACCACGAGGAATGGACTGGCGAAACTTCCACAAAGGAAAGGTTCGAATTGGAGCAGAAGTATGTCTTTAAATTTATGAATGGTCAATTGAATATGAGGAACTTTTTTTTGAAAAAACTTCAAACATGGAGAGAGGCTCAGGGTGCAAATGCCACAACGGGTGTGAAAGCAGAAAACGAGGGTAGGGGTTCGGCGAGGAGGAACACTGGGGGGAGCCTGGAAAAAAGAATGAAAAAAAATATAAAACTGGCAACAGAAATTCAGAAAATGATAATTCAGAACAGACTAGAACCCGTCATAAGAACTTCCTACCTGAGATGTGCATTTCAACAAAGTAACGATAATTCTGTGAGGATATCAATAGACACGAATGTTTCAATGTTGAACGAATGTGTCAGCAGAAGGGAAGAACACTGGTGTAGACTGGCTGAGGAAGCATTAAGAAAAAATGAAATCAGGAGGTTAAATTATAGTATCATAGAAGTGAAATTAAAGGTAGAAAAAATACCAAAATGGGTTCAAAATATACTAAATAGTAATCATTTCATCAATGCCTATAAATATTCCAAGTATCAAACAGCCATGGCTTTATTGCACCCAGATAAGGTTAAATATATACCACTTTGGATACATGCGAATATTCAAGAGAAATTTAAATCTACAAATAATTACGCCGAATCGACAATTACACGCTCAAGCAGTTGCCAAAATGCAAAGATCACAAATTTAAAGGATCTGTACACAGAGGAGCATGAACTAATCACTGACAATGTCTACAGTGCCAATTATCAAAGACAACACCACGCAATAATTCCCCTCCGAGAAACAGATAATCAAATATACAGACAAAAACATGACAATAATGAATGTATTCAACAAAGGTTGAATCAGTCCTCATGCAACTCTTTACAAGAATATAATATGCTACACAAAACTGCCCTTTGGATAACTCAAAATTATAACAGAAATAAACATATGCAAGAAAAAATAAATTTGTTAAAAATAGATCCCAAAATTAATTTCGCTGCTGAGAGAACTTTTCTTCATTATACCCTTATCTCTGTGTATATTACTCTATTGGCACTCTTTTTAGAAAAATATAAAAATCAAGATAAAAATTTGGATACTCTCATTATTTTACTTCTTGCAACTGCGTTCTCATCTCTAATATCATCCTACTTTTTCTTTTTGAAGCGGATCGAAATTATTGAACTGTAAGTCTTACACTTTTGTGAGAGATGCTCTAAGGGGTGAAAACGAGCACATGTAATTATTTCTATACCCCCTCCCCTTTTTATGCATACACATTTGACATATAAAAAGGAGTGCCCTTTCCTCACTTGCACTACTATCAATCAACAGTGCGTTTTTAGACAAATCAAAGTGTTTCCATTTCATCAAAATTGTGCACTAGCACAGAGAGGAGAGTAGTTACATGTAGCGCCTGCATATTTGGCACAACTGTTTTTTTTTTTTTTTTTTTTTTTTTTTTTATGTGTGTGAAATTTCGTATAAATATACACTGTTTATAAACGAATAGTATACTATACCCTTATCCTACATCATCACTCCCATCCCATTTCATTACTCTGTACAGGAGAAAAACGAAGGAACCCCTGCTCGGACGTCGACGATTTGACAGTTTTTACAGTCCTATTATTTTCCTACTTCTTATATTATTTTCTATAATTTTGTCAATATATTTCAATTTTAACATTAGATCGATAAAGGTCGCGCGTTGGGATCACCTCACAGTTTTTCAATTTCTATTTCGCATGAATTCTATAAAAAAGTAGATTAAAAATATTCAAGGCGATAAAAATAAAAAAGAAAACAAATATATATATATATATATATATATGTATATATCCTTTCGCATTTGTAAAGAACAGGGATGGGAATATCAGCAATTATCATTAGGATTGCACAAAAGAGATGAACGTTTCCAAGTGTCAGAAAAAGAGTTCAATATTTCCGCATGCAGTCATAGGGTGAAATAAGTATGGAAAATAAATTTCTTTCCATTTTTAATTAGCCATGTTTCGGTTTTTCATTTCATCACTATTTGCTTACTGCGATTTTCACTTATAATATACATACCCCTCTTCACCATTTTTGCACGGCTGAAATTGAAAAAAAAAAAAAGAAAAAAGGAAAAAAAGAAAAAGTTAATTAAACACACACTCATAAAAAAAAAAAAATTGCTGATGCGTGATTACCAAAAAGTTATGATTAATAACAAAAGCATAAACACTGAACACTGAACACTAAACATACAAAATGAGGTCATCTCACAAATAAAGTGACTTCCCCCGACCCCTATGCAAAAAAAAAAAAAAGGAAAAAAATTGTGAACAGCAAATGATGAGAAAATTACTTCACATCAAATTTAATGGGCGAAATAACAACAGCGCACAATTTTGTAAATGCTTCACAACGGAAAAAAAGGAAATTGCAGGAATCGAAAATTTCCTCAACGATCTGAAATCAGATGGATGCAAAAGCTGGGAATATTATATCAAGGGAATAAATCCAGATTATGAGCCAAGAAAAGAAATGTACAATTTTTTGAAAGAAAAAAATATTAATGTACATAGAATGACTGTATATGAAATTGAATGTTTCACCAAATGGATACAAATGAGAAAATTGTATGGTGATCAATTTCCTCGATTTCCATACGAAGTAACATTTGAGGATAAAATTAACGAATTAAGAGACAAGTATCCCGATCCGTGAATGTGTGTTAAAATATTTTTGCAAATTATCGAATATTATCAAATTAGTCTATCTGTGTGCATGTAGTATAAACGAATTATTATGAACAAGCGTTCAGGTTAAAAAATGACGTTATTTAACATGTCCAGCGATAATTTGAAAAAAAAAAAAAAAAAAAAAAAAAAAAAAAAAAAGGTCACTTCTTGACATCGCCCTCTTGCTTAAAATTGATAGGAATAAATTTTATTTTAGCATAATTAAAAAGATTTTAATTTAAAAAAAGTGATTGAAAATCGAATAAATAGAAAATGGGCGTAGGAATTTTCTAAGGGCACACCTTTATGAACGAAGTGGATATGTCAATTGCCAATATGAGACACATAGCTCGTAGGGGATGATGATGTGCAGACTGACCTTAAAAAGAGGAGTAAACGGTAACGCTAAAATCTGGTAAGCACGATAAAATATGCACACACAAATTATGCATATATATGTGCATATGTACACACATTCATATGCGTATATTTGTACATACACCTACAAATGAACGGACACACAATAACTCCTACGGTGAGGTCACGCATCCTATGAAGCGCCCCCTTTTTTTTTGGACACGTACCTTTGCGTTCTGTATATAAATACCCCGTCTTCATCCACATTATTTTTTTCATCTCCATAGGACAGAAAAAATTTTTTTTTATACTTTATTTTTTTCAGTAGCAAACTTAAATAAATATTTTGAAAGTTTTCTTTACAACCTTTGTCATCACCAAGCGTGTGTATGCTTCGCAGGAGGGCATCAACATCATTAGCGTTTTTTTCTAAGACATCTTTCTTTTCATTATTACAAGGATCATTTTCGACGATTTCCTTTTTCACCTGACTGTACATAAAATTATTTATTTTATTCACCAACTGTACAGGTAAAAAAGCTTCAGTTGCTAATAAGTTTCTAATTTCGCTGATTTGTTCATTTTCGTCTGGATGTTCTATTCTCTCCTCGATTTCAGAATTAGCCGCAAGATGGTTTTCATCTGTGTCTTCGTGCAGGGACTTTTTCGATGCAGGCTTATGAGGTAGAGTATCGTGGCTATCATAATTAGTGCAAGCACTCTGGTGACTGATATTGCTCATACTACTCAAACAGTTCATGTCAGTTGCATCATGGGAACTGCGGCGCATTTTGCATCCATTAGGACGAAGGGATATGTTTTCTGTTAGCAAAAGGAGTTGACCTATAATTATTAACAAAGCCGTTTCACATTTTAAAATTCGTTCTGTCAAATTGAAAAAACGAAATTGCAATTTTTTAATTAAATAAATTTCAAGTTCAGAAAAGCCCCTCTCACAACCTATCATTAAAAGTATTTTCCCATGTTCTCTACGCAAAATATCATGTTCAATAGTTGTAGGATTTTTTTTTATTTCAGTGTGTGCACACAATTTTATGGTATTTTTATCAATATAATTCTGAATGTTCATAAAAAAGGAACCAAATGAATAATGAATAAAAATTTGTGGAAATTGTGTACACATTGCTTGTTCTAAACCCAACTGAAGTGCATATTTTATTTCTGCATTTTTTAAAATTTTACTTGACTCGTAAGATTTGTTTGCATAATCAGAAAATACAATAATAATTTTTTTTACACCAACAGATGATAATTGTTGCAGAAATTTATTCAATATCTTTGGCCTTGGTATGCAAATAACAACATCAATTGGTATGTACTTATCAACTGATTTTTGTAAATGTATAGCTGATAATAATTTAATTGTGTAAAATTCGTTAGTCTGTTCAATAATAATTCCTTCACCTTTTCCCTTATTAATTACACCCACTTTAACAATTTGATTCAATTTTACTTTTAAAATGTTCTTTAAATGACTCGTTTGTCTTTCATCTGTTTTGAAAAAAAAAAAACCTTCCTCACTTTTGCAAATGCTTTTCAAACCGATAAGAATTAAATTCATTATTTATATACTCTCCCTCTTCCACCCGCACTTTTTTTTCTTTTTTAATATATATGTTCAATTCTTATTTTTTTTTGTTCTACGTATGACATTATCAAATTGGTAATCAGTACCAACCGTCACGTGTGTATGCCCTTGTACCTATGTTGCAAAGTTAGCTGATATGTCTTTTTTTTTTTTTTTTTTTTTTTTTTTTTCTGTCAAGTTAGGTAACTATGAACGGATTTATAACTACCGCGTATTCCTTGTTTCAATTTTTTTTTTTTTTTTTTTTTCTTCCTGCTTCTCATGTATCGGTAAAATATGTCATAACATGAAAATTCTAATAAAATAGATATGTTAATACTTGGCAAATATTAACCAATAGGTAATTTGGGTTGATATATACCCCAAGAACATCGAGTATTTTATTATTACAAGGGAAAAAGTTGCGATTAATCCAATTTGTCGTAAAATTCCCCAGTACTCGCCTCCACCCTACGCCAATAAACTAACATGTTAAAATAAAAGTTACACAAATGTTTTCCCTTGAATATTCGAGGGGCAATTACATTCCCCTGCTAAATGTTAATTTGAGAAATGAGAACATACTACTGCTACTAAATCGTGTTTAAAAAAAAAAAAAATCTCAACAACACATGATGCATATAATTTTCTCAATATAGTGCACTAACTTCTTAACCTCGTTTATTGTGTATTTTTCAGCCGCATGAAGTGTTGAATTAAAAAATCGAGTCAAGGTAATCGGTACATGTGTCAGCGTACTAGGAAAAAATTTGAGTGCTTGATGAAAGTTGCAAATGCTGAAAAAAAAGAGAAAAAATGTGAAAAAAAAAAAGTGCTAAAAAAAGTGTGAAAAAAAAAGTGTGAAAAAAAAAAGTGCTAAAAAAAGTGCTAAAAAAGGTGCTGTAAAAAACATCAACCAAATGTGAGAAAAATATGAAAAAGAATAATATGCAAAAGGAATAGCTACAAGTGGGATAACTCGTAAATATTTTTTTTTTTTTTTTTTTTTTATTTTCTCCTACATTACAAAATCTTTTTGTAATCCCCGCTTTGAGTACAAGTTGAGAAACAGAGTGATTAACCCCATTACATTTTTCATCATACTACTGTTCCTCTACTCACACATTCTTACCATGCCTTTTCCTCCAAAATATTTGATTTTTTCAAAAAAAAAACATTAATCATTTTATATAAGTATAAGGAATTAGTTTTAAATAGTTGCCCAGCGGAAAAAAAAAAAAAGAAAAAAAAAGTCAGTGACATGTATATTACATATATTTTTGTTTTACTTTAGTTTATCCATAAAAATACATATAACGTGCATTAATGTACATTTTTTTCCATCCTCCAAAAGAATGAAACAAAAAAAAAAAAAAAAAGATACTCACATGTTACTTATACATGCGCCTTGTTCAACTTTACAGTGGTTTTTGGAAGTCCATTCAGTGATACCTATCCCAAATTTATATGGAAATCTCTTGGTAAAAGTAGAAAGGGCAAAGACATTTTTAACCCCTTTTTCCATGCCCTCAATAAGACTAGGTATGTAACATTGCATCTTTTTTTTTTTTTTTTTTTTTTTACACTGTCTACATATATATATGTATAAGGATAAACACATGTGTGTATGTGTGGACACTTGTAACATTTTCATTTATTACTTCTCCAAATGGAGCAATCTCCCATAGTTCATCAAATCATTCGGTTTAATATATACAAACACATGCATGCAAATATGAACATATGCCTTCACGTAATTGCTACTCATGCATACTCAACCGTAAATGTTTTTTTTTTTTTTTTTTCATCAGAATTTATGACCATATACTGAAGCACAACAGCAGATATTGGCTCTTTGTTGTAACCGGAGGTTGTGTCACGTCCTACTTTTGGGGTATCTGGTTTAATAACTTATGGAAGAAGATAAACAAAGGGGTAAGAAGAACTTGAGTGGTTCTTCAACCAATTATACATTGAATTTATTCGTTAAATCATAATGGTTATCATAAAAGACATGAGTCAAAAAAAAGGAGAAAAAAAAAAAAAAAAAAAAAAAAACTCAATTGTGTTACTCCACCAGAATAAACTTTAAATGTTTTTCCCTTTCATTCTACAATGTTCCTTTTGTAGAAGCTGTACATTGATTGCCCGTATAAGTACCCTGAGGAGGAAAACTGAAATGTGGAAGATTATATTTTTTTTTTTTTTTTTTTTTTTTAATGTTATAAAGGAGAGAAGTAAATTTACATTTTAGCAATACCGTTAAGGACAGAATGAGGAAACCAATTGGAAGTATCTAAATCGCTTTAAAGAAAAAATAAAATAATAAAACAAATAAATAAAAATAACGAAACAAATGAGTATAGAAATGAAAGAATAACTTACGAAGAAAATAAGAAGCGAAACAAATAACCCATCGCTCCACTTTTTTTTCTTTCTTTTTTTTTTTTTTTTTTTTCTGTTCCCGAGCACTCATTGCATTTTTTTTAAAAATTGTCACACCTTTTGAAATTTGAACATGTGCATATAATATATACATTTTTATTACTCAATTCTTAAGCAACTAAAACATTCTACTTTGGAAATATAACATAATTTTGAAATAAATGTTTTGGGGATGGAGTTAAAAGCAAAAAAAAAAAAAGGAATCACATCAAAATTTTCCTATATATTGCAACTGTTTAAACTCCATGCACATGTTGCTTGAAAAACGAAAATGTCGCAATATAAGAAGATGGGCACAAACCAAAATACCAGTTCAATTGAATGGGCCCACCTGCTTTTAATCCTTAAACATCTCTCCCTCGACGCACCCATGTAGATATGCACAAACATACGCATATGCACATGTACACAAATCTATACATATATGCACAAATCTATACATATATGCACAAATCTATACATGTATGCACAAATCTATACATATATGCACAAATCTATACATGTATGCACAAATCTATACATATATGCACAAATCTATACATGTATGCACAAATCTATACATATATGCACAAATCTATACATATATACACATATATATATGTTTATAGATTTATTAAGGAAGTTTCGTTAAAGTCCAACTTATTTTACAGAAGAAAAAAAAAAATAAATAAAAATAATTTCAAATGAACAATCGTATCTATGTGTGTAGTATACATCATCAGGTGTTACCAAACCTTACATATTATTTTACATTGACGACACACATGTGCATTTTTGGCAGAAAAAAAAAAAAAAAGGAAAAAAAAAATTATGAACAATTGACAAGGTCAAATAAAGATTTTTTTTTTATATGTATACTAAAACATATGGTAAATGTTTAAAAAAAAAAAAAAAAATGTAACAAATGATGGAAAGAATTATTGAAATGAAGTATTTCATTAATTAACGAATTATATACGAACTTAAAAGGTATATATGGTCTTCATTAAAAGAGAAAAAAAAAAAAAAAAAAAAAAAAAAAAAAAAAAAAAGGAATGAATGCGCCCTATTGTGTGTCCATCTTTAATGGTCTGAAAAGTGTGCGTAGGTACTTCAACTACCCACAGATGCAGATATATATGTACTCTGTCAGGCGAGGCCTGCAGCAACTTTTTCATCGAAAATTTTTTCCACATTATGTAATTTTGTGTGTATCATTTATCCACTACTACTTCCTTATTTTTTTTTTTTTTTGTACTAGTTTAGCAAACACTGTAATTCTTTGTATGAAAAAAATAAATGCAAAGAAGACAACATGACATAAAAATAAAGTTTTTGCTTAATCCATTTGGTGGCTCGTGCTAGAATCACAACTGTTACTAGGTCTACAACGGATGCCAGCAGATCAGTAATAACACTTACTTCTCCAATGTGGTATATTTTCATCTTTTCGATTTGTATGTCGTGTAAGTCCATCCCACTACTTCTACTTCTACTGCTACTACTACTACTACCGGATTCAGTTGTACAATTTGATTGATGGATGGAAAAATCCTTGTTATTACTGTGAATTTCCATGGTATTATCTCTTTCCCTTGCTTGATCTATTTCGCTGCTGCATCCAAGAGAAGTAGTAATCCCTTTTGATAACTTCACATGTGAAGCGTTACTATTCTGTGCAAGATCAATATTTACATGCTGATCTCTATATGTTAGAGAATAATTTTCTGGAATTTTGTTAAAATTTGTTTCATCTGTGTGATATTTTTTTGGTTCATGATTTACAGGATTAACATTGGATGAATGATCCTTGCATGATTGAACACTATTTGTATTAACTATCTCGAGATCCGTTCTATCTGGTGTGTTCAAGATTTGGCACAAGCGAAGGTTTGTAGCAGATCTAATAGATGCATAAGTCATGATACTTAAACTTTGCAGAATTGAGGACAGTGTATATAAGATATATGAAAAAAAAAAAGAATTTTTTGAAAAATTCCAAGTGGATGAAGCTATTCCAAAATAAATACCAATTACATAAAACACGGTTGACATAATTCTACATAATTTTATGTTTCTATCAACAAATGAACTTAGTTTATATAACCAACATATTTTTAACATCTTAATGAGTATTTCATTATAAATTAATGCTTGAGTCAGATATACATTGTTATTATTTTTTCTGTATAAATATATTCTTGCATTTAGTGAGAAAGCACTACTTAGAGAAACACATATACGTGATAATGATCGAAAAAGAAAATATTTTTTAAAATTTTTGTTCGACAAGGGTTCAATTATATTGCTTACAAAATTGGGATATGCGTGAATTTTTGGATGAATGGTAGATCTTATAGCTTTTTTTCTTTGACCATGGTTATACTACTTGAGGATTGAAGGAAGGGGAAATTTTTTTCATATGTGCACATGTAAAAAATTTGTAAAAAGAGAGAAAAGATAAGAAAAAAAAAAAAAAATAAAATAAAATAATAAATGTGCATATTTATATATACATGTAAAGAACATTTTACAATGTGTCTTTATTTTTACACATTTTATATATATTCAAATAGGGCGAAAGGGGTGAAATTGTGTTACATAACATGTGACATTCCTCTTTTTTAATGCAGAGAAATACTGCTGTCACAATGGACGAACAAAAAAAAAAATTGCAACTATCCCCAAATTACATTTGCGAATACGTACAAAAAAAGTCGTGTCATTGGGATAAAATCAGTCAAGTTATGATTTGGAAGCAAAGTCTCCAATGTAGTTTTTTTTTTTTTTTTTTTTTTTTTTTTTTTGCTCTGTTTTCCTTTGTTCTTTTTTTCTTTGTTTTATTTTATTATTTTTTTTCCCCAATTTTTTTTATTACATAATTGACAGCGCCAAATGTTAACGAGTTGGAATTTATTTTGGTCGGAGTAAAGGCAAAGGTAGCATGGGAAAAAAATAAAAACAGTAACAAAAGAAGAAAAAGAGAAATCTTCATCTTTGCACTTTCTTAGATTTGGAATAAGCTAAACCACGGGGTCTTCACATGGAGGCAGAGACTCAATCAAGCGTGGGTAAATGCATGTACACATGCACATATATGTATATATCTTTCTCTAGTGTAACACTGAGAGCATTGAATTGATTATTCGATGTAAGACCTAGCATTCGTGCAAAATATATGTCACACATAAATACATTTCGTGTGGAAGTGCTATGATCAGATGGGATTGAGAGAGGAAATATTATACTTGCTATACATATGAAGCGAGAAAAACATTTTTCTTGTATGGGGAAAGCAAAATTGGGTGCCAAAAAAAGATAGACATATAAATAAATGAATAAATAAATGAATAAATAAATGAATAAATAAATGAATAAATAAATGAATAAATAAATGAATAAATAAACGAATAAATAAACGAATAAATAAATGAATAAATAAATAAATAAACAAATAAATGAATAAAATAAAGAGAAAGACAGGTGTATTATGTGTGCGGAGGCGTTCATTCGTCGAATGTGATTAAAAAATGGGGAAAAAGGAAAAAATTTAAGTAATAAACAAATTTGAGAATCTTTCTCTCTATCACTCTCACTCTCTCTTTGCTGTTGTTTATGTAATAAGAACAGTCCATTTTCTACACTCTTTTTTCTTTTTCATCATAAGAAATAAAATGGAGCAAAATGAAAGCTTTCAACCTTTGGGGCGCATCTCTTTCCACAACAAAAAAAAAAGAATCAATCCTGGGGGCCATAAAAAGGGTAAACGTGTATAGTAAGTTGTTGAATATATTCTAATGCATTTGTCCCAAATGATCTAGCATTGTGGAAGGAAGTGCAAAAATGGGCGAGAAAAACATGAATGAAAAAAGAAAAAAAAAAAAAAAATGGTGTACATTTCTTTTTTTCAAGAAACTGGTTCAATATTATAAACGTTCTGTGTAAACCATGTGGAAAGAAAAACTGCCAACTTATGGTGTGGAATTTCTCTACTGAAATATGATGTAAGTGCTACTAAAGTCTAACACACTAGGAAGGGTCCCAAAAAAAAAAAAAAATTTAATAAAATGAAAGGAGAGTTCCCCACTAGGCAAAACAGAATACGAGCAACATAAAATGAACAAAAATATGGCAGTAAAGTTCACCCCCCCCCCCTTGTGGGAGAAAAAAAAAAGAAAAAAAAAAAAAAAAAAAAAATACAGAAAAGATACAGAAAAGATACAGAAAAATAAGAATGTTAAATGATAAAACATTTTAACCTATTTATAGTTTGGTTAAATTTTTCCCCCTCTTTAAAACAATCTAAAAATTTAGAACTCAGTAAAAAATGCAAATTGCTGTTTTTTTTTAGGTGGGAAGGGAGGAGAGAGTCGAGCGAGCGCTTGTGTTCCCAGTACATGTATAATAACACAGATATATACATAAATGTTAAATACATTACACCATTGTTAATTCATACTTGTATGACCCAGCACCCTTTTAAGGTTACATCCTTTTTCTGTTTCAGCGATGGGGTGTCGAACACGTGCAGTATGTAAAATAACATATAATCTTATTATTCCGTAGGCGTGTATATAACATCACGTTTCTATAGCATCCCATCAGTGTGACATTAAAGTAGATAATATTTACTATTTCAAGTGAAGTTATGGGTGAAGTTACGGGAGCAGTAAATATATAAGTTCTGTTATGTTCAATTACATAGGTTCCTCCTACGAACGTACCACCACACCAACACGTGGGCAAACAGGGGGCAAAAGGGATTTAAGAAAAAAAAAAAAAAAAAAGCACCTCTCACATGAATATTTCTCGTCTCCCCACCCCCACCCGACACTCTCATCCGCTTTTTCTCGCAATTAATCAGCTGTCACGACTGGGCTTGAGGATAATTTATGGTATAATCTCTGAATTTAAAACATCTTCCTAATTCGCCCATTATGTATATCATATTATGTGTATCATATTATGTGTATCATATTATGTACATGGAAAGCAATAATACAATGAAACAGTGGGGGTATTTACCAATGTGGCAAGTGTATGAAATATATACAATGCAATACGCACGCATATATATATGATACCCATAAAGAACATACATGTGTATGTATAAATATATATATATATATATATATATATATATAAATGTACTTTCTTTTTTTGTTCGCGCTTTTTTTTATTTAATTTTTTTTTTAATTTTCATAAGTTTCTCGTAAACTTTATTATTTTTAATTATTTATATATTTGTATATTTGTGTTTTTGTGTATTTGTATATTTGCATATCTGCATATCTGCATATCTGCATATTTGCATATTTGCAAATTTGTACATTTGCCTATTTGTACATTTGCATATCTGCATATTTGCCTATTTGTACATTTGCATATTTATGCGTTTTTGTAAATGAAAACTTCTCCATCAATTGTTTCTCCCACATGTATATGCATTCATGCATGTATATATATATATATATATATATATATATATATAGAGAGAGAGAGAGAGAGAGAGAGAGAGTGAGAGTTCCTTTTTGCAGGGAGCCATGCCACAGAGTACATAAGAACAGGAATGTGTATAAACCACAAACATAAATATGTACACGTTCTTACATGCATCCTTGGCCAAGATATATATAACCCACACGTCAAATCGAGTCATTTATTTATATAAATAATATTTTGGAAGATACATTTATCTTTTTTTATGCCCAATCCCTTCCACACACACTCAACGCCATCCTCTTCTCTGTTTGTTTTTTTGTTTTGTTTTGTTTTTTTTTTTTTTTTTTTTTTCCTCTTTATCACCTATCTAGCTCATCCATAAGAACAGATTGATAAAAGAATAAAATAGCTGTTTTGTGAGTTATCCATACGTAGATATTGCGTTACACATGAGAATCCTTTTTTTTTTTTTTTTTTTTTTAATACAAATACACATGAACAGTTTGCAGGAATTTACATGATATATAGAGGCATGTGATATTAACATATATATTTTAAGTGTATATTAAGAATATCTCATGTACGATTGTATAGAAAAACTGTATACATATATATATATATATAATACGTGTAAATAGTTGAAGTTGTTATTTTTTTATTCCCTTTTTGAGAACATTATTTACCATATTTCAAGATAAGCAAAAATGTCCAGACGAATGAACTTACTGAATATAGAAAAGAACATTCAGAATTTATGGAAAGAGCACAATGTATATGAAAAAGAATTTATTGATAATAAGGAAACAAGGTTTACAGGTAATTTCCCTTACCCCTACATGAACGGATTATTACATATTGGCCATGCATTTACATTAAGCAAATTGGAATTTTTAATTCGTTATAAAAATATGACATGTCAGAATGTTTTGTTACCATTTGGTTTTCATTGCACAGGCACACCAATTGTTGTGTGTGCAGATAAGTTGAAAAAAGAACTGAAAAATAAAGTGCTAGGGAGGGGAGGGGCAATAGGAGAAGAAGCAGGAGTAGGAGTAGAAGCAGGAGTAGGGGTAGAAACAGGGTTGGAGGGGAAGGAAAAACGGGAATTGACAGATAAGAGACTAGAGGGATGCCAAAAGTATACGTCCGAGAACAGGGGCGAAATGGAAAGTGGAAAACAAGTAGATGTAACAGTTTTCAGATCAAACAAAAGTAAAGCACAATCGAAAGGATCAAAACAAAACACACAATATGAAATAATGAAACAAATGGATATAAAAGATGAGGATATTCATCATTTTCAAGACCCACAATATTGGTGTTATTATTTTTCAACAAAAACAAAAGAACATTTAAATGCTTTAGGATTATTTTGTGATTGGAGGAGATCCTTTATAACTACAAATATAAATCCGTATTATGACAAATTCGTGACCTGGCAATTTAATACATTATATAAAAAGAATTTAATTTATTATGGAAGGAGAATAACTATCTTTAGCCGAGTTAACAATCAGGCATGTGCAGATCATGAAAGGTCAGAAGGGGAAGGGGTAAAATGTCAAGAATTTACTTTAATTAAAACATATATATATGATCATAAAGAATTTTATGAAATTTTCATAAAAAATTTAAATACAAATTTTTCTCCGTCTGAAAAGGAAAATTCTTTTTTAAAAAATCAAATTCTAAATATAAATTTTTTTATTCAAAAAAAAGTCATTCTATTAGCTAGCACATTAAAACCAGAAACAGCATATGGTCAAAATTACACTTTTATTAATCCAAATGAATATTACTATGTGATCTTAGGATTCAATAAGCAAATGTTGCATTATGGAGATAAAAATTATGTCAACAATATTATGTCAAGAGAACAGATGATAAACACTTGTGAAAATGTGTATGTATGTTCAGAAAATAGCTTATACAATTTGGCATATCAGGGAATAATACCGCTTCTCCCAGTAAACAAACGAAGAGACATCAAGCGAGATGAGCCCAAATCTACTACAAACATTTTTGAAAAAAACAGCTTAAATGTCAAAACTGCTCAGGAGGAGCAGAACAACAACAGCGGAGAAAACAATGACAAAAAGAACAAAAGCACGAATGAACAGGATAGAAGGTACAGCGACCTATTCATACTGAAGAAAATAAAAGGGGAAGAATTAATTGGCTTGCGAACGTATACAAATTTGGCGAAAAATAAAAACATGTATATACTACCCATGACAACCATAAAAATGAACATTGCTACAGCTATTGTACCATGCGTATCCAGTGATAGCGTAGATGATTATGCATGTCTACAAGATATTAAAAAAAAACAAAATTATTATTGTGAAAAGTATAACTTGAAAGAGGAATATCTAAACAATGAAAGCTGTTCTTGTATAGAACTACCAGAAATCGGATCCAACACGGGAAAATATTTCTATGAATTGGAAAAAATAGCTTCATATAAAGATGCCAAATTGCAAAAAATTAAAGAAACCTTGTATAAGAAACAGTATTTTGAAGGCACCATGATAGTAGATCCTTATCGTGGTATGAAAATTTATCAATGTAGAAAATTGGTGAAACAATATATTTTGAAAAATAATGAAGGATTCTTATACAGTGAACCCGAAGTGTTAGTTATGGATAGGAATAATGAAAAATGCATTGCTGCCTTGTGTAATCAATGGTATATAAACTATGGAAATTTAGAATTTAAAAAAGATGTACTTATACAAATGAAGAAAAATAATTTTCAAACTTATAACGAGGTTTTACAGAAGCAATTGCAACATGTCATCTTTTGGCTTGACGATTGGTCATGCAGCAGAGCGTACGGTCTAGGAACAATCATGCCCAAGTTTAATGTGGGTAAAGCAGAAAAATGTGAAGCAGTGGGTAAAGCAGAAAAATGTGAAGCACAGGTAAATCACCCAACGGATACTTATAAAATACTTGGTGAAGAAAAAAGCGTTGACGAGGTCAAGGAACGATTAGATGGAGAAACCGAATTGATTGAAAGTCTCTCTGATTCAACCATATACATGGCATACTACACAATTAGCCACTTCTTACAGGGGAAGGAAGATGGAAGTGAACGTGGATTGCTAGATATTGATGCAACTGATTTGAATGATGAATTTTTCGATTATGTTTTTGACATTAGTAATGATACAAGTAAGATAAATAAAAACATAAGTTTGGAAAAGTTGCAAAAGATGAGAAACGAATTTCAGTATTGGTACCCATTTGATGTTAGAATTTCAGGAAAGGATCTAATTTTCAATCATTTAACAATGGCTTTATTTAATCATGTAGCAATATGGGGAAAGAAAATTTACAGTAATAAGAACAAAGAGTACAATGATGAAAAGGGGTACCTGGAAAGACAAAATGAAATATTACATGAAATTGAACAAATAGATTTAGATTCATGCGAAACTGTTAAATATTTCCCCAAATCCTTTTTTTGTAATGGACATGTATTAGTAAATAAGGAGAAAATGTCCAAAAGTAAAGGAAATTTTATTTCATTAAAACAAAGTATAGATCAATACACAAGCGATGGTACAAGAATTGCATTAGCAGATGCAGGGGATTCAATTGAAGATGCAAATTTTAATACAGATACTGCAAATAGTGCCATTATGAAATTATACAATCTGATAAATTTCTCTATTGAAACAAAAAATAATGTATATATATTTAGATGTGGGGAAAAAACATTTATCGATTTAATTTTCGAAAATGAAATAAATTATTTGACCAATAAATGTAAAGAATCTTATGAAAAGCTACTTTTTAGAGATGTACTAAAATATGGGTTCTATGATATGCTACTAAAAAGAGATACATACCGAATTATGTGTGATAAAATACATATGCACAAAGAAACTGTAAACTTTTTCATAGAACGTATATGCATAATCATAAATCCATTAATACCGCATGTGACCGAACATATATGGACATACATTTTGAAAAAAGAAAAATTCCTCGTAAACCAAAAATGGCCTTCTTTAGAACACACTAGTTATTCCATTGTTATGCATAAGCAATATAACAACCTCCTCAATGTTGTAGAAATTTTTAGAAAGTCATATGACAAGGTAATTAATAAGAACAATAAGCAAAAATCCAAGGGAAATACAAATTCTGCAACTACTGTAAGTGTGTCCCAAACTGACAGTAGCCGTGGTATAACCAACAATGAAAAGGACAAGGGGGAAAAAAACAACACAAAAGAAAAACATGTGTATAATTCAAAAACTATGGAAAACTTGAAAAATGCTTCCGAACAAGTAGAAGAAACAGAAGAAGCAAAAGAAACAAAAGAAACAAAAGAAGCAGTTGCAACAACTTATCAAGATAAAGCAAGTTCAACAAAAGTAGAACAGCCAGTGGAAAATGAAACGGAAGAAATATACAAAGAAGATGATGATGAAGGAACAAAATTCAAAGCAATCGTTTATGTTGCAAGGGAATACAATGATACACAAAAAAAAATCATCGAAATTTTAAATCGAATTATAAACAATAGTGAAGAAAAGAAGCTCCCAAATAATTATATAAACCTGTTAGTACAAAATGAATATGTAAATAAACTACCGAAAAATGAAAAAAAAGAAATTCTAAGCTTTGCTACTTTTCTTGTCAAGGACAATGTCACCCTGAATAACAACCAGTACGAGTTAAGTCTCCCATATGATGAAATACAATTAATAAAAAATAACGTCGAGTTTATTAGGAGGAGTCTAAATCTTGGAGATATTCACATTCTTGAAAATACAAACAAGGCAGCAATTGACAATACCGACATTTATAAGTTGGCAAATCCTGGAAACCCCTCCATTTTTATGTACAACACGAATTCCTGACAGGGACAAAAAAGTAATCCATATTATGGAAACGAAGAGGAAAAAATTTTAATAAAACCCATCAAAGTAAAACCAATCAAAGTAAAACCCATCAAAGTAAGAACATATACAAGATGCACTTTTTTTCCGCACAGACGCCAGTATATATAGATAGAAGACCCCCTTACCCCTTTGTGCTTAAATTTTTTTAGAACAGGCAGAAGTCTAAATGTTGGATCATCTTGGAAAGGGGAGAGGGAGAGAGGGAGAAGCTCTCCTCACCGAAGGGAAGGTCCAGTTCATCATCTGTAGAGGAGGGGTGTGCTGATGTCAAGAGTAAAATGTTGTGCATGTCATCAGTAGAAGGAAAAAGGAACAGATGACAAAAACATCATGAGTAAAAGCCCCCCCCCCCCTTCTCCCCTTGTGTCGTGTGTGCACGTGAATGTGTTTACATGACTTGATCGCATGTGTTTTATACCCCCATTTTATATCATTTGTATATTTACTCTGCTGAACTTCAAAATTTATACTATTAACAAAAAGTTAGGTTCAAATTGCACCCCTACAATGGTGCTGTAGTTGTGTCATTTCTGTATGAACAATGGAAAGCATGGAAAGCATGGAAAATTAAAACGGACGCTTTCCAATCGAAAAAAAAATGAATAAAAAATTAAAATACCGATTATATATATATCTACCACCCCCAACCAAAGCCCTAGAATTATATACCATAATTATTGTGTTTTTACACTTATTATTTACATCAGCGATGCACAAATGTGAATTTTTTTTATGCGCTATTTCGCTGCAACCATTCACAAAGAGGTAAAGAAAAATGATACAATAGTATACCATTTTATATAGGAAAAAAAAAAAAAAAAAAAAAAAAAGAAAGTAAAATAATAACGAATGAATATATCATTTAGAATGTGTGTCACTTTTATTACTTTTTAATTTTATGAATCATTCAAATGATATGATTTTTTTTTTTTTTTTTTTTTTTTTTTTTTTTTTTTTTTATAATTAAAACATTTTTAATTAAAATAAACTGTTTATGATAAAAAAATAAAATAACACATTTTTCACAAGAAAAAATATGTTGACCAAAAAAAAAAAAAAAGTGGAGGGAGAAATAGTAGTACAAAAGGGGGGGGGGATGAGGGGACTTATATATAAACAGCTGCATATAAAAAGAGTATAAAAGAAGGATTGAAGTTTTTCTATTCTCAAAAATTTAAAAAACACCAAACATTTTGAGAATGCAAATACAAGTAAATGTATATGTTATATATGTTTATTTGTCTTTTTTGTAAGGCACGCGTTTCAACGATTCTCAAAATTTTATTTTCCATTTCTTCCCCTTTCTACATGGTTCGTGCGTTGTATGGTGTAGTTATATATTTTTAATTATACATTTGTGATAACATAACTACAAAATATATGAAATTTAGAAGAAAACCTAATCAGCGGAATAAGCAAATAAGTGTGACATATGAAGTGTAGTGAAAAGCGGGGTTAATAAAAGTTAATATTCTTCATGCAAGAAAAGAAAAAAAAAAAAAAAAAAAAAAAAAATAGAAGTAATATCCATCATCACCTTTTTAAAAATGATTATGGGGAGTTATACGACCTCATTTCATTGTGTCTGTTTTGTCATTCAAGGTGTGAATTACGTACACACACACACATACAATGCTCATGCAGAGTGACAATCGTTGAGAGAAAATTAGCTGCATTAAAAAGGGTGCTTTAGTTCTTGTGTCACGAATTATGTTTAGACTCTCTTTGAGCTTCGCCAGATTATGTTAAAATTTGACACAGACATCAAAAATTTTTATTTGTGCTTCTATTACATTTATTTTTACTTCTATCACATTTATTTTTACTTCTGCTTCATTTACTTGTGCTTCTGTCACATTTATTTTTGCTTCTGCTTCATTTACTTGTGCTTCTACTACATTTACTCATGTTTAATTATTCACGAGGCAACATAAAAGAAAAAATTTCAGTAGCTTATAAATTATGTGTGCCCGTGAACGCACACCTTTTTTGGTTCGGATAACACATTTTCAAGAAATATCACGACAAAAACATGGGCATAAATCATGTCACGCGCAAGAAAAAAAGTATATAACATGTGTATATGTCCGTATGAGCATATGTATATATATCTACATGCAAACATTATGCATATATCACAGTATACAAACCCCATATGTATGCAAAATTTTTCCCTATTTACACGTAAGTTGTATATGCAAATGAATAAAACCAAAAACTCGAAGAACACAAAAAACTATGGGGACAAATCCATCTTTTCCCCTCGCAATATTCACATATTTGTTTCTGTAGGCATGGTAACAATATATAAGATTGTTTGTAGATGTGCAAAGCTGGCCATCTAGGAATTCTTATAAATACAAAGCAAATATAATAATATGTATATGTGTGAAATATTTTCCCCGCCCCCCTCTTAATCTTCCTTTTGGGTGAATCATTTTTTTTTTTTTTTTTTCATTTTTTCCTGCTATAATAGCAAGCATAATCTTGTGTTTTTAAATTTTGATTATAACGGAAATCTATGGAGTGAACGAAAATTGGAATTCATTCCGAAGGGGGCGGCGTTGGGCATAATTATATTACTGTGCATATGATTATGCACAAGTATACGTATGTATATAATGCATATCCACCATATTGAGCCATTTCATTTTTTAAAAATTTATCCACGTTTTTATTATCCTTCTTCTGAAGAGAACCCTCGCTGTGCTCATTTGCCTGAGATTAAAATAGTTGATATTCTTGTTTCACATAAACTAGGTTTATTCATTCCCACCATTTCTGTTTTTTTATTTAAACACAGCAAGATCCATTATTCCTTGGCATAGATTGTTATTCACTGAATCGGTCACTAACAGATCGTTCAAATTTCTTCTATTTTTAATTTTAAAGAAACCTATCATTTAGGGAAATGTTAAGATTAGTTTAAAGGGGATAGATTTTTTTTTTTTTTTTTTTTTTTTTTTCATATGACTGATTTGGCTATTTGCCTTGTTCAGATAAAATATGATCTGTAATGCTATTCCCTCTTTCATTAAAAGTTCTGTGTTCATTTATTTCTTCATATACATTGTAATGTTTTACCTTAACATCTTTAATAAAGTTTGTTATTAATTCAAAATTTCTTTTATTCATTATCAAATTGGGCTGTTTTTTTTCATTAACGGATAATAATTCATTTTTAAAACCTTGTCTTGTGAATATATTGTTTTTAATGTTTTTCCTTTCTGCATTGTTTTTATTAAGTGAATTCTTCATGTGCTTCCTTTCAAGTTCTTCCTTCAAATTGATTTTATCCAGAAAGTTCTGCATATCTTCTTCATGTGTCTGTTCATAAATGTTATTGTAACTGCTTTCCTTTGCCATATCATTAACGATTTCATACTGGTCACTACACCTACCGCTACACCCATGAGGTTTTTCCAACAAATTAGTACTGTACTGGATACCCATGTTGGCACCCTGCACTGAATTAAATAATTCTTGCAAAAGGATATTCATTATTTCTCTTTTTTTACTATTCCCCTCCCCATGGACCCACCCGGTATTGCTATCCATTCGATGCTTCACATTCTCTTTCACTTCTACATTCTCTTCACAGACATCATTAGCACTGATATCACCACCACGAGGGAAACTGCGAGTTTTTACCTTTTGTAATATATAATTAAAAAAATGATTAAACAGCTGTTCCTGTGATACATTACTGTCACGTATTGGGTTTGTCAATATCTTATCATGGCCATCGGTATTCATGAACTCACAACTGTTATATGAACTTAATGAATTATTAACGTCTTCATTTTCTAGATTAGCACGTTCTTTATTCTTTGTGTAACTTTTTTCCTTTGCGACATAATTACTATTACTATGACTTATAATTTTTAACATATTTGTGTAAATTTTGCCGAAACGACAACAAGAATTACATACTTTTTTTTCACATAAGGTGTTACTTGTCATGTTAGTCTCTCCCTGACCTATGCTGTCAATGCGACCGGTGTTATCATTACTGTCTTCTCCTTCGCTGTTGTCTTCTCCCTCGCTGTTGTCCTTTCTCTCGCTGTTGCCTTCTCCCTCGCTGTTGTCTTTTCTCTCGATGCTGATCAAGTTCTTGTCGAATTCCCCTGGCTGCTGTTCCCTCACTTGTGAATAACGCTTCCCAACCATACAGACGTTTTGGCTTTTCATTTCTACGCCCTTACTGTTCAGACTGTCCATGCATGCACAATACAAACAGCGAGGATTATTTGTGCCACGCTCATGTGTACATTCAACATTGTTACTGAGAGAGTCGTGCTTGGATTCATGCAAATATTTGCTCTTTACCAGTATATCAATTATATCTTTCATATTTCCATCCGATATATAATTATTATTTTTTAAATTTGCATGTGTTTCTACATTTTCTGTCTGACTGGTCAGGTGGTTTTTATTCTTTGACATAGAATTTTTACCAGAATTATCATTTAGAAAAGAGCAACTGTTTTTTTCTTCTGTATTATTTTTATAAAGATATCCATCATCCTTTGGTTTATCGGCATTCCCTGCATTTTTTTCACATTCAAGAAATAATTCGTCTTGCACGCAACAATCGCATATAGTGGAACTCTTACTACCTAAGCACACTTGATTAATACTTCCTTTAAACTTGTCTAAAGTGATCTGATGATTGTCTTTGTACACGTAGGTGGCATTATAAGCATCATTTATTTTTTTTTCTTCATCAGGAAAGTGGCTACTACATCTTTTATTCTCCTTCATTTCTTCATCTACCTCATTTCTATCGTTTTGTGGATTCTTATAAAAAAAATCCTTGTCAGAAAATATCAATTGCGAATACTTTTTTGCACATGAATTGAATAATTCTCGAGCTTCTTCCATGTTTAATGATTTTCTTTTTAATTGCACCTTTGTACAATCATATTCCTCTTCATTAATAATGCTCTTTCTAATGTTATATCTTTCATTAGATACAGAAATTGGAAGTATTTTATTTTTATTATTCATTTCTGAGTAGTACTTCCCGTACGAGAAACTGTAATTCCCCAAACTTGGGCACGTAGAAACATTACTTATCTTTTTCACGCTGTTCACATTATTCATGTCACTCGTATTATTCATATCATTCGCACTATTCATGTCATTCGCACTATTCATGTCATTCGCACTATTCATGTCACTCGTATTATTCATATCATTCGCACTATTCATGTCATTCGCACTATTCATGTCATTCGCACTATTCATGTCATTCTCACTATTCATGTCATTCAAGTTGGGATATACGTCTAGAAGTTCATCATCATGCGTGTGTGAATAACTGCTCTTCCTTAATGTTTCTACATTCTCTTTGTCAACTGGAAAATAATTCTTTTCAGTGAGTATGGAAGAATTACTTTCCTCATACATGGACGAAATTAACACTTGGTTGTGCTGATTTATACTTCCACTAGAGTTTACCATAGTACTCTCTCCTCCTCCGTTTGTAGTACCCATAATTTCGCTCTTCCAATTGTTGGCATAATAAATGGCAAATAAATATGCTTCATATTCTTTAATATGATCTGGTTCAAAGTTGTTTGGATTATTTCCTGCCTCAGTACTGCTCTTGCGAGATTCGTTGCTTAAGAGTTCCATAAAATTGTCATTAATACTGAAATATTTCACCTTATCATTCATACCTCCCTGTTTACTTTTTATATATATCGATTTTTTTAATTCTATGAGAGAATTATAATATTCTCTGATTTCTTCTGTGTTCGTTAATTTTTCTAAATTTGCATAGGTTGAACTGTTATGTGTAAAACTACTTCTACGTGAAGAATGAACCCTAAAATAGTTATTGCCCATGTTTCTATTACCATGATTTATCTCATCCCTTTTCTTCGCATTTGCTAGATCTATATTTGTTTCGAAATTAGTGTTTCTACCATTCCTATTGCGTATATTATCACTATCATCATATAAACTGTTTGCATGTTCAACATTAAACCCATCATCAATGGTTACCTTTTTTTTATTACATAAATTTGGACTCAGATTCTTGAAAGGATTCCCCACCTCTTCCTTACCTTCTCTATATTTTGATTCCATTTCTGCACATTGAAATTGATGATGCTTAATTCCTAAATTGTTATTATCCACCTCATAAACATTATTTCCTTTCCTTGCATTTTTTATATTTTGTCTACTATCCCATTTTCTTCTCAAAAAAGTTTCTTCCTTCTTGTTCACTTCTCCATCATCATAATTGAAATTTTCATTATATCTATCGTTTTTTCCAAAAAATGATTCCTTCTTGCTTTTCGAATTCGAAAATATGGCTTTCCTTATGCTATCACCAACACTATTGGTACTACTACTACTGCTGCTATGGTTGATACTTTCTCCCATAAGTTCCTCACAATATACTTCATCATTTGGAGTAAATTTTCTTTTTCTCTTTTTATTATTCATTGGACTGTTACTGGTGTAATTATATCTCTTTTTCTCTTCACGAACTTGGCTTCTTGTCACGATATTATCATCACTGTCTTTGCAAAATACACCGCTAAATCGTTTACTGCACGTACTACTAAACCGTGCACTGTTTTTTTCTTTGCCCATATCTAGGTATTCATCACCACTAGACATATCATTAGTAGCTATATGTGCTGACTGTCCCATTTGATTTTTTTCTTCTTTGAATCGCTTCAAGAACTCCCTTCTGCGTTCCTTTCTTAATTTATCGCGAAGGTACTGATTCAGCATATTCAATAGTTTCTCTCTCTTAAACTCTTTGTCACATCCATTTATAATTACATTTAGCTTATTTATAAAATTATCATCTTTGTAGTTATTTTTAAAAAAATTATTAATTTTGGTTATATGATCATTAAACTCTTTTGTTTTTTCTTCATCATAAGATTTCCAATCCTCAGGTGTCATGTAGCTATCAGTTTTATTTCTCTTATTGGATAACAGGTCAGGTAAATTATAATCATTGATATCTGTAATACTCAATCTAGATCTTTTCGTTTTTTCTGCTATATATTTACCACACAATATCCATCTGAAAAGAAATAAAATGGATATTTTCTTACTTGGTAAATAACCAAAGTTCTTACAAGAAATAGTCTTCAATCTCATACTCCCTTTATATCTGTATCTCACTCGAAATTCTTTATTATGTGGATGAAAATGTGGTTGCCACATTGTATCAACAGCATCATAATTAATTTTCCTATTTTTTTGTTGTTTCGATTTTTTCTTACTTGTTGAAGAAGTTATACTTTTCTTCTTCATATCTAGCATTATATTTTGGTCATTATTTTCATCATCATTAACATCATCACCAAATGCTTTTAAGGAATTTTTCTTCCTTGAAACTACGTCTTCCTCACTGGATTCTCCAAAGCAAAAAAGCAACTCACTATTCTGAAATTCGTTATATTTAAATATGTACCGATCCAAAAATATATTTATTTTAATATAATTTTTACACGGTTTAACACTAATTTTTGAAAAATCAATATCGTCATTTTGCATTATATAATCGATTTGTTTCTGGATTTCTCTCAGTTTGTCATCTTCCTCACTCTCAATCTTATCCGCAACCTGATCCTCATCCTGAGTTTCATTCCCACAATCATTACACTCATGGATGACCTTTGCAATACTATTCTTTATACAGTCCTTTCTGCATCTCTTACTAAATTCTTTGTCTTTGTATTTTCCCGTCTCGTCATTCTCATTCTTCGTACACTTTGTGTTCTTCATCAAATCAAACAACTTATTGTTTAGCTTCTCCTTCTGTTCATCATTTTTCTTTTTCCACATATTCCATCTTCCTTTATCATTTCGTCCTTTCTCCAGTGAGTTTCTTTTTTCCTCGAAACTGTAAGTTCCTGCAATTTTTGTCAACATCCCACCCCCTTTAGGTTTAATTATATTATCATTTTTACATAAGTTTTTTTCCACATGCTTTACTTTGTTTATTTTTTTCATGCTGTAAATGAATTTTTCTTTTTTTGCATCTCTCTTAACTGACTGAAAAATTTCCCCCTGATCTTCTCCATAATTACTTCCCTTCATTTTGCACTTAAAAAATCCATTTTCCTCGATATCATTGTTCCTATTTTTACTCTTTTTTTCCATCTTGTGCAATTTGAAATTTTGTTCATTTTTTTCTGGCTTGTTCGAGAAATTTCCATTTTTTTTTCCCATTGGTTCTTTTTTTCTGTCAGAATTTTGTTTCATTCCCATGTAAGAATTTGCATCTCGTTTATTTTCCTTATTTTCCTTCACTTCTCTAAGGCTATATTTATTTTCTTTGGTATTTTCTTTCATTATATCACAACAGTAATCTTTATTTCTTCTGTTCATTTTGTGATGATAACTTTCATTTGCTTTATTATTTTCTTTTGAATTTTTACATGACTGTTCATAAAATTCTGAGTTATTTTTTTTTCTTTTCTTTTCCAAGGAACTCATTTCTCCATCATACTTTTCCATTTTGTGATATTCCTTATCCTCCTTATTTAATTCTTTCATATTACTCTCACAATTGTAACCACTAATTGCAGAGTTCTTATTTCTATTTAAATAAGCGTTTCTTACATGTGATGGGGATATGTCATTTTCATTAGTGCTATCATCAGCCATGGTTTCATCTTGTGCTGGTAATAACTTTGCCTCATCTGTTAATACATTCTTCAAATCATGTTTTTTTACCTTATCACCGCCTTCACTGTTTCCATTTCTTCTCATTAGCAAATATTGATTATTGTATTTTACAAAATTATCCTCTTTGTTTATTTCTCTCCTTCTGATGCTAGTCGATCTGATTGGCATCACCCTTTTTTTATTTTGACTACTTCTGAAATATGTCATCTCCATTTCGACCTTTTCGAAATTATTTACACGATCTGTGAACTTTTTCGTGACATGAGATAATCGATCTTCAACTTTACCGTTTGGGATTTCTTCTTCGTTATTATTATTTCCCTCGACATGGTAAAAGTTATCGTTTAAACATTGATTTTCTGCGTCATTTTGTATCTTCACATGTGAAAAAGGGTACTTATCATTATGAACATAATCATCCCTATTGTTATCATTATTTGCAATGTTGCACAAGTCAGAGTTATCTTTATATTCCTCCACATTTTTCATTTTTTGCATTTTTTCATCATTTGGACCTATATATAATTCTTTTAAGTCGCTATTGCTCATTTGACATCTTTTCTCAATTTTTTTCCTTCTATCAAAATGATGAATATAGGATTTTGCTTCATTCGATTCATAATTAAAATTCTTATTTATATTATTCTTTTTATGTAAGGAAATAATACTGAGGTGGCGGCGATGGCATTTGTTTTTTTTGCCTTTAACAATGAAATATTTAGCTGAATTTAATGTAGTCAAATTACCCATACAATGATAAAAAGGTTTAAAATATTCAATGGATAAATTTGTTCTTTTCTTTATTTTCTTATTCCCCCTTAAAATATTTAAAAATTGAATTTTTTTTTTTACTTCTTTTTCCAGATTTGTGCCTTTGCTCTTTTCTTTTTCATCCAAAAGGCAATTCGAATGTGCACCGATAAGTGCATGCGGCTTTGAGTTCCGTTCTGCATGCAATTTTGAATCCCGATGTACATGTGATATTGTATCCCCCTCTGCATGCATCTTTTTATCTGACTGTTCATACAATTTTCCATTTTCGCGTTCGTTCATATATGCATCTTCGTTACTAACCTTCGGGTTATTTGTGCAATTCTGTTCATCGAAAACAGGGAAGTGTTCCTCTAGATCCTCAACAAAATTGATACTGTTCCCATTATCACCATTTCCACTTCTTTTACTTCCATTATTGCCATTATTACAAAATTCAGAATTTTCTTTATTTTTTAACAAAATATTCTTGCTAATTTTGTAATTAGCAGTCCTGTTCATGCGGAAATTATCATTTAGGTTCTTTTGTGCATCTGTTTGTGTATCACTTTGTACATATATGGGGGAATTATTTTGTGCACTTTTGCGGTAATTCTTTTGTACACATTTGGGAGAATCATTTTGTACACATTTGGGGGAATTATTTTGTGCATTTTTGAGGGAATTATTTTGTGCACTTTTGAGGGAATTATTTTGTGTACTTTTGAGGAAATTATTTTGCACACTTTTGAGAGAATTATTTTGTTCATTTTTGAGAGAATTATTTTGTACACTTTTGAGAGAATTATTTTGTACACTTTTGAGAGAATTATTTTGTACACTTTTGAGAGAATTATTTTGTACACTTTTGAGAGAATTATTTTTTATTTTTACATTTTGCTCCTTCGGGTTTACATGCTTATTAAGTATATAATAAACGTTATTTAATGAATCGTTATTCTTCGTAACTCTATTTTTTGTGTGTTTGTTGATTGTATCGTCAGAATGAATTATTTCTCCAACGCTTTGGTCGATGTTTGAGTTTTCCTCATGGGTTCCACTTCCCCTCACGCAAATGGCTCTACTTCCACAATAACACTCAGCCTTTCTTCCATTGTCAAATATGATTTCTCTTCCACTTTCAACTTCGCTTCTAACTTCTCTTTCTTCTTTCATTTGTTCATTTCCGACCTTGCATGCGCAAAAGCAAAGAACATCTTTGTCAATAATGTTCTTTGAAATACTGTGGAGGCATACTGACGAAGCCGGGTTCATGTTGATAACTTTGTCAATACCACTATTGCAATTTCCTTCTCCATTTCGGTTATTCATATAATCCCATTTTTTACTTTTCCGTTCATTCAGCTTGGCCATATCATCCTTCGTGTTTCCAGTATTACGTTCGTTTAAAAGTTCGTCGTTTACTCGATTTTTGCAATTTGAACAATTTGAACAATTTGCACAGTTTGCACAGTTTGCACAATTTTTGCAATTTTCGCAATTTTCGCGATTTTCAGAATTTTTAAAATTTTCACAATTTTTGGCTTTTTCGAAACTTTCACACGACTCATGCACCCACCAGCTGTTATTTCCCCTCACGGATGAAGACGCATGCTCATCCTTTAAAACAATATTAATTTCAGTACAATGAATGTTGCTGTTCATTTTATGGTCTCCCTTCTTGGATGCGACATCCGTATCATCGAAGCTGTTTTTCTTTTTTACTGAATTCTCGAAATCAGAAGTATCGAACCGGTGTTGAGCTAGCATGTCGTCATTACTGTTTGCACTGTGATTGTTATTGCTACTGTAACTATTCTTCTCGTAGCAATCATTTTGGTTGTTGCTCAGTTGAGATGAAAAGTCTCCAGTGCGATATCTTTTGTTATTTTTATTTCTTTGTTTTGGTTTTTTTTCATCAGTTTTGTTATTTCCCTCTTCTTTAATAACCATGTTCTACAGAAATAAAGAAAATAAAGCATTACAAAAAGAGATGATGAAAGGGAGAGAAGAAGGAAGAAATAAAAAAAATAAAATAAAATATTAATAAGAATAATAAAAACAATAAAAATACTATTGAAATAATAAATAAAACAAAATAAACAGATTATTGTATATTCATATAAATAAAATATATGTACATTTTTTACATTTTCAAATGAACTGCACGCTGTCAAAAAAGTTCACTGAAATGCTACCAACGTAAATGTAAAATGATGAACACATGCTTTATTTTCCTTCTCTACTCACAATCGCGTCCATAAATTGTATCGGTAGAGAAAAACATGTAGGTTACAATTTATAATATATGTATACATAATATATATATATGTAATCGAACATTGCCCTTCTATGTGCATATGTCATGTAACGTGAACAGCTTTTATATATATTTTTTCGGTTATATTTTCAGTCATTCACTGATTTTGCATTAGGTTTTTTTTTTTTTATGTTCTTTTTGGGTTTTTTTTTTTTTCCTCTTTTTTCTCTCTCTCTTTTCTGTGCTTACCGTGAAGGAGGAAGAATTCAGGAGATTTTCCATTTATATAAAAAAATATATCTTATTTTTTAACCAAAGCAAAAAAAAAAAAAAATAAATAAATAAAATAAAATAAAACAAATGTAATTAAACGGATAAGCAACAAAATTAAAAAAAAAAAAAAAAAAAAAAAAAAAAAACAACTTATGCATGGATAATACAAAAAGTATTTTTTTCTTCTTATTTTCAATTTATTATAACAGTTTTCGTTATTTTATTTTATTTATTTTTTTTTGATAATTATTTCATTAATTATATAAAAAGACTCTTTTCCATATTAATGGGAATAATTGGAAAAACAAAAAAAAAAAGAAAAAGAAACCTCATTAAAACTATAAAGAAAAAAAAATAAGCTCATATATATGCATATATGTATATAAACATGTACACATATATACATACGTAACGATAAAATTCTCTATATATCAAGGGTAATGTGTAACAAAAAAGGAAAATTTTGAAAAAATCTATATTCCTCATAGAATATTAAAAACAATTATACATGTATATAAGCATGCATATGAACTTAGATAAACTCCCATAAGCTTGCTTATGCATACCTATGATACGAACCAAATTCCGGATAATGCTTTATGGTCTGTGTAAATTCACGCAGAATCATAATATATAACTTAGTAACTAATGCGAATATGCTGATATCAGACGTTTTCTTTTTCTTTCTTTTACTCTCGAGTGTATATATATATAAATTGTACCATCTGTTGTCGTCAATCATGTACACATGACAGAGTACACAATTTAATGGAAGACTAAATGGACATTAGAATTGACAATATGTAGAGAAATGATGAGTGGAGGATGAAAAATGAATGGACAGTGACATGCACAATACATAACCAATCGTATATATGCGCTTTTCAAAACGCAAAAAAATACGAGAGTTAACATGTAGACAATACTTTTTGGCATCAAGACATGTCTGTAATTTTCTCACATGTAGAATTATCACATCTCTCTCTGTGTTGTAATATTATCACAATATTTTTTTTTTCTCTGTTTTTTGTTTCATATTTATATTTCATATATGCATAAACTTGTATGAAATACATAAAGAAAAAACACATGTTCCTATACAAAAGCTAAAGTGAAAAAAATTGACCATATTCATACGATGCACATTCGAATATGTAAAAGTACATAATTCCTTGTATACCAATACACAACTACGATAGTGTAATATAAACAATATATAAACAATGCGGAAATCAAAATTTGGGTTTAAATCATTATATAAATTTTAGGTATATTATGTTGTACTGTAAAAACAATACATTTTTATATATACTAGAGGGGGGGGGGGATATAGAATTAAAAAGGAAATAAGTAAAAATAAAACAAAAAAAAAAAAAAAAAAAAAAAAAAAAAAAAAAAAAAAAAAAATAAAAAAAAAAAAAAAAAAAAAAGGGGGGGGGGGAAAAAAAAAAAAAAAGAAAAAAAAAAAAAAAAAAAAAAAAAAAAAAAAAAAAAAAAAAAAAAAAAAGCTGATTAGTTTATTTAAAACCTCCCTAGCTACCAAGTGAGGATTAATTTTATCATCAATTATGGCTAAGCATATACGGGAAAAGAAAAAACAAAAAGATAAGTATAAAATTGAGTGGGTAAACGTGAAAATAGAGCATAAAAACTACAGGGGGAAATATGAAGGAAATAAATCATACAGGGGTCGCAGTACACATGAAATGGCACAAAAGAGAGGTACACAAATTTCTAACTACATTTCCATTTCTTTTACTTATATTTAAAAAAAAAATAAAAAAAAAAATAACATAAATACAATTACACATATTAGCACAGATATAAATACAACTATTATTACAACTAAACTCGTAAAGATAATTTTGCGTATATTCATAAATACAGGATAAGCAAGTACAACCTAGAATATATATAGGTAAATCATTAACTTAAAAGAATCACAAAAGCAAAATAAAAAAAATCTGAATAATGTATGTTATATCAAGAGAGCTATATATATTTTTGAATACACAAGTGTGTGCATGTGGTACACAAAAAAGTATACATATTTTTACATGTACATTCATGCAATATTTGAACATAGTGGTAGAATTTATATGGTGTATTATATGCATAAACATTCATATAAACATTTAAGAATAGATTATGTATATGTAAAAAACGGTAAATGGTTACTAAATTATTAAATGTATTAAGTTTCAAAATTAAAAAAAAAAAAAAAAAAAAAAAAAAAAAAAAAAAAAATCTATAATTACTGTAATAATCTATTTCTATATCATATTATAAAATGGAAAAATGTCAACAGACAACAGTGACATAAAATTTTATAATAAATTGTAATTCTAGGCTAGTAAATATACTATCTGGAAAAAAGGAAAAAAAAAAAAAAAAAAAAAAAAAAAAAAGAAAAATGACAATAAGCTAAATTACGCAAAGGAACATCAATAAAATCATGAACATGAGGAATTTACAAAATACACATTCTTAATAATAATAAAAGGCAACAAAATCGATCAGAATGGCAACAAAGTGTAAATAAATAAAGATGCAGTAAAAACAAAATAGAAATAAACGAGAACAGATATAAACTAGCTATAATGAATAGAAATAAACCAAACTAAACAGAAAAGAATCAAGGTGAATAGAAATAAATCAAACTAAACAGAAACGAATCAAGATGAATGGAAATAAATCAAACTAAATATAAACTAACCACAATACATAGAAACAAATAAAAAATACATAGAAACGATTCAAAATACATAGAAACGATTCAAAATACATAGAAACGATTCAAAATACATGAAAACGATTCAAAATACATAAAAACGATTCAAAATACACTGAAACAAGTAAAAATATGTGGCAGAAAGGGCGTAACAAATTGTCGATAAAAGAAGAGAAAAATGTCAATAAAACAAAGAATTGTTCGTACGGGATCTTTATAAGTAATTTTCTCTAGTATTTATTTTTTTTTTTTTTTTTTAGAACATTATGTGATACGCGTTTCACAAAAATGCGTATATGATAACATATGGAAACGTCAAAAAAAGGCAGAACATATCAACTTTGCACGCAATGATGTATTCAAAGGTCAGCGTTGTAATGCGTGTATGCATATATGATTTTGCGTAGGATTTTAGATACACACACATTCGTACATACATACATGCGTATCTATATTTCGAAACATAAATATCACGTATGTATTACTTATTAGGGGTGAACATTATGCTCTTGCAAGTAATGAACAAATATGTAATAATAATTTGCCTATTTATAAAAGGAAAAAAAAAAAAAAAAAAAAAAAAAAAAAAGAACACATAGTGTGGCATAGTATAGTGCACTGCGTGGTACAGATATTACCAGACTTCAAAGCAATGTGATGTACCAATCTTTTAAATATAAAACAGTACACTCAATAATTTAGAAGTAAACAATTACACATGTTCTTTATTAACTTTTCTGTACACGTATTGTTTAATAAGATTAATGAATGTTCACACACTTGGGCGATGTAAAAATAAATATTTGTCATAAATCTAAACAAGCAATCACAGATGCCTAAAAGGGTATTATGTGTATATAATGAGCATATGCATTTATTTATATAATTAAAGTAAACTTAGTTCGTGTATTGATACATGGAATAGGATGGTATACGCTAATAAATGATAGATAAAATAACAGGGGTGTTAGCGTGTGAAATAAAATTCCTTATTGAACATTCTATTTATGAAATTGTCATAAGAATAACATTATAGTGGGAATCACAATATCTTTGGGAGTGCTACGTGGTGACAAAAATGAAGCGATGAATGAGCAGCAATGTTAAAAGGAGCTCTAAAACTAGTTCCATAAGGAATATTAAAAGGAGTCTCAGAGTAAACGCATAATGAATAAAAAATCATTTGATGCGACTAATTCTAATATTTAAAGAAACAACATGCATGAATGAATTAAAAATAATACATAAACTGGATAATTCGAAAAAAAAAATTAAAAATTGGAAGAAACGGGAAAAAATACATATACATATATGTACACATATATATATGTATATATATATGTATACATGTGTATGCATGCGTCATACATACTCATTTATATGTACGATTTGAGGGGTACCAAGAAAATGGGACCGAAATTATAATTTTCATTCTTCTATGAATAAAGACCTATGCTATTATGCCACACAAGATAAGATATATATAAATATATATATGTACATATATACATTATTTCGCCCCCATTTGTGCTGACAAAAAATTTATGAAATAAGAAAAGAAGTCCTATATTTTAACCACATTTGGCTCTTGCTCTTTCACCTGCACAATAAAAGCAATTACACTACGTGTGTTTATATGTGTGTACAGAAGTTTATGCATGTAAAGGTATTTATGCATGTATAGATATT